GTAGGAGCATCTAGAAACGCGAAAATGGACAATCCCAATATTCAAATTATGTATGAATCGAAAAATATAGAACGCGGAATTATTTAGTTTTCGGGAAAAGTTCCAAGATAATGGACTTTGTTGGGATTTCCGAGCTGCTGCATTGCATCCCCTGCCGTAATATTAGTAGTAATTTATATATATATAAGAATAAAAATAATAATAATAATAGTAATAATAATATATATATACATATATTGAAGTATGTTTTCCAAAAAGAAATAATTTTGGGGAAGCAAATCCCCTGCCGTAATATTAGTAGTAATTTATATATATATAAGAATAAAAATAATAATAATAATAGTAATAATAATATATATATACATATATTGAAGTATGTTTTCCAAAAAGAAATAATTTTGGGGAAGCAAAGATTTCATATGTAAATATTAATATCTGTATATTCATATATGTATATACACATACAACCTAGCATAACATAACACAACACAACACAAACTGACATAACATGACATAACATGACAAACACATTACAAACACTTTACAGTTACGTTACATTGCGTGACATTACTTAACATTACATTACATTACATAGATACACGGATATGCGGATACATAGATACACAGATACATACACATTGCGTTGTTCTGAACCTGCGGATTGGAAAAAAAACGGTTCTCTGCTGAAGTATATATGCGTTTTTTAATATGTATGTATGTATTTGCATGTATATCGATAAAAGCATATCTATACATGTGTATATATATATACGTATGTATTTTAATGCATATTCGAAGGAAGTTTAGAAGTCAAACTTCCGACAATATGGACAGATGAAAAGCAGAGATGGGCAGAGTCAGAGAAGAGAAGAGAAGAGAAGAAGAAAGAAGATCAAAAAAGAGAAAGTCTCAGAAGAAAGAAGATCCAGGTGCGCGAAAAGGTAGGAAAGTCGCGAAACACTGTGTTTTTGCAATGATTTGTGGCTATGGAGGGTCAAAAAGTAGGCTCGCTAAAGCGGCGGGTGCGGAGCCAGGCCAGATGAGAGATGAAAAATTGCATGCCGTTGTGGCGCGAAGCACATTTGCAAGTGAAAAAGCTAAGAACACCTCACGTTCGGAGCGCTTTTTGAAGTTGCGATGTCGAAAAGTGCACGGCGGTGTGGCGCGAAGCACATTTCCAAGTCAAAATGTGCAAAACACACCAGGTCCGCGCCACTTTTGGAAGTTGCGATGTCGAAAGAGGGCACGCCATTGTGGCGCGAAGCACATTTCGAAGTCAAAATGTACAAAACACCTCAGCTTCGGAGCACTTTTAGAAGCTGCAATGTCGAAAAAGTGCATGCCGCTGTGGCGCGAAGCACACTTTGAAGTCAAAATGTACAAAACACACCATGTTCGGACCACTTTTGGAAGTTACGATGTCGAAAAAGTCCACGCTGTTGTGGCGAGAAGTACATTTCGAAGTCAAAATGTTTTAAAAAAACAGGGGTTTGGACCACTTTTGGACGCTCAGATGTACTTTCGCGTGGCAGGCGCAGGGGATTATGGACCTGGTCAAAAGTAAGCAAAACGTGAGGGTTTTGTGCCATTTCCAAAAACGATGGCAGGCGTGGGACATTTGAAGAGGATCTGCAAAAATGCATTTTCCGTGGCAGACGCAGTACAAGAGACATGTTTATCAGATGTTAGGAGGTCCAGGCGCTGATTTCCTGAGAGGGGTTGCATTTTGGAGCATCAGATCTTCAGGTTTGCTGAGATGATTTTGCGTGACAGGTGCAGCACTTCGTATGACCCGGTAGCACTTTTTCGTGGCAGGCGCAATAGTTTAGACAGGTGGAATCGAAAAATCGCAAAACGCATTGGTACGAGGCCTTCAGCTCTGCACTCGCCGAATTGCTTCGTTTTTGACGTTATCAATTTTTAAAATGAGGAAGTTTCGCAGAATTGCTTCGTTTTTGATGTTGTCAAGTGCAAAAATTGAGGAAGTCTCGCTGAATTGCTGCGTTTTTGATGTTGTCAAGTTCAAAAACTGGGGAAGTCTCGCAGAATAGCTTCGTTTTCAAGCTTGCAGATAGACAGAGAGAGAGAGAGATAGATAGATAGATAGATGGATAGGTAGATAGATGGATAGGTAGATAGGTAGATAGGTAGATAGGTAGATAGATAGCTAGCTAGATAGCTAGATAGCTAGATAGCTACATAGCTACATAGCTACATAGCTAGATAGCTAGCTAGATTGTCAGATTGATAGATTGATAGATTGATAGATTGATAGATTGATAGATTGGTAGATTGATAGATTGATAGATTGATAGATTGATAGGTTGGTAGATTGATTGATAGATAGATAGATAGATAGGTAGGTAGGTAGGTAGATAGTCAGAGAAAGAGAAAGAAAGAGAGAGAAAGAGAGAGAAAGAGAGAGAAAGAGAGAGAAAGAGAGAGAGAATAGAGAGAAAGAGAGAGAAAGAGAGAGAAAGAGAGGAGACCTCAACCACCTGTCGGTCCATCAGTGGCTTCGCTCTGCCATCCGTGATTCACAACAACCAACCTCTCCTATAGGTTTCCTATTTCTGAAACTTCTGCCACCGCCTTGTGCGGTACTACTGGTATATATATATATAATCATGTATATATATATAACATCCAAAATGCAGTAGTTTTCCAACAATCTTCCACCCCAACTTTATTATCTGAATCCCTATATAGCACAAAAAAAACTGATTGAATCTTTCATTTTGAGAAACATGTATCATTGCCCGGCGCTATTCAGTCATAATGTTGAGACAATTCCTCACAGCCTCTGGCTGAGAAGATGAGGTCTAAGCCTCTCCAATGAAGGAGATGTTTCGATTGAGTGCCGCTTCTTCTGTTTTTGATTGATTCCTTGGACTAGATGATTGGAGTCAAGCAGCACAGGTTCAACTGTCGCGGCAAATTGACGAAAGACATTGCATTCGTGGTGCAAACATACGTAATTTCTTGCTGTGAACTCAGGCATGTCCTGGCAGGCAACAGCTGCTTTTCGCAGGCTCTCTTTCCAGGCAGAACTCGCAAATCTTCATGTGTGCAAGGGTCAAAACTGAGTCAAAACATGGTATATGGTTTATGGTCATCCATCCCATAATGGATCATTGTGAAAGGTATGTAAGTCCTTGATTGCTGACCATCCCCCAACATGGGTTTACAATGTGACCATGGCAGATGTAGAAAAAAGCTCCTGCCATGTGGAAGTTGGCAGCCCGAATTTCCTGCAGAACAAGCTGGCAGGCTGGCAGGCTGACAGGCACTGCAGGATCACAGTTCTAGTCTCCTCGACAGTGGCATTCAGCTCGCCATCCAAATATCCAGACACAGCTTGAACAGTACGCCTGGCTGCAGGCTAGAGGCCATAGGCATTTTTGAGCGTAATGGGACAGCAATTGATTGGTCATGATTGGTCACAGCCAAATGCTGTTTCTGCTCCCTGCAGGCCAAGTGATTTACAGTCTTTATCCACACCCAAAACTTGGACCAGTGGACCCTGGCTACCATGACTCTCACCCTAGGCGCCCTAGGCCCTATCATCCTGGCCTCTTCACGGCTTCAACATCTTCTGTGTCTTTGCCGCAGAACTCAAAGCACACCTACGGTTTGGTCGCGGTTGCAGCCCCTCACAACACACGCAGAGACGGACATTTGGACTTTCTTGGCACCGAGGTTGCCCAGGATTGCATCAAAGAGATAATTGAAATGATTGGGAAGGCACTGCATCGATTGCCTCTCTTGCCACAAACAATTAGAATTCAGTTTTGGCAAGTTTTGATAAGTCTCCCATCATGGCGAACCAGGTCGGGAATGTGCATGAATTTGCCACACATTCCATCGCACATTGAGGCAGCAGCAGGCTTGCCATTGTCCAAGCTACCAGTGAGTCCTGCGACCATACAGGTAAATTTGGGTAAAGAAATGAACCAAGATGTGCTCCACATATACTCTTCTGCAAGAGATCTGCGAAACTTTGCTCTCAGAACACGGACAAAATCCTACGAGCTGAGGTCTGGGCTTGTGTCTACCCATGGACCAATCACCACAGGGACACTCAACACCTTGAAGGAAAAATAGCGGATCATACAGATCATACATGCCTATGTTTCTCCAAGCAAAATATGGTTCTTTCATGTTCTTTCCATCTTTCTCTTTAGCATCATCTCAAGCTGCACTTCTCTCCCTCTGTGCACGCAGACTCAGACTCTTCGTTCGCACCTTGCGTATGTAGATCTGAAAGTCTGCACCCGACGGGCTGAAAGCAAAACGTGACCTCACTCATCATAGAATCCAAAACTCGCTGCGGCTACACATGGTAGGCTTTTGGATGACACTAGCGATGTTCATTGAGGACCCAACTCTCCATCCCATTGGAAAAAGACCCCCTTGTGAGCAGAATTGCTGCTAAAAGAAAGGAGCATGTCCTGGCGTCAACTGCACAAGGTTTCTAATCAGAAGACTGGCATGGCTAAGGAGCGATTTGTAAGTACAGCCCGCAGCTTAAACTTGGAAGTCGACATGCATCTGTGTCACTTGTCTAACACTTGTCCACCGGATGTGTGCTCTCACTAGTCTAGTGTGCCCCTGCGGCCCAAAGTGGCAAAGAGGATTCATCTACTTTGTGTCTGAAAAGATACAGCGCAAACAGTACTCAGTACTCATATGTACTCAATTCCCTCTGGGGTCCTCTTCCACCTACCTCAGCTTTGCAGCCTTGGTATTGTTTTACCTGAGTTCTATATATATATATGCATATATTACATGTGTATATGTACATATGTATGTATAAATATATATATATACATATACGTATATATATATACATGCAGTCATCATGCAGTGTATATATGTATATATGTATATCTGTATAAATGTATATATGTATATATGTATATGCATATATGTATATAATATATGTAAATATGTAAATATGTATATATGTGTATATGTGTATATGTGTATATGTATATATGTACATGTGTACATATGTACATATGTACATATGTCTATGTCTATATGTATACATGTATATATGTATATATGCATATATATGTGTGTGTATATGTGTGTATGTATATGTATAAATGTATCTATGCATATGTATAAATGTATATATGCATATATATACATATAAATGTATAAATGTATAAACGTATAAATGTATAAATGTATGAATGTATAAATGTATAAATGTATATTCATTTGTATATTTATGTATATATATATATATTCATATGTATATATATATATGTATATTTGCATTTATGTGTATATATATGTATGTATGTATGTATGTATGTATGTATGTATGTATACATATGTGTGTATGTATATACTTTTTTTGTGTATGTATGTATATATGTATGTATGTATGTATGTATGTTTATGTGTATTTATATGTATATGTATATGTATATTTATATGTACATATATATATGCATATATGCATATATGTATATATGTACATATGTATACATATGTGTATATATATATGCGTGTATATGTATATTTATGTATATATATATATGTATGTATGTATATGTATATGTATATTTATATGTATGTATATATATATGTATAAGTATAAGTATATATATATGCATATGTGTAATTATGCATATATATATATACATATATGTTTATGTATATTTATGTATATACTTGTATCTGTATATATATATATATACACGTATATATATATATGTGTGCGTGTAAATGTATATATATATATAATATCTATATATATGTATGTATACATAATATATGTGTATATATAATATATGTGTATATATAATGTGTATATATATATATACGTATTTATATATATATATATATTTATATATTTATATTTATTTATATGTGGATATGTATATACATATGTATGTATGTATAAATATATATATATGCTGATATAGTTATATATATGTATATATATGTATATATATGTATGTATATATATATGATGTATATATATGTGTGTTTATATGTACATGTATATATTTTTTAAGATGCATGTGTATATATATATATATTTATACATATGTATAAATATACATGTATCTACATAATATAATATATACTTGAGAGCAGGCGGAGGCGGACGAAAGGTAGTGTAGTGGGAGAGGAGTGGTGTCAAAATGCTGCGCCCCTAAGATGATACACCAAAAACGTTTTTGCGCAGTCTAAGATGATTTTATCCAGAGCATGACTGCATGATACGGTGTCTTGTGCAGCGTGAAATGATGCACGAAAGGGGGTTTATTTAAAACCCCTTTTTAAGACCCCTTGCAGCAACTGTTATTGAGGCTGAAGCATACCAATTATGCTGGACTACAGGGACATCTCCCTCATGGAAAGTGTGCCTCTAATGTGGGGGCCCGTGACCGCGTCACCCGTGGGAATTGAACCCATGACCATTTTCGGGGGGGCAGGGGGCCCCCCCCCCCTTATAATTGATATCCAATACATAACGGCGAGAATTCCATGAATTCCGTGGGCTGGCCCCCCAATACCCCCTAAGCTTGTGCTGAAGCACGGAGAACTCAGGTAGCTGACGCTACCTTTCGTGATATATTATGTATGTATATATATATATATGTATATAAAAATGTATATAGATATATGTGCGCAATATTGTTTGGATCACTCGGAGCTCAAATTAAGCTGCATGTTGCAAGATCAAACTGACTAAGCCTAGATGACCTTCTGGAAAACCATTCAATAAAAGTGTGGACTGAGACAAATTCTGTGGTGTGTGTGTGTTGATTGTATTCAGTATGGGACGTTGTCTTGCGACAAGCAGTTCAATCACACACCCAGGCTCCTCCTTCTTGTCTGTCTGCATAGTGGTCTAGGCCAGCGTGAAATTCAAGTCATATACTATCTCTGGATCGACATGGTGGAAGCATCTCATGCAGCATCAAAGCTGAGAGGGGAACTCCAGGGTTCTTGAAGAATGACGCAAATTTCCACCGGAACATATCTATCTTTCCGTCCTGGCGTGTGAATCGCAAAGTGAATTCACTTGTTGCCATTCAACTTGCTATTGAGCAAAGGCAATGCAAACTCACAAGAAGGCTGCCCAAGCGTCTCTTCTGCGCCCAAACAGGCCAATTTGGCAATGCCTGGTTTTCTAATACATATTCATATTATATATGTATATATACATATATACATCATCTCATCATATCTCTCTCTCTCTCTCCCTCCCTTTCTCTATCTCGTTCTTTCTTTCTCTCTTTTCTTCCTCAGCTGCACAGTCCCCATACTAAGCCAGACGGCGCACGTTGAACATCACCGGCTTTCGATCGCTGCCGCAGCAACCACAAAGCCGAGTGCTGACAGGCGCCCGGTCTTTGCCGTGCAAACCATGAGCCTCGGTTGAGAAAAACTCATCCATCCTGAAAAGCGACGTGATCACGGGGTACAAACACACAGCTGGCTGGGTTATGTACTATATACAGAGAAAAAACTTTCTCCAAAGCTCCCAACCTGCCAGTTGATGTTGTAAAAACCCACCTCGCGGTACTTCCTCGCAGAGTCCACCCGAAAGATGAAAGGCAAAGTGGGACATATCTGGGACATACATGAAGAATCATGAAGATGTGTGTCCAATATGTCCATACGTTTTGTGGAATCGTGTGTTAAGTGGAATTGGCCTGCGAGAGCTATGGATTGGAAATGCACATCCCACGTCCCACAGTCCTGCCCTGGTTGGGACGGTTCCTCTTCGGGGGGAAGTACCTGCGCTGACATGAAGTTCAAGAAAGTGCTTCCAGTGAAGGAATCTTGGAGTTTGATGCTTCAACGTGGACCTACTCAGAACCATGGCTGGTGCTTGCTTATTCTCAGACCTACACTTCCTTTGTATCGAAAGCCAGGTTCCTTCATGCTGATCACTCCGCTGACTGACATTTGAAAATGGTGAAGAATCATGAACAACATGAAGAATGATTCAAATGTGAAACAGTGTGTTGTAAGAACGAAAAGGGCAGCACGGTTCATCCTCACAGTCGATGTTGATGCCCACGAGACGGCCATTCAACCTGGCCAAGGTCTGTAACACTACACGTTCTGAATGCCTCACTCTCCCAATCCACCTTCACGTGGTTTCACGTATTTCCGGTTCGTTTGTGTGTCCATGTGCAAATAGCAACCTAGATGCTGAGAATGTGCAGCTTGTTGTCATCACCACTCGCATAGTCCTGTGATTGCTATGTATCTTATGTATATACTGTGTATATATATATAAAGAGAGAGAGAGAGAAAGAGATTGAGATTGAGCTGCTTTCTTCACTTTCTGTGCTAATACTATGCTCGTCCCACGTGTTTTAAATATGTTTGAATTCTATTCATATGTCAAGGGCAAGAGCGGCAAGAGCGGCAAGAGATGAAGGCGCTTCGCCAAACGATCGTCATCATTCCAGGCGCTCAAAAAAGGCGGACGGGCTGTGGTGGATTGGACTCCAGCACAATGCCAAGTAGTTGTCTGGTGTACCTTGCAAATACATGCAAATACGGCAGTGTCATTCCCCCGCGGTCAGGTGAATGAAAGAAAGGGCAAGTCAGAAGACATGACAAGGACACCTCCCACGCTGGCGAAGGTCAACTGACTTCAATGGTTAAGTGATTCAGGCAAACAAGGCTGCATCATCTGTTTGCAACGCAGGAGATGCTTCCGTGTCATCTTTCTGTCAAGGTGCTCAGCACGATTTCTCAACGGTGTCTGACGACGATTAATCTGGAAGCGAGAGGTCATATAGGCCTGGCAGTAAAACATTTGAAAAACAGTACCACTGACATCCATTGACCAACATTCACATCATGAATCGTGATCATCATGGTGATATCATGGTGAACCAGCAACTCAACTCAAATCAAGACGATGTGACTCCGATGCCAGCTGAGAAGTACAAGCACACCTCAAGAAAGCACGAAACAGTCGCTGTCTTTGGAGAATCTACATCAGCTTCACATAGCTTCACATAGCTTCACATAGCTTCACATAGCTTCACATAGCTTCACATAGCTTCACATAGCTTCACAATTCAAAAGCTCCACGATGGTAAGGTGGTCTGAAGCTAAGGGCACCACGAAGAACGGCACCGGTTTTCCAGCCTCCCAGGATGAAAGCACTACAGTGGCCCCAATACAGCAGTCTTCTTTGCTAATGTCTCAAGTTCCCAATCAATCTGGCGATCAGCCACAAGAAATCATCCACCTTCTTGGCCCTCTCACTACTGTACTCCCAGCCCCCCTCTTGAGCCTGCTTGAACACAACTTGGCGCTTCCCATCAATTTTGTGATTGGGATTCCGGCCACGCTTTCCGGTCAATTCAGCAAGCCTAAGCCATGGCTGATGCGGGAGATTCCAACAGCATCTTTTCCATTAAAAAGATACGCTTCCCTGCCCGAATTGTTTCCCAGCAGCTTGAAGTTGCACTGTTCCGCACCGTTCGGGGGCATGAACCTCAAGAGAATGTAAAATGGAAGCAAGACCAGAAGCTCAAACATGCCTGTTTATATCTTTTTATTAGAGCTGATTCATATACAACTTGCAGAACCATGTAAAAGGATGAAGATGTGCACAAACAATTGCTTTGAATTTCAAGAAATATCGGGAATTTACTGAGACAATCACATGGGTCTGGGTCGCAAGTCCATCCAAGAGCAAATCAATTCCAAGATCCATGTCTACAATTGTCGACAGTCCCAATACAGTCAAACCAATCGTCAAACCAATCAGACGCACTGGAATCGTGGTGTCCACGGTGTCCACTGTCCACTGCCGTCTGAGGAGCCCCCAGACATCAAAGTTTGCCACGCGAGATTTGGGGTCGATGACGGCGCGAATCTGGCAGCCCAAAACATCGGAGACCATCCCACCCTGGGACTCTGAGTGCGTAGTGAGTGCGTAGCGGCGTAGCGGCGTAGCATCATCTTGAATGAAACATAAATGAAACATGAATGAACTATTGGCGGCATTGGCGTCAGAATCAACTCTTCTTACTGCTCTGCGCTGTTTAAAGTCGATTCGCGCGGTTAATGATGGACTCAGAAAAGGAGTGCTTCCATCTTTTGATGCTCATCTGTCACTTGCCAGCAATACCCATCGATGAAGCTGTCCCAAGGCTGCCTCTGCATCGTCGAATGCTTGGAAATTCAGTGCACATTCAACATTGATCAAGCAAGCACTGCTCATTGGTTTTCAAGGCCGAAAATTTCATGCGTGAGCGTGCGGAAAGAACTTGGCATTTGGGCAGTTTGGAGTATGAAAAGAATTCGTTCCAACAAGATTTCTGATCCTCGGCATAAGATTGAATAAGTTCTGAATAGGTGAATAAGTATATTGCAAAGCATATCGGGCTATCGCCCAAGCTTCTGATCAGTGCAGCCCGTGCAGCCCGTGCAGCTCGTGCAGCCCCAGGCACCTCTCGGCCACCGCAAGGACCACAAGGGCATGAAACATCGCCGGGATATTTCCTCGCAGCACTCGGCATTTCGGCCCCGGCGGCTGAAAATGAGCAAAAGACTTGGCTTCAAAATGCTGCAACCCTATCTCTTCATCTGACGGGCTTTGTACTCAACACATCTCAACACAGCCAGAATCACACATTACAAGTCCTTCAATCGTAAAACAAATTGCTGCTGAAATGGACCTCACAGCTGAGACCCCAGCTGGCCCCAGCCCAGAATGTTTCCAAAGTCATTGGCAGATCCCAACGGCATTTGGGCAATGGCTGGAAAGCTCCTCAGCTGTGTTGAAAGGTCAAGCACCGAACTAGTTCTGAACAAGACAGTGCACACAGATCTATACAGTTTTGCACTCTGCTTATAAGCTCTACGGCGTTGTGAAGGTACGGCTGCTCAAGGGCAAAACTGTCCAAAAGGCACACTTACCCAGCATGGATAGCTAAGTGCCCTTGCGTTTTTAATTCTTCGTCGGTCCAGATGAAGCCGTTGCCAGTGTCCTGGAAACCGGAAAATAAGTATTCTCCTGAGCTAAAGTGTAGCATATCTCTTGCAGGTGCTCGTTGCTTACTCTCCACCAATTTGTTTCTCACAGTATTCCTTTGATGTGTTTGGATGTTTGGATGTTTGGTGCAAGTTGAGAAGGTGTTCGAAGCAGAACATGCCGGCATCAGAATAAAGAAAACAGAAATGGCAAACAGAAAAATGAATGCAGGAAGCCAGCACAAGGTGTGTGAGGAGCTCCTCCATACCTTCGTGCGCCCGTGAATGATCTGCCTGACATGAACTCACTTCAAGACTTCAGCGAGAACCAAAACCAGATCAAGGATGATCAAGGTACATTAGGTCAGGCAAATCGCACACATTCGCACACCATCTTTAAAATTGGTGAAAAGCAATGTTTGAATTGCTCCGGAGAAAGTTCAACATGAACGCCCGGTACACCGTGTGTTGCCACTGTGGCTTCTATCGTGCATCAGCGCCTTCAAGGCTAGGAAGATCATGAAAATTGCAAAGGACCTGAGTTGAAAGTCGGCTCATCAAACAAGCCCGACATGGCCTAGCTGCGATAAGTCCTCCCGAGCATGCTCGTTAGAGAAGCTCAAGTCACTGGGTTAGTTGGAGATCTTCAGACAAAAGCATGAAAATGAGTTGCAAAAGAGTTTTTCTTGAAGCCGTCTGGCTGAGTTCTAACTCTTCAATTCTTCCCAAGGCAAGACCATGCAGAGCCAACAAACACTTGCTGAAAGAACTGAAGAATCAACGCAAGACCACAAGGTATGACACCAATCGGAAAATGCCTTGGAAAAATTCCAAACTTTGGGAAGTCACATCACATCATTGGAAGACGCGCTGCCTCTGAAGCCTGGTATCTTCTTGGATCCCAACCCCGTCCCGTCTCCACCGCCAGAGATAAGCCTAGGCCTGAAAGGTTCAGCCGAGTGCACAGCTTTGCACATACTCAGAGGATGCGTTCAGAATAGTAGGAAGGGACAGTATGAAAAAGGCGTTCAAGATCTTTCAAGCACAAAGAGAGAAAAGCCTTGCATACATGTGCACCATGTGCGGACTCTGACCTTGAGCGAGGCAAAATGACCAGAAGGAGATGTGAGATGTGAGGAGATGTGCAAGATGGCCTGGTGCCCATATCTTCAGCTTCAGCTTTTGCTTTGCACAGCTCAATCCTGTCAAACCCAAGGGTGCCATGGACTTTGTGTCCAGAAAACGGATAGACGAAACGTGGGATCGAAAATTCAATGCACCCACCATTGACACCGCAATCTGTGTGTATTCAAAATCCCATCTGCTTTCACTGCCTGAAAACATCCAGTAGTCCCCCTCGATGTTGGCCTTTGACCTTGAAGATTCATAAAATGATTTTTTGGAGGCTCATCGAAGTAGAACGCGAAGAAGACACGCTTGACCCCAATTGTTCAGCTAGAACCTTTTTTGATAGTTTTGCTACATTTCTTGGATAAGTCAAGTCATTTTACTTTGGCGGTCCACAAGTGAAGTTGTTTCGACAAGGGCATGCTCTCCGTTTGGAAGCCATTCAAAGTCTGCATCCGCTTGGCGTGCGGCAACATCGATAATGTTGAAAAACCTCTCCTGCATACAGAATACCAGAGCAATGACAGCAATTTCCGGACACCAACGGCGTTTGGATTCTGAGTATCTCTCAGTGGGATGTTACTTTAGTTACCCTCTGGTAAACTAACACAACTATGGAAAATCACCATTTTTTATGGGAAAATCCACTATTTCTATGGCCATTTTTGCATCTTTTTGCTTGGCTGAAGCCACCTTTGTTGACACGACAGCAGCCTGTCCGAAGTCTCCTTGTAGTATTCACAGCGCCGAGCCACTTGGAGAATGTCCATGCCAGCTGCTGCACCAGACCTAAAACAACCAATTGGCACGAACCATCAAGAACTTTATATGTATATATAAGATTATATATATATATAAATATATCTCACAATATCCCACAAATAAGAATATTCAAATGTACCACACATATGCACATACACATGGAAAGACACATCCATGACAACTATCTACAATCCCCTATTTTCATGTGTATATGACCAAGTACTAGCAGTTACTAGCATGTCGAAAGTCAGGGGGCCTCACACTGAGGCCCTGGCATAGGGTTTATCAGTGCTAGAGTGGGAACATGCTGACCTGGCAGCGATGACTCTTTCATCAAGGTGGGGGCTCAGTACAAGGCTTCTTTCAAGGGAAAGCACGTGACTTTTGCCGCCGAAACGTAATAGTGCTGGCAGGAGAAACTCCACCAAACCCAAACTGAAGAACTCCCTGAACTCACCTTCTTGGAAGGGTGGCAGTTCTGCCATTTCACCATAGCGATTGGCTGGCCTCGGTGAGATTTGACTGATGCGCTGATGCAGTTGTCGCTTTGCAGATAGCAAATACAGGTTGATCTGATACCAAGCAAACAACAAAGCAACACAATCTGATTCAACAAGGGGGAGCGAGTTCCACATCAACAATGCTCAGTCATATGATCTTCGAAACTTGTGATAGTTTGAAAAAGCTGACCTGCACTATTGTGGTGACTTCAGAGGTGGCGCTAAGTCAACCCAAGTGGAGAACCTGCAGTGTACAGTACATATTCGTGTGTATGTTTATGTCTATATATATATAAAGAAAAACGTATATGTATATGCATAGTGTATTACTGTATGTGAGAAAGAAAGAGGCTGATAAGAATTGTGGAATTGCCAGGGTTTCCCCGCCCAGCACGAGTGAAGCTCTCAGCATGCATACGCCTGGCTGCTGGCTTTGGCACGGAAACGCTTCAATTGCCGACAGAGCATATACGGCCAGATTGCCTTACGAACCAGAAAAACAAAACTAGGTAAATATATATATATACATACATTATTCTATCATATTATATTATAATATATCATATAATATATAATTATGTATATATATACAGTTATACATATATAGAGTTATACATATATAGAGCTATATCTATATATAGTTATATATAGTTATATCTATATAGTTATATATATATAGTTATATATATAGTTATATATAGACATATATACATATATATATATATACATATAGTTATATATATAGTTATATATATGTATAGTTATACATATATAGTTATACATATATAGTTATACATATATAGTTATATATAGTTATACATATATAGTTATATATAGTTATACATATATAGTTATATATAGTTATACATATATATATACTTATGTGTATATATATATGTATTTGCTTATATAGATATACAGTATATATATATATATACATAGATTATACATATATATATATTATAGTTGCCATGGGCGCTGCAGGGCCCCTGGGTGTTTTGTTGCCTTTTTGGTGATTTTTTGTGTTTTAGCGTTTTTCTGTTTTTGTTTGATGATGGGGTGGGGTGGGGGATGGGGTGGGATGATGTTAAATCGTTCATGTTCATGTGACGCTGATGATGTTACGTTGATCATGGGGTGTGGTGGGGGGGTGGGGATGTTAACGTTCATGTTCATGTTACACTGATGATGTTTTGGGGTGGGGTGGGGTTAACGTTCATGTTAATGTTACGGCTGATGATGTACGTTGATCATTGGGTGGGGGGGGGGTGGGGTGGGGTCGGGTGGATAACGTTCATGTTCATGTTTCGCTAATGATGTTACATGATCATGGGGTGTGGTGGGGTGGGGTGGGATGTTAACGTTCATGTTCATGTTACACTGATGATGTTTTGGTGTGGGGTGGGATGTTAACGTTCATGTTCATGTGACGCTGATGATGTTACGTTGATCATGGGGTGGGGTGGGGTTGGGTGGGGTGGGGTGGGGTGGTAACGTTCATGTTCATGTTACGCTAATGATGTTACGTTGATCATGGGTGGGGTGGTGGTGTTAACGTTCATGCTCATGTTACGCTGATGATGTTATGTTGATCATGGGGTGGGGTGGGGTGGGGTGGGATGTTAATGTTCATGTTCATGTTACGCTGAAATTGTTCCATGGTTGAAGTAGTTTTTGAGAAGGGAAAACACCGGCGTGCAAGGCTGCATGTGCAGTTGCATTGGGAAGTGCACGCAAACCCCCTTAAAACCACCAGGCGCCTCTCAGAGCCGTTCCCATGTAGCTATATATAATATATATATATATATGTTACATATATATTATATATAGTTATATATATATATACATATAATTTCTATATATGTAAATGTTGTATTTTTTGGCTGCTTGCCTTGAGCCTCAGCTATTGCACCAAAGGTTCTTTCCATGTTTGCAAACAAGGGAAAGAAAACTATTGCGCACCTGCTCTCGGTAATCAGGCGATTGTACTCAATGACTGATTTCCGCCGGAACTCCTGTGTGGACAAATGTGGATAATCGGATGAATTGCTCTTGAAGGTTAGCCATGGCTCTGGCTCTACTTCACTCATCCATATCAAGTTCTACTAGGTATCATTTTCACGGAGTTCAAAAATCGGGGAAGAAAAGTAGGATAGACTCTCTGCTTGTCAAGGTGTCTTTTTATCAAATATTGACACCAGCTCCTGTCCTGTAACATCTCTGGGCGCACCTCAGGAATCACCCAGCCATGTGCGCTTCACTTTGAGAGTGGGTTCATCTCTCGACTATGTTCCCAGCCATGTCTTTCAGGTCTCCTTGGATCTCATTGATCGAAGGTGCTTTTACCACGGGTGATTCCGCAGGTGGATTTGGAGGCTCCTGGCCAGCACAGTCCTCGCTTCTTGGTATTCCGTGTGTTCAACTCAGCTTACCATCCGAGCCTTGACAGCTGGCGGCTCCAGAATCACTGGCTCATCTTCTTCCTCCTCATAAGGCTGCTTCTCGATGGACCTTGAGAAACCGAGTCACTGATTTATGCGCCTTTTATTCTGACCTTGTGAGCTCTACACTGTACACAGCTTACAGTTTAATGTCATAAGTGCAAACCAGATCAGACTAGCCCATTTGAACAAAAAACTCTGCTGCCAGGCTGTTGTTGAACTCAAACCGTAATAAGCCTTCTAGCTTTGTCTACTACGAAGGAGTCTCTGAGTCCGTAACAGTACGGAGTTCTCAGCGGCATCTCCGACTTGTGGCTCGCCAGAACAAACATTCCTTGGCAGGTTGAGACTGGGTGGCATTGGCATTTCAATTTTCCAATATACCAAGCTTACACAGTGGAAAAATGTGGAAAAAAATATTGCCACCAGTGTGAACAGGGAAAGTCGTCAGCATGCGGTCCCTTGTCTGGGGACTCCACAGCAGCGAGCTCCACCATTCGCTGGCCATGACATCAACCTGCAGTTGGTGGTCTAACGGCTTCTACAGGCAGATACAGACACCAAAGGTCAAAGGATCACTTCAAGACGTGAAACGGTGACCGAAGTGCACGGACCGGCAATCCGAAACTCCTAGGAGATTGGATGTTTAATGCCCCCAGTAGCTAGCCTTTTCTGCCAGCAAGTCCCTCTTTGAATGCCACTGATCTGGGGAGGGTTCTCTGGTGCTGCAGGTGAATCTGGTCATTCAAACACACCCCATCGTCGCCTAAAGACTGGCCCATGACCGGCCCCACACGTCAACCAGCTGAACAGCGACGGTCATGTCCATACGTCAATGGGTTCAAAAGACAAGCATCCTCTCTTTGCCTGAGGGACAAAATGGTACAAATTTGTTCTGCATTGAATCATTGACTCGGTTCCAACCCAAAGAATGGATAGATTGGGTAGATAGATGAATGCAATGTTCTTTTTCTGCCAAACTTCTCAGCAGCAACAAATCATCAAGCACGAATCGGCGAAGCTCACTGAAGGCGAGATCAGATTCCAAGTGTTTTGTGAGAGATTGCAAGATGTATATAATTTTAGTATTATTATTATTATTAATTATAATTATTATTATTATTATCATCATTATTATTATCATTGTTATCATTATTATCATTATTATCATTATTATTATTACTATTACTATTATTATTAGTATTATTATTATATATATTATATTATATATAATATAATATAATATAATATATAATATATATAATATATATAATAATATATATATATATTATAATATATATATAATAATATATATATATATAATAATATATATATAATAATATATATATAATAATATATATATATACAACTTGGAAATTCCTTCAGTGAGCCTCATCGTGTCTCATGCTTGAGACGGTTTCATGGCTTATTGAAAGGAAGAGACTGACTGCTGAGAGACATCCATGCAGATTCTGATTTGAGCTATGTCAAAGACATGCAGAACTATGCTTATTTACGTAAAAACTGATAGGCTAGAGATGTCTGTCCCAATCTCCAGGTCTACTGTGGATCGAATCTGGACTCTGCCTTGGTGCTACATGGTGCTACGCTGCTGTGTCCCACGTGGATCTAAATCTCATGTTTCTGTGCAGTGAATGAGCGCCATTCACACGTCCACATTTGTGGTGGAGGTCCATGCGTCTTGGTCGATTCGCTTCATCATGGCCTCCCCAATCAAACAGAATGAACATGTCAAAATTGGAAGTCTTCTGAAGCCAAGGACACAAGGACTCGACAGATTTCACCAAGGACCAGTGACCCCAAAAGAAACAGTGATCCCGGTGATGCATCAAGGGATCTGAGGTCAGAAGAAGAAGCATTGCGATGGCCGTTGCCTTCAGCTGCTTCATGGGCCCCACTTCGTAGAACTCTGTCAGCCCATCCTGCAATGTGCTTTGCCATGCCACATGCCTAATCAGCCTAATCCCTTTTAATACACCTTTCCCTCCACATGATTCCAAAATCCTTTAGCATATTGCCCTCGGTTGCGCTTTACAGTGGGACCCGACAAAATTGCACTTCCATTTCCATGGTAGTCCCACACAAGCCTCCATTTTGCCTATAGATCGCTCGTTTAAGCAACTAATCAATTGGATGATATGGAATAGTAACTATTGTGGTTAATACCTAGTATTGAATAATTATCAAGTAAAAATGAATGATAGAAGGGATTTTTCCCAAATGAATGATAGAAGGGATTTTTCCCGGCACCTTCCTGCACTTTCTCCTACCCTCCAGCATCGGCGCCTTCTTCATCAGCCTCACAGAGGGCTCCCACAGCACTGGAGAGCAAAGCTGCTTCGCCAGCAACGGCACAATCTCTGCTGGTGGGGTTCCTGCCTGTAACGCGGTGAGCAACGGTACACTTCAGCTGGAAGGTCAGCGGTGAGCATGCCGACTGCTGTCTCTCTCAAAAAAGGAACGGTGAAGTCGCATTTCTCAAAATTTTCGTCCTTGATTTTCTTGCCGGTGAAATTACTGTAGACATCACCTTGAATCAGGGGCATTGAGTGATTGAGTGATTGAGTGATACGCAGTCAATGTCTCCACAGTGCCCAAGTCATGCAGCATTATGACCGAAAAACGAGGATCTTGCACGTTGGTGGCTGCATCTTGGGCAAAAGCCTGAGGGCCCGCTACAAAACACACGAAGGATGTACTCTGAAGCCAACCATGTTGCGTAGAAGTCCAGAAAGGTACTTGAAAGATTTTGAAAGTAAAGTGAGGTAGAACATCCTTAAAAATGTTGGAAACCATTTTCTAGGCTCAGCGGAATGTGCCAGGAATACTATCTATAGGTCTCACATCTTGGCCTTTGCAACGCTTCTTCCAGCTTCTCTTGAGCTGGCCTGATCTCATCACAATCTGCTCGAGTACAAAAAGTCTACTGATTCTGGCTGCGCTGCACACTGCCAGATATCCAACCGCAAAGCACAGGACCTTGAACCCATTGCCTGACCTTTTGACCTCTCACTCAACCAACCACAGTCTGAAGCTCCTGAAAAAAGCGCTAGTGTGCTCTAAGCAGTTTGCACCGTTGCACGGCATAAAGTGAGAAAATGAGCTTTGACCAAACGAAGCTTGGGATGCTAACTTCATCAAGTCAGTGTGAAAGCCGCCAGAAGTCTTCAGCCTTGACCGCTCACAAACAGTCTTCCAAAAGCATGATTATATATTGGCAGCAGCACAGGCTCCCCGCATTCGTGCTTGCAGCGCACCCGCTTTTTCAGCAGCTTCCTCCCGTGCTTGCGAATGGTGCTACACGGCTATGCTTACATGTCTGGGAATAAGGCACACATGATACATATGGCACATGATGACATGACAAGACTAGAACTCCAGAAATGAATAAAACCTCATCTACAAGCAAGCAATCAGGCAAGGTAAACAGTAAAAACCTGGGACTCAGCCAAAGCCTTCAACTTCTTGATGGCCGGCTCTGTACCAGCCTCAAAACACAACAAATGAGTCAAGATGAATAAATTCTGCCAGGAGCGGTGCAGAGTGCAGAGTTTCGTGGTCTTGGGCAACAGCAGTTTCACCATGTTTCACCTCATGAAAACGTTTTCCCCAAATGCCAAGCTGCTGCATGCAGGCGCCATTAGGCAACGCTGCAGGTGGAACGGAGTCTGAGGTTCAGAAATCTTCACCCCATCCTTCCGGAACTTCCCCATCTATGCACAAGGATGCAAAAGGCCACATGGCCACAGGGTTCGCACGGTAGTCTTTCCGACAGGACGTTGAGGCTGCAAGCTCTTGGAGCTCTCGTGCTCGGAGCACCAGAATCAGAAACCAGGAAAACCGACGATCGTGAAGTAACGGAGAGGTCACTTCCGCTGAGCATAGTCGCAGAGCCACTAAATTCATTAGCTCGGTGCCCAGCAAGAATGAACACCTTGGATTAAACTCAATCAAAGGTCACATTCTGTTGGAAATATTTGGAAATGCCTTACACTTTGCCTTACACTTAGACCATATGTAATGTCCTTTCCAGTCTTCTGCACACGCCAAACCAAATCCACAATGCTCACCAATCACCTTTAAGTCGAGCAACCCCACGGGCTCAAAGGACCAGCATCCAGCGTCACCACGGGTCCCTTCTCCATCTTCTGCGCATCCAGCAGGACCAATCGGCAACGTTTGGAGTCTCCGTCATGGACAACGCCTGTGCACATGGAAAAAGGGTCTCACTCTGTCTTTCCAGGAAAGGAGATAGTAATCCAACTTAAATAAGGAAGATTCCAAAGCAGACTTGATGTAAATCGATTGCACTTCATCATAGTCCCTCACCTCCTTCCGCAAGTCTTCTTGTTGCAGGGGCAATCGAATGTATGAAACTCAACACAACAGCCCTACCAATGGTCTGCTGCCATGCATCAATCACACTCATCACACTCCAAGTGCTGCCGGGCATCTGACAACCCAACCATCATCCTCAGAAGATTGCCCCAGCCATTCTGTTCCACCAGGGCTGCTTGGCAGGAAAAGAGGCTCTGACACGATGCACCTCAGAATGAACACAAGACGGTGCACATTCTGTCACAGGACACTTCAGGACACAGTGAAAAAACTAGGTCATTAGGTTTTATCATGTTTTATCATGTTTTATCATGTTTTATCATGTTTTATCATGTTTTATCATGTTTTATCATGTTTCATCTTTCATTGCCTTTGGGGAAAGATTCTGCGATGAAATGTCCTGAGGACGCGTCCCATCGCCAGCATCCCAATTTGTCACAGAGCCGCTATGGAGATCTGCCTGGTTCACACGATTGAAAAGTCAAATTCTTGAAACGGAGGATATCTAAAATCATGTTCTATCTTTGTGACGTCAAGTAAGCGACCATGGGAGAGGTGTCCGGATGGCCCTTCTCCTCTGTCGTTTCCCTCCATGCCTTCAGCAAGGAGCGGAAAGGGAACCAACCCTCAGGTCTCCAAGCACCCGAGAAATAGCAGTACCTTGCCTGGTCCAAGCAGTGCAACTTTTACAAACCGTGAAACTTCTGCCACGTCGTTCGGTTTGGGACGTTTGGGACTGACACAGGGGCGCCTCTTGGCCATCGCGCAGAGGATGAAAAGTTGGCATGTCAACAGGGACATCCACACCACCTGCAGCTGGTGCTGGTGCTGGCACTCCAGTGACTGCAACCCTTGTCGGACTGAAATGCTGGTCTGAGAGTCTGACCTCGCTGCCTGAGTTGTGGACAAGCGAACATTGGTCACAATGATTCACAATGTCAATGCAGTGGAACATGAACGTGAGAAGGGGTGCATTCCAATTTCATTCTACATTTCAAGCTGCCAAGACAGCATGTGGTTCTTTCATATCCTACTTCGCTTGATGCCACCACCATGACATTGTCTAGAACCAGATCTGTCCCAAAACCGCAGTACGCACACAGACTAGACATCACTGAACCATGACCCAGAAGGCCCTCTGATTCCGAATGTTCATGGTCCCAGCTTCAATGTTTGTTTTTGCTCACGCCACCCATAGCAGTCCCGAATGTGTTGCTTATTTTTGATATCTTGTCTCTCCTCTATGTTTTTATTTCTTTGTTTCACGTCTGAAACTTGTTCACACTGGCACATTTCATAGCTTGGTGGGGGCTTGTGGATTGGGTGAGGCGGGTGGAAAGTGCACGAAAAGGGTGGGGTGTGGGGGGGAGTTCAAATGAAGAAAAAAACACTTGCATTCATTGCTGTTGCTACGTTGAAGAAGTGGGATGGCAAAGAAAATTTGCAAGTGAGACTAGGTGACTTGGCATCATCCAAAGACATAACATCGGTTCCTCTCAAAGTTCGGTTCTCTTAACGGGACAAAATTGTCTCACTCCTGCGCAGAAAAAGGCGATCAGCCAAGCTGGAGTTAACGGTCCTCGTTTCGGTTGAATTGGACCTTTGGTTGTTGTTCATGGTTCAATTGGTTTTGTCCTAGCAATGCTTTACCCTGCAACCTTCTGAGTCCTCTTGGCTGAGTTAAACTCATATGTGTACACTGTATGGGTAAACACCTACTGAGTTGATTTGAAAAACATGGTTGTTTTATGGAGATAAAAAAGTAGGTATAATTTTATTCAGTTTACGCATTGATGTCTTGTCTGTGTTGTACATGTACGAATGGATTCTTTGTTGACAAGTCACTGGTCTTTCAAAGGCACTTGCCTTCTTTCCAGCATCTTCCCTTCATTGAGATCCAGTTCAAAACGGTGAAGACGAGGAGGTCTTAGCGACCAACGGACGTAGAATTCTGGGAAAATAGATGGTAGAACTGGTAGACTTGTTGTGGGGACAATGATGCCTCACTTTTGATCAACATGCTGGGTTTGCATATTCAATACCTTCTTAATGCAACCACGCAACACATCGGGAGGCACTTGTAGATCAGTCCAACGAACAGTAATGAATTCACTCCGTGCGGCAAATCAAATCATCGATATGCAAACAGAATCAAACAGAATTCACTCAGTACGCAGTTTTCAAGTGACCCCTGTCATTTTGTGATCAGATCGATCAGCATTGCTGCCAGGAGGCGGATTTGTGTCACTAGCTGACCAGCCAATCGGATCAAAGTCCTGAGAATTGGGCGTTTCAACAGATCTGGCAAACCAAACACTCTGAGAATTGGGTAGATGCTAAAATTCTAAACATCATTGCTGTCCACACCTGTTCAACTTTCACATTGCAATGTTTGGCAGAACGCACGGATACAAAAAAACATGCTCAGAAATGCAAACTCGTTCAGACAGGTTTGCTCTGTCCACAAATTTCAAGAGAGACAATGAGTCGCCAAACGGGAACCAATGGGGAGGGTGCATGGCAGAGATTATGGACACGGGCAATGACATCAAAATCGGCCGCACGCGCAAAGCAGATCTTGTGTTAGTTTTGGATATCCACAAGGGTCAGACCGAAAGTTTGAGAGAATGATGCTGTTCTCTTGATATTGGATTTACACGACTACCCCTCTCATCCTTCAGATTGTTTGGACTGTGGTTGCCAGACTTGAGCCAGACTGGAGACCACCTTGTACCCAATGCTTTAATTCTCGGGTGGCATTTCGCTATATGACGTTCAGATATGATTCAAACAGCACATACCTCTCCACATACATATGTGTATGCATGCGTATCAGATTAGTATATATACACAGTATATATAACATATACGATATGTATGTGTATATATACATATTTATATGTATCTATCTATATATATATATAGAGATACACATACATATACACATATAATCATATAATCATATATATATGTATATATGTACACTCATGTGTATTGTATATGTATATATGTTTATGTACAATATCCTATTGGTATACTCATATAGTTTGCACTACCACTCGCAGGACAGTTTCTATTTCCCATGTTGAGAACAGAACCTGGTTTCTTGCGGTGGTTTTGTGCATAATTCCGTTGTGGTCGGTACACGGAAAGTCCTGATCCACCACATCGAAGCCCATCTCACCACCGAAGCGGTAGCGATCAAAGGCGACGCCTGCAATTCCAGAAATTTCCAAAATGAATGCGGTGGTGGCTTCATAAAGTCGGGTACAAAGTGAAAGGTTCATGGAAAATCCTGTTAAAGTGGATGATTTGGGAGTACCCCCATTTTAGGAAACCTCCATGTTGTTCAATGGTTGGTGGGCAAATCAGCATGGCACTGGCAGGTCTTGTGTTTGATGTCCGTGGCAGAACTTTCCGAAGCAATGGCTTCTGACAAGTTGCTGTGGACCACCATACGCTGCCCAGGGCATTCATAGGTTGGTCCCATGTGAAAGACGTTGAAAAAACCTAGGACATGGAGAAATACCTCCTGGCAAACCTGCATACTCAATGTCATATATATATATACACACACGTATGTATGTAGTATATGTATTATATACATATACTATACAAATGATATGATATGATATGATATGATATGATAATATATATATACATATTTATGATTTATACCGAAATTCATTTCCCTCCATCAAGCCAGACCGATGGGTCTTGCGTCCCAGGGGCGATCCACGGGGATCTCCTTCACCTCCCCTGTGCCCGATCGAGGTATCAATAGAAATGCGCAAGGTGTGTCCTGGAGGCAAGACATTGGAGCAACGATAACCGGTGCTGAACCATTGGTGATTTCAAACATGTTGAAATTATCTTTTAAATTCCTTGAATTTTCCTTAAAAAAACCTTAAAATTCCTTAAAATTCAAACATGTTCAAATCTTTCTCCCAAAGCCATGACATGCCATGACAATCGGTGGATCTCTCCTCTGCCATCCGGAATACTTCGGTGCCCTGGGCCAGACCAGAAAGAAATGCCGCCAATCCAGGTGGATTGAAGCGTGCCGGGTTCTTTGGAACTACCTGAGCTGCCCGGGCTTTCTGTGAAACATGTCAAACATGTCAAACATGTCAAACATGTCGAACATGTCCCAAATCACTGACTGTCAAACATGTCGCATATTTCGTATCACAGACCAAGATACGTAGTAATTCTCCGTCAGAATCCAGTCATGGACAACCTCAACGCATTTGCTGCACAAGTTCAAGAACAATTACGTACTGTAGTTCAATTTTCAAAATGAACATAGGTTCGATTCGATTGGTTCTTTCATTGAAGACAAACATCAGCCGTAAAAAACTCCCATTCAAAGCTGAGCTCTTGACCATGAAACTTGTTCCATGGGAGATTTCCTGAGCGTTTGGCTTCGTTGAGATGGAGAAATGTGAGTTTGTCTGAACACGGGGTGCCCCCAAAACCATTGGTTTATCATGGTTAATCACCGTTTTTCCGTAATTTTCCATAACAATTGCCCAAAAACAGCCATTCGGCAGATATACTGTGTGATCCTACTTTTCAGACAAGCCAGAATGGCGAAAGTCTGGACTAGAAGACCCGTCAGTTTGGCAGCCAAGTGTCTCCAACCAGCTCGCCTGCCTCATTGTACTCATGGAACCTGAGATGCCACAGCTGCAGGGAGTTGAGGAGAGTGCATTGCTGACCCGCAGGTAGGCAACAGCAGCTTGGTGCCCAAGAAGTCATCCGGGTCATTGACGTAAGTTGTGGAAGCATACACCAGGCCTCAAGCTGCCCAGAACTCACAAAGCTTGCATACGGATCACGGCAATCTAGGTCTCATCCAGGGTTGGAAGCTTCAATCAGCTCATCGATACATTGTGTAGCAACAGCCATGAGCTTCCAAATGTTCACTTCCGCACCGAGTCACGTTGACGCGCAGCATCATAACGTGTGTGTGCAAGCCATTTCTCTCCAGAAAGTCCAGGGAATGTTGCTGGGCCAAGGGTCTCCAAGGTCTCTGGATCCTCAGGAAACTGTCATGCGAAAGTAGCGGCGTAAGTACACGACGCAAAATCGTGTGTTCGATGGGATCTTTAATGGTTTCAAAAAAAAGGACTGCAGCATGATGGCATGGAGTCATGTAGCTCCCTTCGCTGCTTGTACCTTCGAAATGAGCTGCTCCAAGTCGCCGTCTGCGCTCATTCAAAACCAATATCTCGCCAAAGGCCAAAACAATGACAACGGAATTCGGAATTGCGCGACTTCCACCCGTGATTCTAGTGAGCTGCAACAATGCAACAAATGCTTGCCAATTCGATGTGAATGGGCCGACAATTTGCCAACGCGGGAGGCTCTGCAAAGCAACTAGCGAGATTGCGGATCCATGTTTGCCATCAAGATTACAACTTGTGAAGTTCAAAAACAAATCCCAAGCTTTGTATCTGATACCTATACAAGCTACAGTATATGAATTTTGAACCTCCGGTAGAAAACATACTACAGGTCAAACTCACTCCAACTTTTGACATCCTGCTGACTATGTGAAGCAATTCAGGCAAGTTTCCAGGGCCATGGGAGTGTCATTGTCACCTGAAGAATTTCGATTGTCTTCGTCGTTTTGACTCACAGCCAATGACATAGGTTGCACTGGTTTGGACGTCATTGTCGCCGCCACAACAGTTAATTTATGTCACCTTCACTATCTTTCACTCGTTTGTTCAGATTGTTCCAAATGTTCCCAAGCCAAGAAGCCACTGGCCACTAACACAGTATCTTCACCGCGCTTAGGAGGCCACAAACGGCATGTGAGGTTCGCGGTTTCCCGAGTGCGTGGAGAAAAGGCCTTTGTAACGACCCAAAAATGTGGCGTGTCTTGCTGACAGCAAGGCCAAGCCTTCCCTTCTCCCCCCTTGTCCACTGAAATCATGTTCTGCCCCTACTCATTCCCATTCTCATCCATTCTCTATTGTCTTCCGCTTCTATCCCGTCATTAATTGATCATTATCATTCTATACTTCTTCCACAGTTTTGTCAGCCTTCAGCCTTATCAACCTGTCCTCTCTGAAGTTCAGCCAAATTACGTTCAGCAAACCCAGGGGGAGGTCAAAATCTACAACGTTCGAAAAAACTCCTGTAGCAGCACTAGCTGCACCAAATCGTCACCAAATCGTCACAAGTTGGAATCCAGTTGGAACACGTTTCGCCGTTTCGGGACCGTTTTTCAGGTCATTCAGGTCATTTCAGGTCCTCTAAAAAGGGGGCGTCCAGCAGCGCGCTCCATGGAACAGCACGGAGTTTCCACAAAACGCCCTCGATAGGTTATGGAGCCTGAGGCCACAGGTGCATGGTGATACATGGTGATGTTTTTCAACTGTGTATCTTGGTAATTAGTACCGGTTCTGAAATTGACAAATATATATATATATATTAATTATATATATATATAATAGATAGTTGCAAAGTCTGCAAACTCACCAGTTTTAATGAGAAACTTTGCAAACTCGTGCACTCAGCGCATGCTACGCTGCATACACTGCGCCAAGGCGCCATCACCATGGAACTGAAAAGAGCGAATAAAGCCATGCGCTTCAAAGGGATGCACCAAGCGTCCTCCTTGATCACAACTTGCCAGGCCTGGTGTTCACTTGAAAGATCTTGAAAGGCTGTGGCAGAAAAATAGGGAGAATACTGTGGTGCTAGGAAAGGAAGGCCATGAGTCCCATTTTAGTGGCGAAAGTATTCTTTCCAAATAGCCTGAGCTTCTTGAATGCCAGGAGGAAAGCAGTCTGTGTGTAAAAGGTCCAGATTGCGACTCAGGTGCCGTTCAGGTAATAGGTACCTCGCAACGCCTTTAGAGCCTTGGGTGCATGATCTGGAAGATGCCAGAGCTCCTTGCAATCTGGCCGCACAAATATGGAGAAAGTTTTTTTGAAACTGTCCAGGCTTCTGTTGCATGCTCTCAAAACATCTTCATTCTGTTATTGCCAAGCTGAGCTATTCCAGCGATTCCGCGTTTTAGAGCCTCACGTTCCTCTGGGATGCTCACTGCCACCTGTGACCAGCTCTGTGTACAAATCTTACATTGCATGTTTGTCCATTTGAATTCCATTTGTCTGTTTCTTGGCATATTTGTTGCTGTTTCATCTCCACCGCAACTTCAGCCTCGCGAAAGCTACGTCGAGCTTCCGCACGGCGGCGCTCCACGTCAGCTGTTGACGTGGCCACTTGAGGCTCCTTTTCATGGAACACCGGACCAAAGAAGAGACGCATCTAGAAGTGTGACTGAGCAGCATGCTGTAACACACAGACCCACAAACAGGTCTGATAAATGGGTGAAAAACAGCATGTGTCTCCTTCACTGCTCGACAGCCTACTGATCGGCGGTTGCGAGCTGCGGCTCTCAACAGAGGCAGGGTCAGTGGCGCCAACCAAAGCGCGCAAGGCCAGCTCTGACGATGACCAGCGCTGCCGCTACTGTCACGCAGCAAGAAGGTAAAGAGGTGTTAAGGGATGTAGAGAGGACTATGGATTGAATACGCGCGTTTTCTCTCAAGAACTTCAGGTATGTCTTTCGGGAGCAGTGTAACTCACACCGGATGTGCATTCTCCAGAATTAGCAGGACATAGCCTCTTTCTCCGAATTCATTATCATGAATTAGCTCTTTGCTGTAGAGACCAATGCTTGGCTCGGTAGATTCTATTCGATAGGTTAAGAATTTGGAACCTTTGTACTTTTGAATGCAATATACCTTGAATGTGCCAAAAAAACAGCCACCAACTGAATAGCATGGTCGCTGCCTTCGCAGGCTTTGGCTCCGGCGCAATGGTGCCTGCAAAAGCTTCGCTTATTTTTGCCCGTTCCTCCCCCTTTCCAATGCAGAATTGATAGCTTGAGAGGTCGTGTCATTTTCTATGTCTTGCATCAATCAATGTCTTGGACATAGGATCATGCAGAGCCTCCCGGTGAATGCCAGCAGGAGCGGGCGAAGCTACGAAGGTGATCATGGCGCCAAGCCAAACAAAAGCACCAAGAGTCTTTTTCCAACTCAGAGGTTTGGCCCATCTATGGCAGTCTATGGCAGCAGTCTATGGTGGTCTATGGTCTGTTGTAAACAAGGCTTTGTTGCTGTAGATTCGGAGCTGTGGTCATCTGAGTGTCTCTAGACTTAGCAATTGAAGCAATCTGGCAATAAAGTTGGGTTGTGTTTGGTTTAGCTTGCGGTATACTAGGAAAATATCAAGAATAAGCAGTATAAATCTCAATGTTTCCTCTAGAGTAGTATCTCCATGTTTCCTCTAGCGTTTCCAGGCGACAGGATGATGCTTGCTGGCTGCACAAAGTCGCACTGCACCTGATGTGAGTGTATTGAAAAGCTAGAGAAGAGTAAAGCATTGCAGCCTCAAACCGCATCTCCCCAAGGAAGGAACACAACTCCTCGTTTGGGACGTGAATGCAGAGTAAGTGCAGGACACATGAGAATCCTTTTGGGAAAAGGATGTTGGCAATTTGGCAAACCTGCCCAGCAATCGAGGCAAAATGTTGTAGTCGCAGGCCCTGAAACAATCAAAACTGGACGTTGATCACGGACTGCACTACTAGGCATAAAGTTACAGCTGGTCTGCGTTGACAGTATGGTTGGATCTTTTGGAGTTTCATCTAGCTAAACACCAATAATTAGCATGTTTCTACTTTTCTGCAAAGTTGTGAGAGACTTGGCAATCAGTCTTGGTAGCTCTTGGCCTCTCCGCCTTTGGCTTGCTGCTTGCAAATGTTTTCTAACTCTTGCCTGTCAAGGCTGCCTACCAAAACTCTGGCCTACACGAGACTTCCTTTGACAGTGTGGATTGGTCAAGGTAAACAGCCAAACTGGCTGAAACAAACCACAACCAACGATCAGATACGATCAGCAAGGATATTATTCAACTCTGTCGGACTGATATAAGAATTTATTCCTCAACCTGGCAACCACTGCAGTCAAGGCACTGCTCAAGCCCTGCGACTGAGAGCATGGCCTTATCACTTTCGCACGCAACACACTGTTTTCAGAGATGATAGTAGGGAGTGGTTTCTAAAATGTTCTTCATTTGCTTTTAGATTTGCAAGATCGCAAAGGAAAAGTGTTCTGCCTTTAGCCTGTAAAATTGAATCTGCAGTTGCACATTGCTCAGGACTCGCGCTGGCCCAACTTTATGGTCTCCCCCACACCTCTATCTGTTCCGTTTTGTGGTTCTACTGTAGTTCTGTGTCTTTATCCTTAAAAGTTTCATGCCCGCGCCAATGGACAGCGGGGCAGACCAGCCTGTGGTCGGCTCTTGGCTGCTTCAGCCATGGCTGCACCACGCACCTTGACCAGTTCCATGCCTGACACTTTTGGCCAACCCGTGCAGTTTGGAAAAACTTCATGTAAGTCTACCATATATCATATATCATTATATGCATTTATATTCCTATGTTATCATCTTATGATATGACAGATATATGATATATACGTGTATGATCGTGTGTGTCATGTATGTGCATATGATATCGTATAAGTCGTATAGGTTGTGTGTGCAGTTGTAAGAAAACTCTCCTGTGAGTCATGATTGTTGGGAAGGTCGTTCCAGTCTGCCAGCCTTGCTCGAAAGTGAAGACACCAGCTGCACAAAGAGCAGTGTACTCTCCAAGGGAAAGGCCTGCAGAAACTTGGGTGCTGCACATCGCTGCACTAAGCCAACAAAGCCAACAAAGCCCAAGATTTTGGTGTTTGGATGGGCTTCCAGGCACTCCGGGGTCCCATTCCCACCGCACTATGTGCAACAGCATTCCATGTGCATTCCTTTGGCCATGAAATTGAAGGAGCAGCAATCCAAACAACGGAGCCTGCTACTGCACCAGGCCGGTCTACTGCTTCAGGTCGTGAGTCTCGGAGCTTTTCAAGGCCTAGTCGTCTCCACACAAACAGCGGAGATGTTGAGCACTTTGCACCACTATAGAGTTAACTTCAGACCAGCTGCCTGCCATTCCCGCCAGAAACATTGCTGGCTGACACACCTTTGCCGTTTTTTTTGCTCGAAATGAGCAAACTCAGTGGAAGACTTTAACGAGTTGTGAGCGCAACCTTTCATTGCGGACATGCAGTTTTATGTTGTTCATTTCAGTTTTAAGTCTGCGACACTTGTCTCTTCAAGTTTCTCTTCAGGTCCATTTAAACACACCTGAGCCAGAGCAAAGAGGCCACCCAAATAGTTGGTTTGGCTGAATAAAATTGATCTAGGCCAGAAAGTCTTGCAGGGGCCGATTTTTCCACACGTGGCGTGGTCTAGCAATTTGTCGAAGCTGAAGTTCTGTCAGCAGTCCGCACTTTGGCCAAACTTTCCTTGTTCAATCCTGCACCAATTTTTAAGTGCTTGAAACTTGAAACACATGAAAATCTGCTTTTGCAGAAGTGTGAAATCTGCAGTAGATGGAGCAGTGGCTTGTTACTGTCATTGCTCCCAGAATGGCAACTTAGTCGCCCTTGTCAGTGAGCCTGTAGATGATAAAGACTCCTATTGAAACCACTAATCCTCCAGGCAGCCAAACTGCTGTTAGGCCTGCCGTGGTCCATGTATAGAGCTCACTGTTGTAAGCTGTGAGAGCCAGTCCTATATGCCAAAAGCACGCTGCCTGCACTGCCACAACAGCAAAGATCTCTTGGGGGCGATGGACAAGACGGGCATCACGAGGAATGTTGCGGCGCTTGACCAAAAAAAGCTTCTGCAATTTGGCGCGCACTTCGAGGAGACGAGCCAGCAGGGTCGGCAAGACCAGAATGGGTTTCAAAGGAGCAAAGAGCAAAACAAAGAGCAGGTTCAGCTTCAGCTCTTTTAGCTCTTCCATGGCATCCCAAGGACGTAGCACTGCCTGCTCCAAAGCACCTTCCAAATAGTCTGCTGCCTCCTCCTCCCCAGACTCATCTTCAGCATCCGTGTGAAAGGCCTTTGGCTCGGTGAAGGTCTTCCCAAGACAAACATAGCGGATACCAGTGACCTCACCATCCAACACAAAGATGAAGGCCAGAAATCGTGCTAGCCAGCCACAAGCGCAACAGCAGCATTTGGCACAAAAGCTTTTTGCACCTGCATCGGCCAGGTCTGCAAGATGATCAGCCAAGATAGGTGCCAGCACGGCTGGAATCAAATCCACAAACGGGGCTACCACGAAGGGCCCCACCAACCAGTTCTCGAAAAGGCTGCGGCGTGCTGAAAAGGGAAGCATCTGGCGTGCACAGCTCAAAGTCCCAGAACAGCAATAGGGGTCTCCAGACTTGTCGCAATTGCCAACGGCTCTACAGAAATCATAGTCCACCTGTCCACTGCAAACCTCCTCTGGAAGCAGTGTGGAACCATTTACTGAGTCTTCAGACCAAGATGGAAGGAAGATGAAGGCCAGCAAAGTGAATAGACCCACCTTAGCCATAACCTCAATCCACAGAGATAGCAGAGTCTGAACTGTGGTTCGCCTTCGCATCTTTTTGAAGTTCCAAATCCGTGCCAGCTGGAAGGACAATGCTTTGCAGGCCTCACCCAGCCCAACGATGAAGACCAAGGCCATGAGGATGTCAACCGAAATGTCAACAAAGACTGCAGAGATGCCCCATTTCTTTCCAGCATTGTCACAGTGCAAGCGGATGCACTCGCCCCACTCGAAAATGAGGTAAGACTTCAGCTGCAGGAGTAAACTCAGCACGAGAGCTGCAAGGCTCAAAAAGAGAATGAGTGCACACGTGGTGACTGCTGCTGCTAGGATGAATCGTTTGACAGGTGCATTCTCTGGCTTATACTCTGGATTCAATCGGTAATCCAGCATGGGCTCACTGCCACTGCCACCAGCCTCACCCTGACCTCCTGCAGCAAACACCTCTGCCATTCGCTTTGTATCAACTGATTGGTATCCTGCCTTCACCTCCATCATTTTGCGAGGATCAAGCTGCTTTCCTTTGATCTTGCCTTTCAACTTGTTTGCATCGGTTTGCGGTTGGGAAGACACACTTTGCGATGGCTGTGGATGGCTATCACCTGCAATTTGAACAACTTGAGATTCCATCTGGTTGGGCAGGGAGATATCTTGAACGACACCCCCAGCAGCCGCATCAGCCACCCCTTGTTCCTCAGATCCTTTCTTGGTGCTCTGAACATCTTCTGCAGGTTCTGCAGGTTCTGCTGTGTCCAGTGTCGGAGGCAACAACTTTTGCGGTTGGCGCAAGCCAGCTCCGCAGGAGATTACAGAGCGGCGTGAGCTACCAAAGGCAATGAGGCAGAGACCCCAAATCAGGGTGAAGATCTGCATGACGTACCAAGGAATTGACTCCACGCCAGGTGTTTTCGGGCCCGCATTTGCCAGGCCAAAAACCAACATTGGCAAAGCCAAAGCCCACAAGCCTCGGGCAAAAAGATTGTCCCAGGCAAATACATAGCTCGTTTCCCGGCCATAGTGCTCCATAATGCATCTTGCCAAGATTGATCCATGTTTTGGTGGCAATATTCGAATGGCCCAAAGCGCCTTTTGCCAACATGCTGATTTTGGATCCATGAACTGACTCAAAGCTATTGCGGAGCAGACTTCGGAATCGTTTAGAGGCCACATCCATGGGCCGTAGTCTGGACGAATTTCTTGCGTCTGTTCACTGATCAAGTGCACCAAGCGATTCAAATATTTTGCAGGTGTCACTGTATCCTCCTTGTCCAAAGTTTCCCAGTCCAACACCCAAAGAGTCCTTGGGCAGTTGAGATAGGTGGTATGAGCTGCCACCTCAATACCCACGCCTTCTTTGGACAGACTCTTGAAAATTTTGAGTGCCTCCTTGTCATGTTCTCTGGGAAGCAGGACGGCTAAGAACGGTAGTTTCAATAGGTTGTTCTGGATCTCGTCAAGATCCTGAATCCAGGTGGAAAAGGCCTGGGTGATGCTACTGCGCCTCTTGTCTTCACCATCCGCTTCTTTCTCATCCTCTGCTGTTTTTTCGCCCTGGGCTGCTTTCTCACCCTCTGCTGCTTTCTCACCTTCCATTGCGTCCCAACGATCACGGGCAGTCTACCTCTAGCCAAAAAAGTTGCAGCAAGCAATGCAGGAAATCTCCTTGAAACTGGCAGGCATGCAACTCCAAGTGTCAAATCGCCGGTCTGACATCTGGCAGAGCTTTCCATTGATCGCTCAGCAATGCTTACTGGAAATTACTTTCCAAGTGCAATACACTGATGCGCTCTGCCCAAGTCTGGACAGTCGTGCCTCCAGAATGTCATAACCAAGCACTGCTCGCGCCGTTGCAATCATTTCCTTGACCTTCACCTTGTCCTCAGTTTGATTCTCCAATTGTTAAAGTTTTGTAGCACAACACCGATACGTTGAAATGAGATGAAATGACTCAGACAGATGTTGATCGGTCTACTGCAAGCAGTTAGCAAATGCTGAAAACTTCGTTGGGCAATGCGGCAAAGGATGCGCCTTGACAGAGTCCAACATCTTCACATACTGAGAGCCTTGACCTGCTTCCGGACAACGACGTCGGACATCGATGTCTTCTTTTGATTCGCAATGCGCAGGAAACGGCAGGAAACTCTGAAACACTCTAGACATCGAGTAGACATCTCTAGACATCGAGTAGACATCTCCAGGCATCTTTAGACTGTAGACATCTCTAGATATACTCCTCCGCTTAGTGTCCACAGGTCCCATCTTGCGATGCAAAAATAGACTCAGTTCTGGTTGACGGACATGAGGCAACTGCAAATGAACTGCCTGGAAATAGCAAGGCAATGGTTGTAGGGCCAGTAGGTGGTGTTGCTATAGCCTGCTTTACAGCAGCACAAGCAAGACAGTAAACTGGCAGAGACTTTGACTTTGAGAGAATGATTCTAGACTTGGCAACATTAGTTTCCTGAGGCAAACAATACATGTTCAGTAACCAAGAATCTTACAATACTGAGATCATCCACTGAAAGGGTGTGAGATTAGGAAATTTAGTGGAAAATACAAGCTAGGCCAGGAAGATCTCTTGTGATTCGAATCACTGGTGTGAAAGGCCTATCGAGGCCTATTGAATACAATCTGACGTTGGATCTCCGGTTTCGCTTTCGTTTGCACGTTCTGGCTGACACCGCTCCGCTCCTCAAATGACGATGTTAGGCTTGGCTGTACCTTTCCCTTTGTGACCTTTTTGATCTCCTCAAAGGGATCCTGCCACGGAATCATAACTGCACTGCGTTTGTAGCTTGACGTCGGTCAAAAAGTCAACAAGAAGCATTTAAGCCTGTTCAAACTGCGTTGTCTGAATTGTAATCATGTTAATCATGTTGGTTCATATGCGCACTCTTGATGCGAGCCAATTGCCTTGCCACTGCCTGTCTCCCCACTCTGATACAAGGTGTACCTGAAAGGCATCTACTTCAGACAAAAAATGACATCAGAATATATCAGATGTCAGAAATGCATTGGTCTAAAAACATTCTTCTGTCAATTCTGTCACGAGAGAATAGGGCAATGAACCCACTTTGTAGGGCAGCGACCGGCTATTGTTCTCTTTGCCATAGCGCACCTGCACAGATTCTCGGTTGAAAGTACCATCGGAGTCAACACATGAATCACAATGAAGCTTCCTCAATCTCGTTTCTGAAAGATTCATGGGCACCGAGCTGAGGCTCAGACATACTTATGCGGTGGGATGTCTTTCAGAGCTTTCTCCTAGGTTTCAGAAGGAAGATGAAGGAAGTGAATTTGCTGCCGATGTTCCACCTATTTTATATATTAGACCGACTTCATTCGACTATACCAATTCAACGTAATTCCTCAATGATTTGGCAGCACATCTCAGAACATCCATCAGGCTCAGGGACATGTATCTTGGAGCCTCGCTAAAACCTGCACGATGTCATCCCAGCCATGCTTCAGCGCGATATCCTTTGGCATATGCACCACATTCAACAGAGCCTTTGAAGCACGTTTGTAAAATGCTGTTATAAGCAGTGCTGAAAATTGATGAAATTTGTGCAGACCTGCTACAGAATCTTCCCACTTGCAGGCCAACTGAAATGTACCAAGAGCATCGGTGCGCTGCCAGCTTATTAGAAATTTACAGGAAAAAGAACTAGGAAGAAACTCCCGTCCTTCAGGGGCTCACAACTTGAAAAGACCACACACATGGGTTTGTCTGAAAATTTGATACCCCTGATTTCACTGGACCATTCTTCCACTTGAAATGGCTATAGGGCATCCATGGGCATCCCAAATGAGTTCGTGCCTTGGCAGTTTCCCCTTCAGAGGATTCCTCAGCTGGACGAAACTTCAAAAATGCTGTCATTGCCTACTGCAGCATCTGCAGCTGGCGTGCCTTTCCAAAAGGGACTCGGCACCTGAGTCGGGTCATGATCATATCTGCTATGCCACTATGCTACGGTGATCTCTGAAACATTTTGGAGCGTTCGGCACGCAGTTTTGACAGTTTTCTCCCTGAGGTCAACACTTCATATGCGGATCTGCCTTCGCTTTGATCATCAGTTGAACGCATTCAATCTGGCCAGTCCTCAGAATGCAAACAAGCACTCAGCATGTGAAGCAAAAGACTGGCCTGAAGGAAAAATTGCAAAATGAAACTGCTCAATGATCATGCCAGTAAAACCCTGTCAGTCAGACTTTCTATCACGGTCGGGATCAAGCTCCAGACTGACAAGCAAGCATCAGAGGCGTCATGACCTGATTCTTGTCCATTTGAAGATGTTTTGAGCACTGATTCCTGGCAACTACTGGCCACGTTTGGCGCCCATTCTTTTATGAAGGAAATTTTGCCAACATTCAAGGGGATTAGCAACACAGAAAGTTTGCATGTTCCACCTGCGCAAACTTGTTAACGAAAACCAATGTGCCCACGCCATCCTAGGAACAAGCTCATGAACATTCATGAACATTGAAAGCAACATGACCTGATGCTGAGGGTCTTAGAGGATCTCGGAGACTGAGGCGTCTGACCGTTTTGCCCTGGAAGTTTACGTGCCTTGGCTGGAAAAGGATTCTGTGGTGAAACCAAAAGACTCCAATTCGAAATTAATGAAATCGCCAAGTGCAGTGCTATTTTGCATTTCAAGAGCCGAAAGAGTTCGTTCGTGCACTATTTGGTCTCTGCCACCAAACTTTCACTCATCATGCTTCCCGATCTGGTGTTATTATATACCAGTTTACTACTTCCACCACTTCTGCCGTTTCCGTCGCTTCCTTTTCAATTCAAGTAGCAACAAGCAGAAATATGGGATAAGATGGATAAGGATGATGAGGGGATGAGGGAACATGGCCAGACATGTGCTCAGCTTCGTTGCGTGTTGATGTCACCAGGGAATTTGTTCTCGCTGTCACCAGTGAAGAGCAGCATATCCAGCACATCGAGGTCACCCTGACAGAGCAAGGCTCCGGGACTTCCGGGGACTATCCAAAAGGACGTGATTCGACCATAAAGTCCATTGGACCCGTCCAAATCTTGCAGGCTCATAATGCTCATATGTGGCTGGAAGAAGGCACTACCACTAGCACGGTATCCGGAGAAGCGTTCTCAAAGCACGTGGTCAGTCGCCTGGTAACAGGCTTCGGCGACTCTGTGTAGGTCATACTTGGGAGTGCCGTTCCACGGCCCTGGCAAATCAAAAAGTCAAAGCAAACTAAAAAGCATCAAAAAGCCGTGACAAAGTGACAAAGACTGTGCAAAACTAAAATACACATACAGTCAGTGCCCCTTTCCACAAATGTTCTGGGTTCGCCACCCATCACGTTGTGTTGGCCGAGGTGTCCCCCCAAGCCAATCACGAACTGTAAAGGGCAAAACGATCACAAATGGTTCCAACATGTGCAAAACGTGCTTTGAATCCAACTGGTTGACATGGACCGAGAAAACCAGTGTGAAAAGCATCAATCCATCAACAAACCAAAGTTTAGGTTCAAGACAGTCTAAGACAACGAAAAAATACACATTGAAAGTTGCTTCCAGCTACTGTATGGTAAACCTACGGAACTCTTGGCCAAGTGTCATCAAAGGATCTAGATCCCTACCTGAAAGCCTGAAATGTTGGGATGCTCCTGCTCTTTGATAGTTCTATACAAAATTCCGCCATCCCAAATCATCCCACGCCACCTGCAATAATTCCCAGTTTGAACGATGTTGTTGGGTTTGGACGTTACCACTCTCGATGGACCGTACTGCAGTGGTCTCGCACATTTTCTGCGGGAATCTCTCAGCGTCAGCAGAACTCGGCCATGCCGCTATGAACTTTGACAGTCGAGCTGGAAGAATCTTCTGACAAGCCGTGTCAAACAGCCACTGAATACACGTTGGGTGCAGCTTGTGAGTAGTGGGCGAAGGGCAAGAGAGATCAATCTCAGAAGCCTTGCAACGGATAAGAAGCGAGCGCAACTGGCTTTGGAGGAAACCGCAAGACTAAGACAGAGAGTTGTCTGGATATCGACAAAGAAAGTTAGGAATTGGTGCCGGGTTGCTGTCAAAGGTGTGGTTTTTTTTTGAAGTTCTAGGAATCATCTCCAAGCCTCTGCCTCCAGAAAACTGCAGAGGATTGGTGATCTTCTCACACTGAGAATCAGCCATATACTGCACAAAGCAAAGTACTGAGTGCTTCAACTTTCCCAAAGCTAGGAGTAGCACAGAATGTGGGAAACATCAGGTCTTTATATTCTTGAATACTTCATTTCTTTCCATAAGCGATGCACCCAACAAGTGGTGACGGACCACTTGAATTTCCCGTGGCGACAATAGAAAGCCTGTGCCGCAGCGGCAGGGAACCAGGATGCACACATTTTGCGTGTCTCCGATTTCCAAAATTCAAAACACACAAAGGAAAAGCAGCAGGCTGAAATGAAACCTCTGCGAGAGTGGCCCGCCGATCCAGTTTGAACATCTGGCACTACACGTTATCCAAAGTTGGTTGATATGCTACCAACAAGCAGTACACCAAAAAATGCTTCGTTTGAGATGCATCAAAACATCATAAAACATCATACAACATCATAAAACATCAAAAAACGCCATTTGTCAGTAATCTGCCGGCCTGCCGGCGTGTCTTGTGGATCTTGCTTGTTCGTACTTGTACTGTCTGTTTTGTCTTTGTCTAGACTTCCCCCTTGGCGCGGATTTTTGCCTCGTCTAACTTGAACCCACCCCCCCTTCCCCCCCTCTCCCCACCAGGTCTTCTGTTTTCATCTTTCCTTACGTCGTGGTGGGCTCAACTCTGCCCACGGCTCGCTCAACACCGGCTTGGTTTTGCACATCTTGCTGTCATTTCGATGCTTGTTTCCGTTCTTTTGTTGTGTTTGCCACCGGTTTGCTCCCTCGCTTCTTAAACCCAATACTTGATTCACTGGTTTTTGTGCCGAACACCTTTACACGCATAATCTTTCTAAATATGGCCTTTTCCAAAGCCTTTCTCAATATGGCCTTTTCCAAAACCCTGGTCTACACACATGCTTTGGTTTAAACTTAAACCGTGGTTTGAACAAAACCAATGTCCGCCGACCCCTGCCGTCAGCAGGGGGAGCGCGTCAGAGGAGGCCTTACTAGCAACAAGATGCCAGAAGGGGCGAAGAGTTTGTGCAGAACGAAAGTCGGCTCCAGAAGGACACGAGCAGGGTGGCAGTTGGCAATGTAGAAACGCGGGAAAAGTCAAGGTTTGGAGCTAGTTTCTAGTCGGTTCAGAAAGTGACGTTTGGCAGTCTGGGATACGGGCCGCGGGCCCAATCCGTCCTTCACTGCCATGGTGTTTTAGCCCTGCGACACGGTCCTTGGACTCCAGCTTGGACCGAAGCGGTGCAGAACGAAAGCCGGCTCCAGGAGGACACGAGCAGGGTGGCAGTTGGCAGTGCAGAAACGCAGGAAAAGTCAAGGTTTGGAGCTAGTTTCTAGTCGGTTCAGAAAGTGACGTTTGGCAGTCTGGGATACGGGCCGCGGGCCCAATCCGTCCTTCACTGCCATGGTGTTTTAGCCCTGCGACACGGTCCTTGGACTCCAGCTTGGACCGAAGCGGTGCAGAACGAAAGCCGGCTCCAGGAGGACACGAGCAGGGTGGCAGTTGGCAGTGCAGAAACGCAGGAAAAGTCAAGGTTTGGAGCTAGTTTCTAGTCGGTTCAGAAAGTGACGTTTGGCAGTCTGGGATACGGGCCGCGGGCCCAATCCGTCCTTCACTGCCATGGTGTTTTAGCCCTGCGACACGGTCCTTGGACTCCAGCTTGGACCGAAGCGGTGCAGAACGAAAGCCGGCTCCAGGAGGACACGAGCAGGGTGGCAGTTGGCAGTGCAGAAACGCAGGAAAAGTCAAGGTTTGGAGCTAGTTTCTAGTCGGTTCAGAAAGTGACGTTTGGCAGTCTGGGATACGGGCCGCGGGCCCAATCCGTCCTTCACTGCCATGGTGTTTTAGCCCTGCGACACGGTCCTTGGACTCCAGCTTGGACCGAAGCGGTGCAGAACGAAAGCCGGCTCCAGGAGGACACGAGCAGGGTGGCAGTTGGCAGTGCAGAAACGCAGGAAAAGTCAAGGTTTGGAGCTAGTTTCTAGTCGGTTCAGAAAGTGACGTTTGGCAGTCTGGGATACGGGCCGCGGGCCCAATCCGTCCTTCACTGCCATGGTGTTTTAGCCCTGCGACACGGTCCTTGGACTCCAGCTTGGACCGAAGCGGTGCAGAACGAAAGCCGGCTCCAGGAGGACACGAGCAGGGTGGCAGTTGGCAGTGCAGAAACGCAGGTAAAGTCAAGGTTTGGAGCCGCAGAACGAAAGCCGGCTCCAGGAGGACACGAGCAGGGGGGCAGTTGGCAGTGCAGAAACGCAGGAAAAGTCAAGGTTTGGAGCTAGTTTCTAGTCGGTTCGGAAAGTGACGTTTGGCAGTCTAGGATACGGGCCGCGGGCCCAATCCGTCCTTCATTGACATGGTGTTTTAGCCCTGCGACACGGTCCTTGGACTCCAGCTTGGACCGAAGCGGTGCAGAACGAAAGCCGGCTCCAGGAGGACACGAGCAGGGTGGCAGTTGGCAGTGCAGAAACGCAGGAAAAGTCAAGGTTTGGAGCGAGTTTCTAGTCGGTTCAGAAAGTGACGTTTGGCAGTCTGGGATACGGGCCGCGGGCCCAATCCGTCCTTCACTGCCATGGTGTTTTAGCCCTGCGACACGGTCCTTGGACTCCAGCTTGGACCGAAGCGGTGCAGAACGAAAGCCGGCTCCAGGAGGACACGAGCAGGGTGGCAGTTGGCAGTGCAGAAACGCAGGAAAAGTCAAGGTTTGGAGCTAGTTCTAGTCGGTTCAGAAAGTGACGTTTGGCAGTCTGGGATACGGGCCGCGGGCCCAATCCGTCCTTCACTGCCATGGTGTTTTAGCCCTGCGACACGGTCCTTGGACTCCAGCTTGGGACCGAAGCGGTGCAGAACGAAAGCCGGCTCCAGGAGGACACGAGCAGGGTGGCAGTTGGCAGTGCAGAAACGCAGGAAAAGTCAAGGTTTGGAGCTAGTTCCTAGTCCTAGTCGGTTCAGAAAGTGACGTTTGGCAGTCTGGGATACGGGCCGCAGGCCCAATCCATCCTTCACTGCCGTGGTGTTTTAGCCCTGCGACACGGTCCTTGGACTCCAGCTTGGACCGAAGCGGTGCAGAACGAAAGCCGGCTCCAGGAGGACACGACAGGGTGGCAGTTGGCAGTGCAGAAACGCAGGAAAAGTCAAGGTTTGGAGCTAGTTTCTAGTCGGTTCAGAAAGTGACGTTTGGCAGTCTGGGATACGGGCAGCGGGCCCAATCCGTCCTTCACTGCCATGGTGTTTTAGCCCTGCGACACGGTCCTTGGACTCCAGCTTGGACCGAAGCGGTGCAGAACGAAAGCCGGCTCCAGGAGGACACGAGCAGGGTGGCAGTTGGCAGTGCAGAAACGCAGGAAAAGTCAAGTTTGGGCGAGTTTTCTTCTAGTCGTTCAGAAAGTGACTTTTTGCATCTGGGATACGGGGCCGCGGGCCCAATCCGTCCTTCACTGCCATGGTGTTTTTCATCCCTTCGCAACCGGGTCCTTGGACTCCCCCCCCCCAAGCCTTGGAGCCGAAGACGGTGCAGAACGAAAGCCGGCTCCAGGAGGACACGAGCATGGTGGCAGTTGGCAGTGCAGAAACGCAGGAAAAGTCAAGGTTTGGAGCTAGTTTCTAGTCGGTTCAGAAAGTGACGTTTGGCAGTCTGGGATACGGGCCGCGGGCCCAATCCGTCCTTCACTGCCATGGTGTTTTAGCCCTGCGACACGGTCCTTGGACTCCAGCTTGGACCGAAGCGGTGCAGAACGAAAGCCGGCTCCAGGAGGACACGAGCAGGGTGGCAGTTGGCAGTGCAGAAACGCAGGAAAAGTCAAGGTTTGGAGCTAGTTTCTAGTCGGTTCAGAAAGTGACGTTTGGCAGTCTGGGATACGGGCCGCGGGCCCAATCCGTCCTTCACTGCCATGGTGTTTTAGCCCTGCGACACGGTCCTTGGACTCCAGCTTGGACCGAAGCGGTGCAGAACGAAAGCCGGCTCCAGGAGGACACGAGCAGGGTGGCAGTTGGCAGTGCAGAAACGCAGGAAAAGTCAAGGTTTGGAGCTAGTTTCTAGTCGGTTCAGAAAGTGACGTTTGGCAGTCTGGGATACGGGCCGCGGGCCTAATCCGTCCTTCACTGCCATGGTGTTTTAGCCCTGCGACACGGTCCTTGGACTCCAGCTTGGACCGAAGCGGTGCAGAACGAAAGCCGGCTCCAGGAGGACACGAGCAGGGTGGCAGTTGGCAGCGTGCAGAAACGCAGGAAAAGTCAAGGTTTGGAGCTAGTTTCTAGTCGGTTCAGAAAGTGACGTTTGGCAGTCTAGGATACGGGCCGCGGGCCCAATCCGTCCTTCACTGCCATGGTGTTTTAGCCCTGCGACACGGTCCTTGGACTCCAGCTTGGACCGAAGCTGTGCAGAACGAAAGCCGGCTCCAGGAGGACACGAGCAGGGTGGCAGTTGGCAGTGCAGTGTCGTCTCGGGTCTCTTTAGGATGCCATTTCAAGTTTCATACTGCGGTTACGAACGGGGGCTTCGGGTATGGGTCTTAAGTGCTAGAGCAACCCTTTAGGTCCCCAAGACACCTGCCCAATGACGAAAGCTCCTATTTCTTGAGCCATGAAAAAGTGTCAGAGCACATAGTTGTGCGTGTCATCCTGCAGGGGTCCATGCTGCTTGCATGTGCACAGTGCCAAACGCACATACAAATGGTTTGTTTAGGTCAGTTTCTGGTTTCTTTAGGGTTCATTTCATGCTTACGACACAGAGGCAGGCATGACCCTCCAGTGTCCAGGGGTCGGCGGCAGAGGGCGTAGCCCTTTAATAATTACATAAATACATACATATATATATAATATAATATATATATTTATATATTATATTATATTATATATATATATACATGATAATATGTATATGGGTGAATCATGAACCGCCTCCCATCCCCATTCCCATCTCCTCGAAGGTCTGTACACGTTGAGCCCGGCTGACTTGTCTGCTCCGACTCCAGGGCCGGAAGGACGCGTTTTGGCTCGGCACTGACGTGTAGAGGAAGCCCGAGAGCACCTGCCCACTGGGAAGGATGGAGGATCCGTCTCCCAAGGATGATGGGAATGGGGAGATATTTCAGCAAAAATAGAGCTAAAGGATGCTAAAGGAATTATTTCATCGACATTGATAATGAACTATGCGCAAAGTGTATGTTGGGATCAAATAGGATGTCATCAATGTGTCAACTAGCTGTAGATCGCTAGTATATGTCATGCATAGCGTGGTGGCATTCATCTCTTTAGGTCTTTTTAAAGAAGGCTTAGTTTGCAGAGTCTGTGCCAACACCTTGCCTTGCGAACCCCATCGAGATCTGCCACAATGCGCTTCAGCTTATGCCAACGCTCGAGCTTTGCGGCACGTGCAGCTTCGCACTGTTCGAAGCACTTGACGAAGTAGTCCCTCCAAAGGCAATGGGAATGACGGCAAATTTACCATAAATTTACCATAAACTACCTGCTTTTCAATCTTTTTTTTAATCCAACCCTCCCCTCGCCGCTCTACTAAGGATGTGTTAGCAGGTTTTAGCAACAGGAGCTACTACCATTTTGCAGGTCAAAATTTCAGGCCGCCTGGGGACCGCAGATTTTGGTCACTGGGTCACTGTAAAGGTTTTCTGGTAGTAGCCAATCAAATATTAATCCAAATCATCCAATTTCATCCAATTTCCAAGATGGGTCATCCAAATTTTCCAATCATTTTCATCGATTTTCCTTGATGTCTTGGATTTATTGACCCATTAATCCAATCATTGAATTTCCAATTTCATCCAATTTCCTTAATTCAATTGTTTTCATTAAGCTGACCACTGCTGACCCATTGAATTTCCCAAATCTGACCTGTCTCGGATGGACAGCAGCGGTTGGGCTTGGACCAGGTGCACTCCAAAGAGCTGAGCGCTGCTGAAGCGTCGGGGCCAGAGATGGGCATCCACCGGGTCCTCGAAAAAAGCTGGGAAAAACCATGGAAAACCCACGGAACATCGAGCGATCTTCAGGGAAAATTGGGCCGAAAAGAGATGAAGAAGCCAATAATTTGAAGATATTTGAAGGATCCAATTGGGAGGAGCTCCAGTTGTGACATGTTGTGACTACAGAAAACCGCGGAAGTCACACCATGTCACACCAACTTGGCTAAGCGAATGCTTTCCCGCACGGAACTCCGCGCACCAACATACTGTAAAAGTCACACCAACAATTTGCCCCAACGGAACTCCGACGATTTGTTGATAAATGATTGAAGCAGCATATTTAGCAAAGCTGGAAATCACCATGCGAACGCAAGTTACACCATAGAAAAACAAGTTGGATGTTGAATTGTGTGTGTGTATGCTGTGAAAATGATGATGAATTTCAGAATAGCTACAGCAATGACAATGATCATGATCATATTAAATTACTTTTTATTCTACTTTAATGGCGATGTAATGTCCGGGTGCCATTAGAAGACCCCCCGCAATTAAGTACGCCAAATCCCGGAAAAAAATAGTAAACCCCTCCCCGTAATAAAGTACGCCAACCGATTTTTGAGTTGATATTTTTTGCGTTCTTTTGTTTATTCGTTTTGACCACTCCAAAAGTATTCGGATTTCAAGGGCCTAAATTTTGGTGGGTCAATTCTATTTGAACCCCTTCCCACAAAAAAAAAAAGATTTTCAAATCACCCCCACATGAACCAAATACTTTATTTAGAGGGGGTCCACATAAAGTATTCTGAATTACGCTCCCGGCTTGTGGTGGGCAACCCTTTCTGAAACCCTCAAGACTCTTTGAGCTGGAAACTGGAACAACTTCACCTTTTCTGAAAAGCTGTGGATTTGAAAAAAAGGAAGAAGGGCTCAAAATGGTCAATTTCCTTCTAAACCCTTTCTAAAAAATGCTCAAAATCGATCGCGCAAAGGGGGTAGTCTTGAAGCCCCCAAACCCTTTAATAATAATGAACGTTTGCAGGCAATTTGTTCGGCGCCACACAGGTCCGGAAAATTTGCCAGGGACCCCCGGCCATTATTTGGCCTAAACTTCATTCAGATGCTCTTATATAATGTTTGGGGGGGAGGGGGTGGGTTTATGAATAGCACGTCAACATTAGAGAAAGGAAAAAAAGAAATAGATACAAATAGCATATGAAATATTATGAAGTAGTTTGGACCCAAGTGTCCACAATCTTGGGATCCAAAGGAGTGATGTGATCATCAAAGAAGATGCAATGCTCTGCTGGATCCATCCGACCAAGGAAGAAGGGTTTGCCGCCGCGAGATGACCCCGCAGCTGCCCAACCTTCGAACGGCGTGCTGGAGTTGGGATCCAAATGGATCAGGCAAACATCATATCAATATACTCTCTGGTAATTTAACATAGCAATGGAAAATCACCATTTATAGTGGATTTTCCCATTAAAAATGGTGATTTTCCATAGCTATGTTAGTTTACCAGAGGGTACATAGCAAATATAGCAAATATAGCAAGTAGATGATAAACTCAAGAATGTGAGACATGGAAGATGTACAAGAGTACGAGGCAGGACCTGAGAAAATTGAAGAACATGTATGAGAATGTTTCATTATGTTTCCAAAACCTTCAAGTAATTGATTGCAGCCCTAGAAACCTTGATAGAAGTCACGCAAAGCAATCGTGCGCGGCTGAGAGGACATTTTGGTATAATGCTTGAACACCTGATACACACCTGGCAGAGCAGACCGTGAATGCAAGACACAGCAATCACGGTCACCCTGTTGAGCCGAACAGCTAAACATGCTAAACCCTGTGACTCCAAAACTCTTCCCCAGTCAGATTTACCAATGCTGATCCCAGCTCCAGGGGTTTCACCTTCGTGTATTTGAACATCCTGCTTGTCATCGTAAAAATCCAGCCCCTTCTCGATGGAATCGGGCTGCTCAATGCTGCCCATAATGAGTGCCTGGGCACACTGCACTCGGACAATCGCACGAGGACCGGAAGCAAAGCGGCCAAAGAACATTTCATACAATGTCAGTGTGATTCATTGTGCTCATGAAAGTTCAGCCCAGGATACCATGAAATCATCCTGCGCTGGGTTCCGGAAGAAAGTGCCGCAGCTCTCTGTGGTGTCAAATCGCATTCGGTAATCGGGGCATCCATCAGAGCCATCCAGCACTACGATGTCCTCCTTGCTGAACAAAGGGTGCCAGCCTTCGCACAAGGCTTCAATCTCCTTGCATCTCATGAAGCACAGGTGGCCATCGTTCAAAATGGGATACCAAATACCAATGGGCCCAACTTGGTGCCTTTAAGTTGAAATAAGTTCAGTATTTACAGGTCAAGAGTTTGAGGCACTCCCAAGTCACACCCTACTCACAAGCTTGTGAAACAAAGTGATCGCAGCTGCAGCTCCTTCTGCAGTTTGGGCAAATCACTGCCGAAGGTGCGGAAGATCAAAGTGAAACTACGGCCACGTCTCTTGAGCTCCCCTTGGTACTATCGCTTTGGTCGCAAGGCTGTTACAACTTCAAACCAAAGCATCACAAGTCACTAGAGTCACTAGATAGTCACTCGCTGTAGCTACTGATACTGCCAACCTAAGTATTTCTCGCCACTTTGACGTTGAGATTTTTTCGGATATGACCAACTTTCAGCAGAGCATCGCAGGAAGTGGAGAAAGGAGGGCAAGAGCTGCACTGCTTCACCCGTCAAACCAGCATCTTTGGCAGCTTGGCTGCCATGCAGCGACTCCGGCAACATCAGCCTGCTCTGCAGGAGCGCCAAATCTTGGTGAAAGACCTCCAGGCACACGCTGATCCAGCAGGGTAGCTACAATCTACCAACAAACCGATATCTTGTTCCATCCTTGAGGCCTGTATATTAATTATTAATTGTGCATGAGACTGTGGACGGAGAAATGCACTCTCTGTTTAAAGGCATTTACGATCATTTACTACGTTACATCGTCGTTAAATCAGTTTATTTCGTAATATGGGAGACATGTGCCCTCAATGCATGTCCCTAGTGCTACCCGCTACCCTCAACCATGGTCCCAAACTGGCCTCACCAGGCATCCCCGGATCGGTAAATGCCCACAAGTCCCGCCGTCGTTGTTTCTTCACCTCCTCGTTGGCTGCTCGAAATGCGGCCTTATCTGCATAGTCCTTTTTGTCTGGAAAGGGGTTTTTCAGCACCACAAACCTGGCAATCATGTGGCGGCAGAACTAGGATGAACTCGGCCAGGATGGGCCAGGCAGGATTCAAGCTTGAGTTGACTCTTGCATCTCTTGCAGGAAACCGTGCGTTTTTTCCCATCAAGTTTTGTCAAGATTTGTCAAGTATATTATAAGATATTATAAGGGGGTTCCTGTCTCGATCAATCCTGACCTGGGGACAGAGCCCAAAGATTCCAAAGTTTAGAAAACAATAGGAAACATAGGGAAAACAATGACACCGTGACCAATGCCAAAGTCTAAGAAACTCCGTGTAGGTTTGAAGTCCGGCCATGGGTTTTTCGGTGGTCAGCTCCGACCACTGGCAGCTCCAGGATATCGGTTGGCCTTCAGCATCCAGCTCGATGCTACCCCAGGCAGAGTTCGACAGAACCATGGCGATGAGACCTTTGGAATCAGCCCCAGTGGCTGAGTCCAGCATCACCACCGTGTTGTTGACATCGAAGTTCAGGACCAGGTGAGGCTGTTGGTTTCCTGTTGCTCCAAATTCAAGTTTCGAGTTGAGTCTCGAAATAGTCTCGAAATCATGTTTGGGGATTTGAAGCGATCTGGACGGATTCTGATGGATTGGATTTTCTCGGATTCCTGAACCTAATGACAAACACTGTCCCTGGGGGAGAACGGCCCGAATCGCCCTTTGGCGTTCCTGGATGTGCGTGACCTTGGCGAGCAGCATGAAGTACTTCCAGAAAAGTGTGATAATCGATTCCTCCCGAGTCATTGTCAGGAGCCAAGTCCCGGATGATGAGGCCAACCTCTGCTGGAGTAACCTTCAGCGGGTGATGCAAGTGCTGGCAAGCCGGGCTGTGATGCGGAAGCGCAAACATCATCAGTAACGAAGTCAGCCAACAAAAGCTGAAAGGTGAATTAGCATCAACATAGATCAACTCATTATGTCATTATTATGTCATTGTGTGTGTGTACAGTATCCTTCACCGTCACTATCAGTAGACTATCAGCAACAGCTATCTGAAGATCAAGAATGAGGAGCTCATGAAAGTGTGTGTGAATCTGACATGAGGCCTCACGTGGTGAAAGCAGTCAGGTGACAGCCAGTGTTTTGTCATGTTTGGACTCAAAATCACTCAAGAGCATAAGCGCGTCCATCATCTCTTGAGCATCGATTGTGCCATTCCCATCGCGGTCAAGAAATGTGAAGAGCGATCTTGCAGCATCTTCACTTTCATCTTTCATGACATTCCATCGCAGAAGCCACTGGTAGAATTCGCCCCAGCAAATCTTCTCGTCGGCATTGTGGTCTATTTCGCTGAAGATATGAGCCTCACTTGCAAACTTTCACATCACCAAACCCTGTTGTGATCACCGCCCATCATGTCCTCGCGAGACCGCATTCTTTTAAGCAACACGTTTACCTCCACCTTTCCAACCTTTCCATTTCTGGCATAGCTGAGTGGCAACAGCATCAGCTGTTTCAGGAGTCTCCCCTGGAAGACTCATCTCAAAGCTCTCCAACACCTGAAACCACAGAGGTGATATCTGGAGAAGGGGAGTTTCAAGCTACAGAATTTGGAGGTGGCGCAGCTTGCCAGGAAGGATCTTGAAAGGCCCCATGATACCATGAAACAATATGGAAATATATGAAATATTATGAAACATTATGAAATGCCATGAAACTCCATATGAAGAGCCGGCTATTAATTTTGGCTTCAGCGCCAGCCTCGTGCAGCTGCTTCTTGGTGACACCTTCATCATGTGAAGAAATCCGTTGGAAGATGCGGCGGAAGTAGCTAACAAGGAAAGGTTCCTCCACCTGGCACTGGCAGACTGGCAGCTGGGTCATTCACAGAATTACAACGGACAAGGCCGTGCCTCTTTCGACCTGAGCGCGATCAGGCATAGGAAAGTCAAAGATTCTGAAGTTTGTGAAGCGAGACACCAAAAGCATTACATTTGTTATTGCAGTATGTTGCGGTCAAGCCGCATCTTTCTTCGTCTGACTACGACCTTCTCCTGATGCTGCTTGAGAAAGAAGCTGCACTTCTTTCCCAAAGAAAATCATGCTTTGCGCGCATGGGCAAAAAAGCCTAAAAGACAGCAATTGTAGTAGCGTCCTTCGGGGGGAAGATGAACTTCACAAAGTCATTGTAGCAAACCTCAGAGCTTCCACTGTTGACCAGGGACAGCATGGCATCCGCATCAGCCTGGCTTTGGAAAGGACGTCAGGAACAGCTGCCAAAATCCTATGGATTTAAACATATTTAAACGTGTGGAGACTGTGAACATAATCAAAATTCTTATGAATTTTATAGCATGACGCATGACATCAACAATTATTTGCATTTTCTCCACACTGCTGTGCCGCTTCCTTCATCAACCAATTGTGACACAAAACACTCGAAACACTTGGGGCATGGTGGTGTCGGGCCTTGGCCACGCCGATCTGCGTCAACACTTGACTAAGAAGCTCCTTGCCTTGCAGGGTGTGGAGAGCTCACTGCTCTATGGCACGTCTGAGGAAGCTCTCTTGTGCAGACATCATGTTTGAACCAGCGGTGAGCCTACAGAGGTCTCGTCAGAGAAGCAGCTTTTGAAGATCTCCAGGATTTCATCTTGATCTGGTGCTGAAGGCTCCGCAGGCTCCGCAGGCTCCGCAGGTGCCATTTGGCCTTCTGGAATTACTCTCATGGCGCGACCAACGAAGACAAATAGAACTTAGCTTAGCGCCTGAAAGGGCCAGATCCATCCAGGTCCGTTATCAGTGGGGTAAGTTTGGAGCTTCCATGGTCTGTGACCCCTTACATTTCATCGTGGCATATGCGTTGTGTTCAGCCGTGAGTGATGCCGCAACGTCGACTCTGCTCCGGCTTGAGGCAACATTGCAGGACAGCTTCGAGGTGGTCAATGTTCCCAGCAACAACTCTCAACAACTAAGGGCACGAGATGTGTTCCATATATTTCCATATCGCACAGCATGTCAAATTCTGATATCACTCACAGAGTACGAGCAAATAATATCAATCAATATCAACCGGATCAAAATGGCCTGACAAAAGGCCTCAAACTCCGCCTTCTCCTGCGCAAGATCCTCGGGAACAGAAACACTTGGAGGACTAGTTAGGGCCATTGATAGATACTGATACTGATGCGAATATGCAAATGAGGATAAATGAGGGATTTTGGGGAACTTCAGGCGGTCATTATGCTTCTGAGCTTGGTGCTGCTGCGGTTTTGGCGGGCGGCGCAGGCCTCTTGGACATTTCGCCAACGGGTTTGGCACAAAAAATGGGGCTCACAAGTGGGGCCTTGCTGGAGCAGTGGCCGCAGATGGAGTGGATGCAGGAGCCTTCCAAGCCACAACCAAGGGTCGTCACTGCAGATCACATCCAGTGTGTTGGAACAGTTGCAAACTGCAACAACCTATCTTCTATGATTCATGATGATCATAATGTGTCATACATTGTCATACTGTATCATTGTGTGTCCCATAACGTTTCCACATGGTCCCAACTGCCTTGACATCCTTTGCTGTGCGGCTGGGCCCTGCATCTCTGCTTCGCCTTGGCGGCGGAAGTCTGCAGTGCCACTGCAGCCACTGGAGCCACTGGGGCCATGGCGATCGATCTCGGTCGTGCTCACCTTGGCGACAACTGAATATGACGTACTGCTAGTGATCCTAAATCAAAATCAATAATTATATGTAATGACTGCAATGACAATATAACAGATATGTGTATATATATATATACCGTATACATATAAATATATATACATAACATTACATAACTACAATTATGCATATATTCATAACCTCTCAATGCGAATTGTCTATTTAAACGCAGACACACAACTATAAATACAATACAGTGCCATGCATTGCCTTTTCTATCTTTTCTAGATTTCATGAAATTTCAGCTTGCAGAGCCCTACAGGGTGAGACTGCTATGATGCCCAAGCGAAGCAGGTCTCTGTTCGAGGTCGCTTCTGTTCGTCCAAGTCACGGTCACGGTCCCGCGCCCGATCACGATCACGTTCCCGATCACGTTCCCGGTATCTCTCTTTCCTTGACATCTATGATGCTAGGCTCTTAGAGGTGACATGATATCACAAGATTAGCTAAAAGTCGCTCCAAGTTTTAAGACCTGATAAATTCTTGGAAGATGATACCTACATCATCCTACATCCATCTACATCCAGCACTTCACCTGCTGATGACTGCAAGCATGGTACTCTCTCCTCTTCCGGCGATCTCTAGACCTGACTAGTGCTTGTTGCATATGGATGCAGATGACATACTTATATAAATGATTCACTGCGTTGGTTCACTGTGCTCCCAACAACAACAACAACAACAACAACAACAACAACAACCGATGAATGGGTACCCCCAGGCCCCGCTGGCCTGCTGTCTTGACTCGCAGAGGAAGGATCCCTGCCTGATAGGGCTTTAGAGCCGTGGGAGTGGGGGGGCGGACTAGTCCGGCCAAGTGAAAGCAGGAAAGATCGGAATTAACTTCACATCACAACTCTCTCTCTCTCTCTCTCTCTCCGGGAGTTCAGCATCGCCCGCATCACAACTGGACCTTCCCAATTTTAGGCACAAAAATGCAACTAACGTGAGGCCCGTTAGGCTCCAAGCGCTTTCTGCTCCTCTCTTTGGTTCTCCTTGTTTCTTTCCACGAGCAATTATAATATATTCAGTTTCAGAACGTTTCACCCAGTGGTGCTGCAATATCTGAAATCCATGTCCATGTCCACGACAGGTTGAGAAGGGCTCCTGTTGCTGCCGTCTCTTTTTCTTGGCTCCTCCTCTTCTTCCTTCACCCACTGATCAACGGGGTATGGAACAGAACAACAGGTTGCCAAATTCCGTTTGGCAGTTTAGCGCCAGTGACGCCGACACTCACACGTCACAGCGCTTAAAACATGCTGAAACGCCGCGCACACACTCCTCCTCTTGGGATCGCTTATCTCTTTTCCTGTCCTTGCATCCGCTTGAGATTACGATTCGAAATAGAAGATCAAAATAGATCAAGGGTAGATCATATCACAATCACTGACGTGGTGAAAGCACGTACAAAATAATTACATTGAATACAGTTTTTACAAAAAAAAAACGCTTGGCGCCTTCTCTTTCGACTCCTTCACATCTTTCGCCTTGGCCTCCTTTGTCTCCTCCCTTTCCCTAGCTTTGGGTTTGTCTGACTTGTCCTTGTCCTTCTCTTTAGCTTTTTCTCTTACCACCTCCTTTTCCTTGACCTTGTCTTTGGACCTGGCGTCCTTCGTTCCTTCCTTTCCATTCACCGATTCCTTTGTCTCCTTTGTCTCCTTTGTCTCCTTCTTCCGATCTCTCTCCTTTCTGTCTCTTTCCTCTCTCTCTTTCTCTTTTTCCTTGCCGGTGCATTACATGCGAACCAGGAAATATCACACACATGTCGCCATCCTTAACTGACTCATGAGTGAGATCATGGCAATTGCCCGAAACTCCACAAATTCATAAACGGCCTTGCTCTTTCCCGCTACCTTCGCATCTTTCTCCTAGCAAGACATCGAACGTACTCGATGTCAGGCTGTGTTGGACTGTTGTGATACTGAAAAGACTTCAGGCATGCAGCAGCGCGCATTGCATTGCGGATTTGGAGGGACGGAAAGTCGCAACCTTTGCAGCCATCTCGCATCTATCTGCGTTCCTCCGGTTGGAGTCTGAGCCTACAAAACGCAGCCTTTTGGGTCTGAGGCTTCACGCGCTATCCGATATCCTGTGGCTGGTCCTTTTACTTGAAGCTTGGGCTAAAACAAACGGCAGCGTCAGCCCTCACGGTTAGGCTGGCTGCTGTTCTCTGGCCTGGGAGTCAAGAATCAGCGCAATGGGAATTTTGCATGACACCATTGTCAAAGTAATTAAGAATACCTGAAGATGTTTGAAACAATTGAAATGATTGAAAGAGCCTCAGAAAAGAAAACACGTGGTTGACAAAGTACGGCAGAAAGCCCTGAGGTCAGCAGCATGCAGTGCCAGGAGTTCAGTAGGATATGGAAGAAATCAGCATCCATCGGCATTGCACAGCCCCGTCACAGTTTCGCTCTGCCTGAGGCAGCTTGGCCATGGGGCATGCATTGGCCTCAGCAGAACATGAATCCAGCGTCAAATTGCTATGCGTTGAGCATGTGGGTTACAAATGACGATTCAAAATGCACATCTCAAATATGATGTTTCTCTTGTATAAATATAGACTTCAAAACGCCAAAGCTTATCTAATATATTGCTCCCAACATCCCACATACAAGCGGGGAAACTGGGTACATAAAAGAAGTAGAAATACATAGAAATGCCAATTTTCACCCCTTGAGGCTATCATTTACCTCAAATGGGTTGGAGCAACCCTATATTAAACACGGCCACGATCATGCACGATCTATACTTTAACGCCTTTCAATGCTAGCATCAGCGACAGCCTTGGTCTCACACGTCTCCCTTGCACACGGCAATACCTGAGCTCTGGGAGGACGGAGTAGGATTGTTTCGGAAGTCGAACAAGTTTGTGGCTTGCCGTGCCCATCCGACGTGATCATGCTTCTTATTATTATTGCTTCTTGGATGTTCTTGTTCCAGCCTGGGATCCTGACACAGCAAACGTCTTTGTGCCCAATCACCTTTTGGACGTACGCGTAGTTGCGCCCTTGGCCCTGAACGAAGCAGTGCAGTGGAAGGGCCCCAGGGACGATGCTTGAAGACAAGCCTTGGCAAGCTGCAATGCTTTACTAGCCAAGATGCAAAGTTCAAAAGCCACTTCACCTAACTGCAGTATAGTATTGTTACATATTCTATAACATATTATTACATACCTGCATCAACCACTGCAATCTTCAAAAATGCAAGTCTACAAATTTCTGAGCTGTGGGGCTTGGTTTCAGTGGCCTTTTCGTGGCTGCTCACCAGCACCTGCGGTTGCATGCTGGAATCCGAGTGATGAGAACCAGGTCTGATTTTCAGCCCGAATAGGCTACATTTACATACATTGTACATATAATATATTATATTTTTACACACACACACACACACATATATATATATATATAATGTCATGGCCTAACTACAGGGAAGCTTTCACTGTTGTCATGCTTCGTGTCAGGCAACCGTTTTGCTCCGCAAAGGCTTCTTGCCGTTGGGCAAGGGGAGGATCTAGGGGAAGGCAGGCCATCAAGAATAGGAGAGCAAGGCACCTGTACACCCTGCAATCCACAAGAGGGAGCCCAGCAATTCTTGATCATGCTCCCCTTCACTGGTCGCTGAATACATTTGAATTGCTGGGTACCCCTTTGGCAGTGAGTCGATCGAAGAAACGCATTGAGCCAAAAGCCAAAAAAAAACTATCTATCGATCTATCTATTTATCTATCCATCCATCCATCCATCTATCTATCTATCTTTATATATATATATACATGTACATATATAATAATTATATAATACATTATATTTGTGTTTGTGTGTGTGTTTTTATGCGTGGTGCAATAATTATATTTCATTGACAGAATCATGAGAGGATGCGCAACTACTGCTAGCACAAAGTATCAACGTATACAACGCATAAATAATGATATCAATTTCTCTTCACTGATCTTATCTTCAACATCATCAAACACCCGTCTGCTGGCTCAGCACACGTCTCTGGGAGAGGTGTCTTCCGAAAACAAGTGCAAAAACATGAAAAATGCACCTTAGAGCAACTGCCCGCCCGAACTACAGAATGTTCCTGTGCATGTGCGCGCTCAAGCAGCGCACAAGTTGCAGCTATCAGGTTTTCTTCCCACCCATCAGGCGTCTCAACCTGCAGAAACTGCGAATTTCTGAAAAAAAAAAAAAAACATCGAATCTAGCTGTCCCTTGATTCAAAAGGCAACAGGCCTGCTGGAGAGGCCGCCGAACGGGGTGCAACTGCACAGGTGAACTGAATGCAGCACGTGTGGCACATGTCGCATTTCCAAGTTCATCATAGTTGATCACGCCTGCTGCGGCTCGATTCTTGGTGCTTGCCTGAGTTTTTGTCTGCACCCAGCACCGGGTTCAACCCCCGATATATTAGGCTCTGCGAATGAAGGTGTGAAGGACAAAAAATATCGTGCCAAGATGTGCCAAGCTACTCATGAAGGCATCGTACTCCTTTGGCAGAACGTACTCAGCAATGATGGACACGCCACTCTCCTGCAAACAGAATCAGTAGCTGACAACTAGCGGCGCCTTGCTCACAAAACAAATATGTATATATATATATACACATACACACACATATATTCGTGTATCTATAATATGATCTGCATTATATGAGATGATCTATATTACATATATAATGATTTAATAATTAACAATAATTGACATATAAGATGATCAATGCTCACAATCACCATTCCTGCATTCCTCTTTGTGCATTCTGCGGAACTGCAGGTCCTGAAGCTCCACCACCGCTCGGCGACCTGCACTGATTTGGCCGTTCTAGCATTGATGTGGTGGTTATATAACCAATGTATTTTATATACTTAATCATTACTTAATCATATGATGCGCATTTTAGTTTGTATTATATTTAAATATACTTAATGTACAACCTACTTATTATATCTTATTATATATATATATTATATATATATTATATATATGTGTGTGTGTGATTATGTGTGTGTGCGCGCGTATACATTTCTTATTTGTGTGTGGGGAACATCTGAACAGATCTAAACCTTCTATTGTTGACTCAGCTAATTTCGTGCAGGGGAGTGGTGGGCATTCTTGGAGTCACCACTCAACGAAGACACTCCAAGGTTGCTGTGATATGCAATCTGGACGCGGATTGCACGTACTTGCACTCGTTATACCAACCGGCTAAGTTCAGAACCGCACAGAAGATCTTTTGCACGGATGTCGTCAATCTGGTACCTATTTGATTTATTCATTCTATTTCATCGTCATGGCAGAGGGCTAAGCCGAGAACCCTATACGTGGAAATGGGTGTGTCTGAAAATAGTGTACCCCTAAACCAAATGGTTAATGATCATTATCCCTATTAAATGGCTATAATTGGGAATATACCCTATTTTCAGACAAACCCAAATGATCCTTGTCGAGATGCTGGTTTTACATGGATTTTCCATCCCGGTTATTCTTTATATTATTCCTCTGAGGTCCACCTGGCGTTGAAAAAATCTTATTGTTTAATTGCACGTTTTGGGATTCAGTTCCCGACGGATCACTACGATGATCCAGTTCTTGTCTAATATGATTTCCATGGTGACTCCGACATGATGCCATGGACCCGTGTGAGGGGGCCCTCTTTAGGGAGAATGCTGACAAACGGACTTCCGAACTCACACATTTTAATCTGGTAATTCGTCTAAGTACAACGAAACAGTCGGCCATTCCGTTCCTCACCATTTTCGTGACTTCTCACCGCTCCTGCCGTCTTTGTGAGCCCTCGGACCTTTTCAATTCTGCTCTAGTGAAGCTGCACGGAGCAGCCGAAAACCTTTTATTTTGTCACAGAGACACAGCAGGTTGCTTGGCTGGTTGTATACATCTCTCGAGACATCAGGCATGTCCTCTTCCTGCAGGTGTGGTCGGTTTGGTACCTGGTGAAGTTGAACATACCGTGCACCTAATTCATTGGAACTTGAACTTGAACAGCCGTTTAATGCCCACTTGTGGGTGGCTTTATTTCTAGGAACTGAATCCCAATAAATTTTGTTGCTTCCCCTTTTTCACAAACTAGTCCTCCACTCCCCAGGTGGGTTGGGTCCTGCGCGTGCCTAGGTAGACGTAGGTTTCGCTGTGCTAGGTTGGTTCAGGCGCTTCCGTCCTCCCCTCCTTCGCTGGTCTTGTTCCGTTTCCGTTTCCGTCTGCCTCCGTTTTCTCTTCCCTTGTTCTTTCAGGGTTTGCCCGCTTCGGGCTGGGTGTGTTGGTGTTGGTGTTTGCTCCCTCCCTCTTCTTTTGCGTGCCCCTCCTCGTGTCCCGGCTGAGTAATTTTTTCATCCCACCTTCACTTTCATCTCATCTTCATCAACGTTTCATCCTCATTTCCATCTCACCCGTCCGGACATTAGTTGTCCCACCCTGCTACGGCAGGGTGTGTGTGTGTGTGGAACATCTGAACAGATGTAAAACATATTGTTGACTCAGCTCATTCTTGCAGGGGAGTGGTTGGCATTCTTGGAGTCACCACTCAACGAAGACACTCCAAGCTTGCTGTGATATGCAATCTGGACGCGGATTGCACGTACCTGCACTCGTTATAGCAACCGGCCAAGCTCAGAACCGGACAGAAGATCTTTTGCACGGATGTCGCAATCTGGTACCTATTTTATTTATTCTATTTCATCGTCATGGCAGAGGGCTAAGCCGAGAACCCTATACGTGGACATGGTCCTTGTCGAGATGCTGGTTTTACATGGTTTTACATGGATTTTCCATCCCGGTTATTCTTTATATTATTCCTCTGAGGTCCACCTGGCGTTAAAAAATCTTATTGTTCAATTGCACGTTTTGGGATTCAGTTCCCGACGGATCACTACAATGATCCAGTTCTTGTCTAGTGTGTGTGTGTGTGTGTCAGCCAACTTGCAGGCACCTGACATCATCCCGGAGATAAGTTGGGCCAACATGTTTGAGCATGAAGTCACATAGGGATCTGGGATGATAAAAAGAGTTCTGGTCTGTGCCATGCCTTTGGCAGCTCCAGCTTGTTCTGCTGACACCGATAGAGGATCTCCAACACGAAGGCCTTGGAGCAGTGAAGGGCTGCTTTAAACGACCCCACTGATACGATCGGACATGATCGGACTATCTCACGATCTCATACTCACACTTGGTGACAACATAGTTTGCAATAGCTTGCATCCGCATGTGGGAAAAACATCTCTCATCGCCAGTCAGATTCCCAAGTCGTGACCGGTGCAGTCACGTGCAAGTGCAGCAAAGGCTCTGCCGAACGATGAAGTGGCACGCCAAAGTCCACCTGCTTCACAACCTGCACTGCATCTTCAATGTGTCCCCTAAGCACCATCACTTCATGGCTTCCTAGGGTTCCTGTGGGTTCCTACGGGTTGAACTCCCAGTCTCCCAGCCTAGTGGAGGCATCACCTCCTTGCTGTTGCCAAAGGGCAAATCCACAGTCTTAGCTTCTTCAATATAAAGACCCGCTTCCTTCAGCATCCAGTCGGGATCCTGGCCCCAAAACAACACCCCTCAATAAAACCCGAGATGATTGGGAATGGGCACGAGGTCAAAGAAAGTGATGTCCTATGAAATCCTATGAAACTGGATGGGCATGGCGACTAAATCTGCTACTTGAATCATTTTGAGGCCAAGTCTAGGTCTTCAAAAAATCCCATGGTCGAATTTGTGCAGCCAAAAACATCCACGATGTGATCTGTGAGTTCTTTGGGACCGTCCAAGTGATGGAATTTGGGCGGGCGGGTCCCTGACCTCTTCATCAGGTTCTCGCAGTTGCCACCAGTCATCCTGCTGGGGGTGCAGCTGACATATTAAATATTTAAATGTAACAATAACAATTCCATAGTGCAGGAGACCCACCTATTTTCGACATGTTTAGTCTGTAACATGTACTGTTGCACTGTGCTCCGTTCCTTTTTGGGGGGGCCCTGTGCCACAAGAACATGGTTTTGAACCCAACAAGGTACCAACAGGGGAACTTTATTCCAGAAGTTGTCCTTGTTGAGATTGTCTATATCAGCCTGGTATAGGTCCACAGCTGTACCAGTGAGCCACCCCTGCAGCAAGGACTTCTGATCCAATCTGGGCTTTGCTGGAGGAAAATCCACTGCCAACAGCATTTCTTGCCCAAGTTTCGTGTTTTGAGGGCCACCAATGCCGGACAGGTACATCTGTCCCAGCTCTACTGTTGCAAGGGTGTAGCCCCTATCATGCGCTGCCTTCATATGTTCTCGTGCCTTTTGAGCATCCTTGGGCATCCCGTTTCCACTCACATAAGCTTTTCCAAGCTCAAAGGCGGCAAGTGCATCACCGGCTTTGTGTGCCTTTTGGAAGAGCTCCATGGTTCTCTGTAAATTCGTCTCGCCTCCTAATCCCGAACGGCACATTAACGCCAATTCCAGGGTAGCCATTGTGTTCCCAGCAGCATCTGCTTCCGTAAAGAGTTGGCGCGCACGATAAGTGTCTTGTCCGCATCCCGAGCCTTTCTTGTAACAACGTGCCAGGTGAAGCGTTCCAAGTGCATCTCCGCGAGCGTGTGCCTGGCTAAAAAGCTCAAACGCCTTGGCCGCCTTGGCTGCCATGGTCTCATTCTTTTCAGTTCCCAGTCCTGATTGATGTAATATGCCTGCCAGCACCATGCTCTTGCTGTGCGAAGCATCCAATGCCATGGCATCGTGGAGATATCCCCAGCAGCGCTGAACCACCACGAAGCGAGCAGGGGTCTCTGGTGCGGTGGAGCGGATAGCGCGGAGGTATTCCACCGCTGCCACTTTGCAAAGGCCAGAAGCTGACCACTGACCATTGGCAGAGCAGGCAGGGCATTTCGATGACCCACTCACTTCCTGGAAGTTTGCTAACCCCGGCGTCAAACAAGATCGATCCAAATCTTAAAGGACACCTAAGCCAGCAAATATCATGTCATACCGTTCGAACCGAAAAGTTATTCAACCTATTCAACATGATTCAACACATGTCAAAACATTCCGAGCCCAGAATGGCCCCGAGTTTCAGCTGCTGTCCTGCACTTCCAATAAGCAAGCTTCATGAAATGTGTGGCCACAACCAAGCTGTAGCTCCCGCGCTTGGCCATCTTCTTGGAAGGATGACCGCAGGCAAATCCAGCATTCGGTCATGATGACAAAGGTGTGACTCTAAATCTTACAGCTCCCGTCTTCACATTATAACTGCAATTGAATGCCCATAATGAACGACTAAACATATAACAACACACATTTTACGGTGTACACGTAGACTTTTGTGTGCTTGGCAGCATATCCAAGTACGCATCATGCATCTGATCTATGCTGGTGCATACTGCTCTTGGATGCTGGCCTTCAAGATTTACAGTAGTTGCCTTCGCTTTGGCGTGTAATATGTGTAATTATGTGCAAGTCATGCCTTTGCCTACAGTAGAAGCTGATTGAGCCAATGAATCGCATGTTCTAACCTGTATGGAAATCGCCTTCCAGGACTCCACCATGCCGCCAAACCGTGTTGGTCTGCCATCAGTGCGCAAGTACAAGCCGCTGCGCCAAGGCAATTTCTAGGCTCGCGCCTTGTGCCCTCTTGTCCACTATCCACATGAGCGAAACATGGACAATCTATGACAATCTAGCCAACACTGGCTAAGGCAGCACCAACTATGGCTGTTTGAGAGAATGCGCGGTGGATTCTGGATACCCTCTGGTAATTTAACATAGCTATTGAAAATGGCCATTTATAGTGGATTTTCCCATAAAAAATAGTGATTTTCCATAGCTATGTTAAATTACCAGAGGGTACCATCAGCATCTCGACCATTCATTGGGACCGGAGTTTCAACTCAACCAGCCACTGCTAAGACATACGTCGCAGATCGTCATGGATCCTTGACCTCAGGTATGCAACCCATTGCAGGCCAAGAGCTGCTGGGTAATGATGGTAATGTTGCAATGTGCCCCCGGAAAAACAAAGGGACATAGAGGGGGCAATTCCAATGAACAGTAATTGGTAAACAACTTTAGTCCATAGAATTGGAAATCGTCAAAATCATTCAATATCATCTACATCGTAGATGCCATTTTCATCCATTTTCCACTGTGACAGTGGATAGTGGTTAAGAATTCTTGTACTTCTCCGCAGTGGGTGATGCGACCCGCCGAGCTTGCGACTCCTTGAGCTGCACGCCACTCCTCTTCGTTCTTGCGACCAGCAGTCCGATCCCCCTGGCAACGGCTTCGTTTCACCGTTGGATCAATGGGTGTAACATGGGTGTAACATAGACCATAACAAACCAGAAGGATACAGGAAACAATATCGCAACATTTCGCAACCATAAATTTCCCTCTAGAGTAGTCCAGACTAGCGGTAGACTTTCAATATCGTTCAATGTTGTGTCATCACAATCCATCACACTGAATTTGAGGGCTACCATGGGCTCCCCATTCCTCACACATAACTACATTGTATGACATTGTCACATATCGGAACCTACATTTATGGCATGAACTCACGCCTCCCGCACAGGGAGGTCCGTCACAAACTTTGTGCCATTGCCTAGACAGGCTATGGGCAGTGGATGGAGCCTGTTGCAGTTGAATTAGTTTGGGTTTGCAGGCTGGTAATGACTTTATCACACCTTATGAGCATCAAGAATGAAGCAAAAGCAAGGCTAAGTTTCAAGCGTAGCATTGCTGTATCGCTGAGGAACATTGACCCCACATACCTCAGTCACCGGTTTTTTTAATCATCTCAAATGCTTTTCAACAATCCAGCAAATCATAGCCCTGCTTCTGGTCGGGACACGGCATCACCAATGGCGGTGTTATTGCTAATCCTCGCAGCACCTGTGGAATGTACCTGATTGGCCGCAAGATTCCGTTCTCAGCAACTTAAATTTCAAGCAAAACAAGTGAGCTGAACAGGTTTCAAGGCAAGAATGCCGCATTTGGATCTTCAGACAGGATACTTGCTCCACTCCACCGCATTTTCGTTCCAGTGCCCTCTGAAGCCCTGCCCCATTGCCACCGAAAAGTAATGATCCTTGAGTCCCAATGGCTGGCTTTCAACCCACCGCGACAACTTACTCACCATGGCTGGACATGTCATCGCACCCACTGCTTTCTGACTATCATCCTGGTCGCGGCCAACATGCTGCCATGGATCTAAAGGTGCAAGTCTCTTCTGCACATGCGCTTCGACCAAGGCTTTGGCTGCATCAAGCTTAAAAATGTACCTTGGAAATTCCCAAGGCAATTCTTTTCGGGGCTGCATTGGCAGGAATGGGACCTGCCCATGGGGCAAACAGGAGCTACCAGGTTCATCCAAGCGACCCAACTGTCCAGAGCGTGTAACCTCTCACGGAGTACCACACCCAAATCCCATGGGTCATCTTTGGCATCCATTTGCTGGGCACCAGGGATTTCACCCCGGAAAAAGCAGTTGGATGTAACGAATGTAAAACAATGTAAAACACGGGAGTCATCCGCCAAGCCAACAATATCCGACACCGGCGTAATTGAGGTACAATTCGTTACATGCATAAACCACACCAATGTAAAACCATGTAAAACCTACCCATATCCTTCCCAGTTCCTTCCCATATCCTTCCATGATCCATGATCCATGTAAGGCAGCGCCTGGCTGAGCCAGATGCTCAGTTACGCGGCGAATGTCTCCCTCCGTGGGGCTTCGACCCAAATACCTAGAGATGCAGCTGGAGATAGATAGCTGGAGTTAAAAGCATCACCAAAGGCCTTGCCATAGAGTGCCTTAGAGCCTTTTAAGATTTTTAAGATTTTAAGATCCTATTGAGCCTATTGAGGATGTGCTCTAGTATGACTAGTATGTAGGTATATGTAGGTAATATAGGTGTTTGCCCCAGGGATCCCAGGGCACATGAGGTTCCAGTCAAGTCCACGTGCTTCGTCCAAGCAGGCCCCGAGCCGCTCTTTGAAATTCTCTTGCCTGGGTGAAGTCAAGTGACCAATTCCCAGCAGCACTTGGGGGCACATATGTCGCATCCCCAACATCCAGATTTGCTTCGATTGATTCAGATGCTGTACGCCTTATTGTGCAATCTGCATAATATATCATAATATCAAGTACAACAGTGCATATTGTAGCGTATAAATTGGCATGACTTGTATAAATGTTTGTTAGACAATGCCCTGTGGTGTGATCGTCTTCATCGTGCAAATAGTGTTGGATCAGAAAAGAACGCATGCCTCCAAGGGGCCTCGACAAACCTTCGCACGAACATAATATCCTAGCAAATCCTAGTCATATTATGTAATGTGAATGAAATCGATGACTGCATCCACTGCCAACACAAGCAACAACTTAAAACCTATTAGCGGATCACATGGAATACTTTCATTTTCTTGATGGAGTCTGTCTAGTTTTGGTGCTCCACGGTGCAGATCGAAATCATCCTCTAAAATCAGAGCCGCAGGAATGTTGTTCTCGACCTTGGCTGCACTTCATGTCCCTTCCACCTTGCGACAAGGTCGCCCTAGTGGAAGCAAGGCAGCGTTCTTCCAATTCGCATGGAGGTGCCCATGTCAGTCAACTGAAAGATGATGAAAAATGGCAGTAAAACAGGCTCATGTGAAAAAAATGAAAAAGTAAGAGGAAGGTCAATCAGTTGAATCACCGATGCAAATCTACGCGGAAGTTTTTCAGCTGAGAAGCCATGTAGTGCCAAATGGTGAAGTGACTCATAAAACAACCCAGCTGACCAGTTGTGAGATGTGGCAAAGTGTTCCTTGGGCACTGCGTGGAGTTGCAGTGTCTAGCAGCCTAGCGCTCATCACACTCATGGTGGTTCAAAAGGATCGAAATCGATTAAAGTAGATGTTACTGTATATAAATAGGTTGCATGTGCTGAATTGGGCTTTTGGTCCCTCCTCCAATTGCCCGCATGCCCGCATCGTGCATCAAGGCTCTTGTGCCCGCAGTAGTTGGGAAGCGTGCTGGCACCTAACCTTGGGTGCTCAGGGTATCTCAACGGGTACAACGGGATGCGGCAATCCTGCCACGATCTGCCATCTGAAATGCATGCAAGTCAAGTCACTCATCGATCTCTTCCTCTTGCTGTCGGGACTTTGGCCACTCCATTACAGGCATAGTCAAAGAATGAAAGGTTTTCCGTGACACCCCCATGCTTAATTGTTCCAAGGGATGCCCCTTGAATTCAGCATGGATTCAGTTGCAGTGGGTTTCTGCAGTCCAACACGCTCCTGTCCTGGGACGTGAAAGCATCACCATCGATTGCATCAACAACGAAGGCGTTTAGCCCTGCTTGGTGCAGTTGGGACATCACCTGCCGCATACAATAAATAAATCATGATCAGTGATCAGGACTTTCATGCACAAATCTAGACCTCTACATCTCGAATAAAGGAAACAAAAATGGAAAAAAAAAACATGAACGGGCACACGCCCACTCCACACAAATGTACGCAGAGAGTGAGGCAATCCTAGATCAGACAGGTCACATGCTTGAGCTTTGCTGGTCTGCGTGGCCTAAGCCGCCAACCGTATCCAAAAGTAGACAGCTGCTGCTGCCAAGGTGGTGTGCCAAGATGAGCCAAGTTCTTCCAAGTGGCAAATTGATGATAAAAATGTTGTTCATGGGATCACCCAGCTCAAGTGCATCAGATGCATTGGAAAATTGTTGCGTCGCTTGTGAGCCGAATTCGCTCACCTGCCGCCGTGTGGAAGGCAAAACATGAAATGTACTGGGTAGCAGACAATCACCTGCTTCAATGCAATCATAACACCACTATACACCACTGATGTTACAAAATGGCCAAAGTTCATACAATAATCGTCAAACACACAGACAGGCACGCTCGCCTGATGAATGTGTCTCTCGTACAAACGTGGCCAGTATTGGAGGCGGGCTTTAGACACTCGCCACACCTCATCGTGCTCCTGAAAAATATAACTGCTGCATTGAGAATTTCGAAGCGAAAGTATTGGAACTTATGGACCTGAAAGCTCCCAAGTCCAACCTCCTCCGGGATCGTGCCATCTGTACTGTAGGACCTTGACGCAAAAGGGCAGAGAGGTGTCAATGAAGCCATTCAATCTCTGAGTCTGAGAGGCTGGCTTTGCATTTACCCAATCGTAGTGTTGGACCTAGACAAGCGGAATTGATCGGAATTGTGTTCAAGATTTCATGCCATGGGGCGGCCCCCCGGCCGGCATCCAGCCAAACATCCAAACACCAACTCCTGAACAAACGACCAAGTGCAAATGAATGCAAATGAGAAACAGTATAGTCCACAGTTCTATCCTTAGGCGCGTCACTTGTCTGAACATTTCATTCACGGCATCTCTGTAGCTCAGGTAGGACATGTTTATCCAAGCTTCATGGTAGGACTTGTGAAGTCTGACTGTCTCCTGCGTGAGCTCAGGTGAAGCCAAGAGCATCCAGCATGTTCTGTTCGGATGTTCTGCTTGATAGCTTAGAATCAAAATTATCAAATGAATGGCTGTGGCACCTTTGGGGCAATATCTGCAACAAAATCATAATATTTGCATATCATGGTTCGAAATGCTCCAAGATGCTCATAGTCTCGTAGTATCTCGTAGTCATTCACTGTCATGACCAACCCATCAACTCCTCATCCAGCGGCAAGGGTTCCTGCAAGCTGCTCACTGCGCGCAGGAAACGAGGCCCCGAACCTTGGCTGCAGCATGACAAACGGTGATGTGACAGTGATGTGGATATGTGATATGTGTGGATTCCATCGGATTCCGAGGGTTCCAAGAAAGCCCTATGCCTTCACCACCTGATACTTCACATTCCAAATATCTGGAAGCATATCAAAGCATTCAACTTTCACGATACTTTCAACTGATGAAAGTTTGAAAACATATGAAAACATCTCACCCCATGACAGCAACAAAGTGAAGCAGTCAACCGGGGCAAAACTGCGAGGTTCCCCGAATCTGGCACATTCAAGCTCTTTCGGCAAGCAGCTGCCAGCACTCCTTCTCCAGCTGTTGGGAGAAAACCATGCCGCACAAGACAAGAAGCCTTAGCAAATCGCGTTGCATGGTGCATCATGATCATCATGACTGATCAACCCTTTACCTAGCGGCCTAGCATTCTGCTGAGTCACAGCCATTTGCTGAAGTCAGCACATGGAGGGTGGCCACAGCTAATGCAACCTGCACTGGGCGCCTGCACACCAAAGATGCGTCACCACTCACTTCAAAAAGGTCCATTAAAAATCATCATCATTTGAAATCAGCTGTCTACCACTCAACTAACTATGCAAGTTCATTGTAGGAGTTATCCAGCACCTTTTGCCCCTCATGTCGTCCCACAGTGTCTGCAATGGCAGCTGTGGCGACCTTGCCAGGGTCGACAGCACCGCAGGTCGTTGCTGCATAGCCAGCTCCACGCATCCCCGGACCTGGCTCAGGGACGCATGGCACCGGATGGGTAGTGACGGTACCCGACCCTGCCTGCATCCGCTTGCCACTGCCATGGCAACTTGGCATAGCGCAGGAAGGCTTGGGAGTTGAGGCTGTTCATGAAGCTTGACAAACTTCGGTAGTCAGCGTGGATCAATGTGCAGAAAACTGGCTTATGGAAACTTGGACATAGAGTCAGAAACTCGTTGCACAGAAGCCAAGCTGAACTTCACACACTTTTTGAACATAGATGTAACATAGATTACAGATTATTGATTTGGCTGATCTGTGTTCATGTCACAGCACATCGGGGGAAACAGCTGGGCCAAACGCAGCAAGAGTCAAACCAAAGGAGTGAAGTGTGTTATAATGCTCCAGCAGGCACATGGCTACTCCACTCCACATCTCGCATGGCCCTTAAAGCGGAAGACACCTTGGTTCCCATGAACCAACCTCCTTCCCTTTGGGCTCTAAAATCCCGAGAACTTACCCAGCACCTGCTTCTCGGTTGGTGCTTCATCCGTGCCTTGCCAGTCAAAAAAATCATTCTAGCCCTAGCTTGGTAGGCTGATGGACCCAGATCTAGAAAGACTCTCCTTTGCGCCAGCCCTTTTTGACATGCATCTGACATTGGGTGGATGTGCACTTTGGCCGGTAAGGCCCGGAACGCTGGAAAATAATCCGCACAAATGTCAGCACAGTTTGCCCGGCGTGGTTTTCAAGCTGGGCTATTCTTCTTTAATTGGTTGCAGCTGCATCACCACTTCATCTTTCTTGCTGAATTATGGCCAGGAGAAGCCAAGTGTGGCGTTGCCGGCAAAATCTTGCGTGCAATACTACTATAGGGTATAACTCCTAGATAGTCCTAGATTCCTAGATTGTACATAGCCCTTCTTGTCTTGAAGGACGCTGAAACATGACCGCCATCAAGCCCCCCACTGGAGTCGCTCAGCAAATTGGTGGATTTTGAGGTAGTGCCCAACTTTGCTCGGGACTTGCGAGCCAGCCCTGAATCTGCACTGTTGGCGGTCAACCACCATGGGAATAACACACATTCGCCAAATGTCAGCAAGTTGACGGCCATATCTCTGGGACAGATGATGCCCCAGCAGTGCCAGCCATTTGGCCAATCGCCTCAAGGGATCCGGAAATAGATGGTGATTCAATGCGCACCAGGGCTGCGAAGCCAGCACCACCAATCTACACGCCTGCGACGCCTGCGATGCCTCCGAACCTTCGGTGTTTTCGCGCGCCAGCTCCAGGGGCGAGACACACAACTTGGTGGGGTCCCTTTTTCGGTGGTGCAAGCGAGCACCGGCACGGAGCAAGCTGATCACACGTGCAACAGGTAGCACACTGGCATGGTGCAATGGAGTGCACCAGTCCCTGGTCTTTGCTAACCACTGCACGATGTGACTGTGACCTGCTGCAGCTTCAAAGGCAAAGTATCCACCCATCGCATCTCGCAAATGGGTACGTCTGGCCCCATAGGATGAAAGTATCTGGACCACATCCAGGTAACCGTTTTCACATGCATAGGCCATGGCTGTGGCCCCTCCTTGGTCTGTCTCATCTACTTTGAACGAGCCGCATTCCAAGAGAAGAGCCACACAGCCAGCATGACCATGCATCGATGCAGCATGCAATGGGCTTCGTTCTGCTGGCTGAAGCCGGAAGTGACACGGTTTCTTTTCGAGCCGCGCCAGCCACCAGGCGACCTGCTCCTCGCATCCTTTGCTGCACGCCTCTGGCAGGCTAAACATGCCGCCAAAGTCCATGGCTCTCGGAGCACGACGATGGAGCACTGAACTGCTTGAAGATCTTACAAGTCATGGGTACATGAGTCACATAAGCATTTCAGTGCATCTCAGACGTGTACCAAATATTTCGCGTGAGAGGATTTTGTGCTTGGCCGGCCATGATTGACCCCTTCATGTAGTGCACGAAGGTTTTTGTCTGCTTGAGCCATCGCAAGCTTGTGTCATAGGTATCGTCAGAATTATTCCAATGGCAAGCCCTATGCAATTTGACACGCGCTTGCCGCTGAAGTGAGAGAAAAACACGGTAAAACTAAACGAAATAAACGATAAACTAAGGAAACCTGAAGTTCTTAAAGATCGGTAAGATGCCTCAACAAGCCACATTTCTTTGCTTCTGATATTTCTGATTTTGGTGTGCTTGGCACATCTACCGGCAAAAACGCCCTGGTCGCCTGTTACACAAGCCTCGCTGCAACAGCAGTCAATCGACAGCACCGAGTCTGCGCAAAAGAACCACCTTGACACCACCATCCCCTCTGCCTTTCGCGATTTGAGTTGGGCGAGAACAGCTAGACACGCATCTGGAGCCTTTGCAAGTCAGCCAGCACAGCATTACAGCAAATATGATGCGAGCTTAGCTACACTCAGATCAACTTTTGGGCGAAAAGAAGAGCACCTGCAGAACTCCCGATAAGATCATCCACCGTCACCTGGCAGCTAAAAGTAAGGCCAACAGAGTAATGGATGTCAATGTCCTAGCCATATGCCTGTTGTTGGTGGAACTGGCAGTTGAAGTTGGTGGAAATGTCATTCCATTCATCATCTTTAATCATCTTCAATTTAATCATTTTTCAGAAATTGTTCATCATCTTTCCTCATCTTTCCTCATCTTTCCTCATCTTTCACCATCTTTCACCATCTTTCGCAATCTTTCACCATCTTTCACCTGCACTGGGGCCGGGTTCTTGTTCTTGACCTTTGGCAACCGCATAACTCTGGGCACTTGTTGGCCCAATTGACTCGCTCGGCCGCATGCCAAAGGGCCACTGTGATGCCTGTGTCTTGGATCGTTTGATGGTGTGCTGCTGCGGAGAAATGCCTCTCCCAATAAGCTGTTGTGATGAACGATTTTGTGCTCGGGAGGGATCACATTCAACAAATGGATGAAACAACTTGTGGAGATGGTACAGAGCTGAGCGGTCAAACTGATGTACGTCCTGAAGCTTGCTTGGGGTAGTGGTAGCTTGTGACAGGTTTCCTATTCTTTGCTGAGCCGAGCAGCGAAGACTCCACGTCTCCAGGACATGAAGGGAAACCAAAGCTGCAAGGGCATGACAAGTGGCCAAATCAAACCTTAATCAAATGCCAAGATAGAAAGTCAACTAAAATGATGGAAACTCTGCACGTTGAACAACTTGCAGCCCCAAGTGTGTCTTCCTTTGAAGCCTTACCAGCTTTGGCAGACCTGTTCAGCACCACACAAACACTTCAAAATGCTTCAAGAGCAGGCAAGGCAACCAAGAGTGGGATGACGGTGGGCCCATATATGTATGTATATCTCCCTCTCCCTCTATGTGGCATACTATGTGGATACTATTCCGCCTTAGTAAAGACGAAATTAATTGAGCCATGGGTATATCCAACTTGCTTCAAACTTTGGACCCACTTTAGGCTCAAACGCGGAGTTTGCGGTTGATCCAGACTCCTGAACAGACATGAAGCCAGGATAGGTTGGGCTGCAAGAGTTCTGTTTTTTTTCCTCCAACCGATAAGGGCAGTTAATGGCAGTCATTGGCAGTCCCTGCGTCCTCGGTACTGGGCATCAGTCCCTCCACCAAAGACTGGAGGACCCCCCGCAGCTGAGCCAAAACGTCCAAGGCCGGCGACAGGAACTCAAGACATGGGACATCGCTGACATCAGAGGGTGAAAGCCGGCTTCAAATTAGAGTACGACCTCCAGAAAACAGAAATCTAGAACTTTTCTAACACTCCAATGATACCAGTAGAGCTGACTGAAACCCAACTGCACAGTAGGTTGTTTTGCGCAAGATCATGTATAATAGATATATATATATATAACATATAATTATATATATATCATCTGCAAAGGATGCAAAAGGTGGATGCACGTCTGTGGATCCGATCCCCAGGTCGGCCCGACAACAACACACAGTCATTTCTTACAAACGCTGCCCTTTTCCTCTGCATCGCTGAGAGTGTTTGGGTGGTCATGAATGAGTCGGTATCCGACCACAATGACGCATCCTATCCTGTCGCAATGGTCCTGAGTGCAGCAAAAGTAGCAGCTACGCGTTCACCTTGGTTGCCTCTCCACTCCACCGTCTTGATCATCTTTGCTAGTTGAGGAATTGAGGAAGGGTCAAGACTCTTCTCGGCTGAGAGTTCTCACCTTAACTACCTCAGCTGGCAAGAAGTTGACAAAAGTCTTGGAAGCCCAAATCTCCTGGACGGGGATATCCTAGGATGACAGGAGATGACAGGAGATGACAGGTGCTGAGTTACAGGCACCACGGCGAGCCCCTGAAAGGCTCATTCCAGAGCCAGCAACCTTGGCAGGATGTTTCCATTTCCACTGAGCAGCCCACACAGAATGCCCGATCCCGCCTGCACCGATGCAGAGGAGCTTTCCTTTCAGGCTTACGTTCGAGCGACAGAGACTTCTGGCCAGACATGTTTGACCCAATTCTTCCAATTTTTTCAGTGGATCCTCCAAATGAGAAGAACAAAATGCATCAAAATGCACATCGGAAATCCAAATCATCGAAAATTGGAAACTATGGAAACCCCATGCCCCATTGCATCCATTTTGAATCAAGCCCTTTAGCCATCTTTAGCCCAATTTCATGCGCAAACCTGGAGGTCTTTCTCTCCGACCAGCTGTGCTTCGCTTGCCTGGCACCAGGCCATGGGAATCCATGAAGGGATTCCTGGGAAACCAGCAGGGCAGGCGCTGCCAACCGTACACAACGCGCAGGACAAGCGGCAATATTTCCCTCAGTTCAGATTTGCCAACAAGTCTTCCGGATGTCTTCAGGTCACTGGGCGAAGTGGCAGATTTCGGCAAATCCACTGGGCACAATGGCTCGCAAGGGGTGAAAATCGATGGCAATACCCCATAGAAGCCTCAAACAAGATGCGCAAAAGAGCCATGAAAAGTATTGGGAAAAATATGTTAAAACAATGGGACGCTGAATGACACAGACATTGATAAGTATTGATATATATGTATGTGTGTGTGTGTATATTAATATGGATTAATATGCAGCAATATGCTTTCCCTTTGGCCGGCGTGCAAAGGACTTGCATCCTGGAAGATGGTTCCAGACCTCGGCGGCCAATGTCATGCAAACGGCATCCCCTTCATGGCAATGGTGGATCTTCCTGAAATATCTGAAATGAATAAATAGTTGCAAGGGAAACTCATACATGTGATCTGTGGCATTCCAGATTGTGCTATCTGCAATGTCTGAGGCGGAAACCATGTTCTTGTTGTCATCCTCACAGACCTCCAACTTCCACAACAAGTCGCCCAACACCCGCAATCATATATAGCCTCATCTCTCGCATCGCATGGTGTCTCCTCACCTCTGGTTCAGCTTTCTTTGGTGGTGGCTCACCCTCCTGTACCAGGGTGCTCTGTCGCTTCTTCACCTCATCAGCGATGAAATGAAACTGCCAATCTGAAAGGGGTTGGGTTTTGCTGTTGGCTGCCTTTTGGATCTTCTTGGCGCCCAGGCCGTGTGTTTGGCCAAACCTTGCCAGGACATAGCGAGATGTTGATGACATGTGGTGACAAGCATCAGCAACAGCAACAACCCCTACAGCAAGATGCACACACATACACAGTAAAATACACAGTAAAATCCGCTGATCTGATTTCAGATCATCCTGGCCTATGCCGACATGCCACTTCTTGGCATCGTAGATGGTGTAGTACTTCCTGCGCTGCCAGGAGCTATCGTGAGCTCAAGGTTAGCCTTTTCATGCGATGCTCGAATTGAGATTCTGCTGGCATTTTTTCCTCAACGCCGTCTGCCCAAAGACCCACATGGGGCCCAAGTTGGGTGGGAGGTCCACTGGCCTAGGCTCAAACCGACAGTGCCTTTTTGTGAATTCAAACGTCTGCACGTCAAAGCTGCACGACTTTGATGAACCCGAGCTCACGACTGAAAAGCGAATGCGCAATCTGAACCTTTGACCTGCTTTAAGGCAACAAGCCCACAGCGTGGATTAAATGCCTCTTGATTCTTTTGTCGAGGGCTGGTGCGAAGGTGAAAAACGAAATCAGCACTCTGCATGTCGCGTACCTCTGCATAATCATCGGGTCCCAAAATGACGCTGAAAATGCCTGAAAATGGCTTGAGTGGCAGAACAATGGCGGAACGGAGGAGTGACCAATCGTCGCAAAGACTTTAATGACACACCTCCGTCGATTGTGTCCAAGTCGAAGCGAATGGATGGAATCGACCTCATGTTTTCATTCTTGATGGCACAAGGCTCACATCTACTGCAACTGCCACGTGCAAAAATGCAAAGCAACCGGGGGACTAGAAACTGTCACATTCAGCACATGAGGAGCTTTTTTCCCTCGCGTGGTCACAAGATTGGCCGTGGAAGGAACTGAGAAGAAGCACCAGCAGCTGCACTACCTCAAAAGCGGAGTTCAATGACAAAAGGCTGTCCATTCTGTTTGCCACTGGAAAGTACCAAGTTTGCCTTGTGGCTGGAGCAAATTGACATTGCCGTCATAGGCACTGGCCCAAGTAGAGGGTGTCAGCACTGCTGCGGCGCTCCGCACACTTTGAGCAGGCTGTGGGCAGCAGGAAGCTGGTGTCTCATGCCTCGGTTCTGTGGCGTACCAGCAAGGCTCGGATGCTGAAACAATCCATGCTGACCAGTTGAGACGGTGGAGAAAATGAAGAAAAATTGACAAAGAAACTATATTAATTCTATATTGCAGCAAAGCTGCAACATATCCAAATGGATGTAGTCTTTGATCAACGCATTAACAGTTTCGAAGGCCTCATCAAACTCACCCTTTTCCATGTACTCGGTATAGTGGTGCACATGCGCTTTGCGATTGTAAAGCCGTGAGAAGTCCTTCACCTTGGTGCTGCAGGTTGATCTTGAAACATTTGAAACTCAGCTCCAGAAAAGTGTAACAAATTCTTCGGAAATGTTCAGAAGTCCAGGCTCGTGGCTGTGTGACTGAACATCTGGTGCGCCGCGCAAGTGTTTCCCAAGTGCAAAACCGAATATGGAAGACCACGTGGCGCTACCTTGCAAAGGCCAATCCTTGGACTGCAAAATCTGCAAAGGGTGTGTTCCAGCACTGAAACCAAGCAATGAACCTTGTGGTCCAACAACCTTGCAGCAATCTCCCCGTTACAATCCCACATTGTGACATGTTTCTGGTACAGTAGTGGCTTTGTAGAGCTCTGGGAAATAGGAAAAATCTAAAATCTATCAGCAAATGAGACCAAGCGTCTTAAAAGCATCTTCGTTGAAAGGCAAAAGCTTCAGCTTCTTGCGGAGCTGGAAAATATTTCCTGCAGTGAGACAGGCTTTGCTAGTACATCTGGTCATTCTTTTTCTCTGAAGTGATGGTACCCGAAAATGTAGTTTATGATTGCGGTATATCATATGTATGTGTGCATGTATATATATATATATATTGCGGTGGGAAATGGATGGAGAAACTCAGCCATTGTTACGATAGTATACAGTTAACATTAGTCAACTAGTTCGCAAGCTATACCGTGGCACAGAATCTGCCAAGAGACTGTTGACGTCTGCAATCGAGGCAGAGCCCCGAACCAGAAATGCCAGAGCCATGTAGGTGCTGCCCCTGTTCGTGACCAAGCTAAACAACCAATTCATATCATTGGTCTTCATGATGGTCACAACGGACCAAAGAAAGTTGAAGATGCTGGAAAAATTATCTTATTCCTATGCCATAGTTGCATGATATTTGCAGGCATATGCAGGCATCAAGAGTCATGAACATCCCCCTGCCATCAGGCGGGGCCTGGGATCCACATTCATCAGCTGGTGCCCTGATGTGATCACCTCTGAAAACATCTGGTGGAAGCCTGGCAGATCAACACCAGTGATGCAAGTGTCGCAGGGGAACATTGATCCAACAATACACATCAGTTAATAATTATATAATTATATATAATTATATATATACATAATTATATATACACGTATCAATGTATTGCAATGTCATTTTGTATGAGGTAATATAGTGTAATATCATGATATATCATATGATATATCATGTATATATATCATGTATCTGGCATCCACTGTTCCACGTTTTTTCTTGTTGATCTTGTTGCTGTCTCTTCTCACTTCTTTCATCTTTGAAGCCTGAAGCTTATCAGTTTCGGCCTCTGGAAACGAAGCGCGGATCGCGGCCAAAGTACAAGGGGCTCATGGAAGCCAACAGGAAATGCATCCGCGGAAACGGCACTAAATTCATAGTGATCTCGTTCAAGTCCAGGTTCAGCGACCCCTCAAATCTCATGGAGCTGGTGAGATTGTTCAGCAAATGGGCCACCAAGGAATTCATCCGATCAAAAGGGCGCTCTTGACCAATGGGAGGAGGCCGCCTGAGGCAAAACAGCTCAAATGACTCAAAACATAGTCAATCAATGTCAATCACAGTTTTAACTTTTAACTTTTAACAATTCTTTTAACTACATCATGATGTTACATCCAGTTACTGGATATCAACTACGGTCAACTCACCAGTCATTGCGTGATTTCACCAATCCGCATGCCCTGAGCTGCTGGAGGCAGGTTGCGTCGTCCCTGCAGAGCGTGGCACTGCAACTGGTGTCTCTGGTTCCGCCTGCGGCCTGCCACGAAACGCTGTGACCGTGACCCCGGATCACAGTGGCAGCAGGTCTTGACTTTCACAGTAGTCCATTAGCAATCACTAGTGCAAGCCGATGCAATCCGTATCTTTCATCAAGGTCAACGCTTCACGAATCTCTACTCTGGATTTTTTAAAGAGGCTTGGTACATCTTTGTAATTCGATTTCTCCCCCCACCTTTGCAACACCTCTCAGGCCCCGACCTCTTCCTGGGTGGCGCTGACTGGGCAGTACGGCGGCCAGGTGCTCGCGGTGCGCCTGGGTTTTGCAGTGAGAGTCTGCCCACATGGATTTGGTATGACTGGATAACAAAAGAAGTGAGGGAAGGAATGAAATTGATTGAAATTGTGTTCTCAATCGCTTAATAAGTCAGACTGGCTATGGCTGGCTACTGAAGCACCTTTTTTAGCAGCGACTTCGCTTTGCCGGGACACGACGGGGTTGACGTTCATCTTGCGGCAAATCAATCAGGGTGGCCGTGTTGGAATCCTCTGCATCTCGGATGGAAATCTGGTTGCAGATGTTTGCCAACGAGTCATTGGAGGCGGGCAGCACGCAATGAGCTGATTGGATCAGTGGCCGCATAGCCAGGATGCTGTTGTAGGGTGAAGTGACCACGTCGTCTTCGCGCGCTGGGCACACGCAGGAAACGAAGCGAAAGACTTCGGGCATTAGATCTTCTAAGCTTTCCAAGATGTAGGTTCCAAGACCACTGCCAGTCCCACCACCCAAGGAATGCAATAGGAAAAAACATTGCAATGAGTCACACTGCTCTGCTGACCTACGCACTTTTTCCTGTATACTTTCTCGGTAGGTTGGTCCATACACATGATAGCCATGTGCCCAATTGTTGCCAGATCCAGAGACGTCAGTGATTCTCTGCCTTGCATCAAATAAATCTGCTAGAGGTCCTGTGAGGAGGGAATTGACCACGCCCTCCTCCATATCCACCAACAAACATCTGGCCTTGAGTGATCGAATTTGGTCGCCCACAGGGAGGCCAGGCAGGTTTGCATGTCTCGTATCCACATTTCGGAAGAAGGACGACAATGCCGCATCATACACCGCAGCCTTGGACACGAACGCGTGCTCGCGCAGCACCTGGGAGATTCACTAGGAAATCAACATACCTTCTATCACGGCTAGAGTAAAATAGAGTTTGATGAATCTGATGAAGTATTGTTCAGAATGCATGATACAGGCAATACACACTAAGCACTGCTAGAATATGGTAGATAAGTATTATGATAGTAAAATTCGAGCATATTGTATTGGTATGTATTAGTATGTTTTAGTATAGAATAGTACCACAGGCAGGTTGAATCCCAGTAGCACCCAACATAACCAATAAACACTGGCGGTGCTAAGGACCCGCCAGAGCGGTTGCATGAATGCCGACAAATGGCCAGGTCCCAAAATCTGCATCCAATCTGATTGCCACATTGGCCAACCTGGGGCAATGCAACTGGCCGCAAATGGATCATGGTGTCGCAGCCATAGCTATTCTGATAGTTCATGACCATTCCAATAGCATTAAACATTAAACCATTGATCGTTTTTTGTTTGGGGTTCCACGATGGACTGGTTTTAAGTGGCATTCAGCACTCCAACCGAATGCCTGGATTGTGATGACCTCACGCGGCATGTCGAGGCCCCCAGCATCATGGCAGGTGTGGACACCTATTGTTAAGGCATCATTTCAAGTGGCTGACTACATTTCATATGCATGTTCCTGTGGACGTGGTCGCTGTTGTAGCTCAAACAGTACCACCTTCATATTTCAAGGGAGGCACTCTGCAATTGTTAATTTGCGTTGCAATCATCCGGCATCCAGCTATATCCAGCTTTGGCAGTGGCGAGTTTGCAACTGCTGGACTCCTCGTACTTCTTGTGCACAGCTTTTGAGCAAATCACGCGGATCGGTGCAGAACACTTCCCGAGTTGGTGGACCCCCAACCCACCAGCCCCACCAGGTTGCAGCATTCCCATGACAAATAAGTATCAGTATCACATGATACAACCAATATACAGCCAGTTTGAGGATTGTGCACGCAAATCTTGCACAAGGTCCCACTGCTAATGATCCTTTCCTATCTTTCCTTCTTTTCCATCTTTTCCTTCTTTTTGACTTAAGATATTTGGCCCTGGCCCAATCTCTCCAGGCGCCGTCAGGTCTCCCTCAACGTCGTCAACTCCGACGCGCGCTCAGTGTATCTTCCCAAGGTGAAGCCATAGCTCCCCACGCTAATTTCCCCGTTGTAGCTGCGAAACCTCACATCTTAGAGCATGAGAAGAATCGTGCTGTGCGTTTAGTCTTGGAAATGCGCAAAAATTCCAAAATGGCACAAAATCATACAAAATCAATAAACTCAGGTGCTATCCCCAACAGCTTGAAGGCTTCTGCGTTTTTGCCATAAAAAGTGCTTATGCCATAAAAATCAAGCGCTTATGCCATAAAAATTAAGTGTTTATGCCATTAAAAAAAAAACATCGGATCCCTTTGGAATTTGACAAAGCATCTGCACCAGAACCCTCCGGAACCTCACAAGGTATCTGCACCGGAAGCCTCCGGAACCTCACCAAGCATCTTCTCCGCCAAAACCCTCCGGAACCTCACAAGGTCTCTGCACCGGAACCTTCCGGAACCTCACAAGGTATCTGCCCCGGAACCCTCCGGAACCTCACCACGCATCTTCACCTAGACCCTCCGGAACCTCATCAGGTAGTTGCACCGGAAACAGGTACCTGCACCAAAACCCTCTAGAACCCAACCAAGTATCTGCACTGGAACCCTCCGGAACCTCACAAGGTATCTGCACCAGAACCCTCCAGAACCGCACAGTATCTTCACCGGAACCCTCCGGAACCTCACGAAGTATCTGCACCGGAACCCTCCGAAACCTCACGAGGTATCTGCACCAGAACCCTCCTTGTCCGGAACCTGGTGTTGAAGCTGCACCGGATCGCACCGGAGCTAATCTGGGCTAATCTGGGCTAAAGACCCCATAGCAAAGTTTTGCAGTTGGGCCAAAAACATCCCAAAACTATATCCAAATTTCCAAAACATGCCACAACTAGGGAAAGGAACTCTTCAACATAGCCCATGTCCAACATTTCATCCCACGCTCGACGGACATCATCAAGGAAGGTGTCATCCAATAGTAGGACATTGTTCTTCAGATTCGCCAAGGCTGCGAAGTTCTTCAAATCACGAATGGCCACATCATAGCTGTGGCCGCCATCGATGAAGATGAGCTCACACCTTTCCAGTGTATCAAAGCCGAAACCAAAACAAATTCTGCATTTGCCTAATCCTCGTCCACTGATGTCCACTTGTCCACTAAGGGTGCGGCTTCACATCAGGATGTTCCCGATGAAATGCGGGAACTGTCGCAAGTGAGTCCCCCCAGGTCATGTCCAAACGCCTCAGAAAAGGTCACAAAAACTGCGGACCTGTGTCACTGAGACCCAATCAGCGGACATCAGTGGCAAGAAAAACTACAAGTAAAACAACAAGTGACCAAGGGAATAGCAACAGCAATGGCGACAACGATGTTGCAACTGGTTTGGGCTGCGGTCTCTGCCGAGCGTCCCAGGAAACTGATTTGATAGCCACATTGCCGCCGGCCGCGCGTACGGGTGATTTCCCAAGTCAAATGAGTACACCTGAGCGGACATCGGGAGCCAAGGTCAGAGCCTCATGGCATCATATTGCGACCCCGCGTGCTGAATATGCTGCAACCATTGTTCTCTCTCAGCAAGAATCAAAAAAAACGTATTGCAAAACTATCTGCTCACAAACCTGAGCGCGCCTTTTCACTTGAGCCAAAAGTATCAGATACGCAGGAGTGCATTGGGCTCACCTGGCTGTACATTATGGTGATAGATTTCTGCACTCCTCCTTACCTAAGAACTGGCTTATCCAGTTCGTATTATAAAAACCCTCTACCTGCGGCGCGGTACTTTATTTTGGCTTCCTGGGTAGTGGCGTCTCGCCAAGGCCTTTGGATTATGAGTCCAATAGCTTCATCTGACCCTTACTCCGCTCTGTCAAGTATGGGTAATCTGACCTTTCCATTGTGTTGCGCATTTGTACCCCGGGCTTTGTACCCCGGGCACGCTCTTGGTCAATGCGCCTGCCCGATTGCTCTTTCCAGGTACATGCACGACCTTCAAATGGCTCATGGCTACCCGTTCTTGCAGCCATAGATATCTCGTTTGGATGTGCCTCGCTTTTCCCAGTCCTATTCGGCTCACTGTTCCTTCTGCCGAATTAGAGTCGGATTCCTCTGCTGGCAGGTCAAGTCCTAGATCTTGCAACAGCGATTGTATGCCCAACGCCGTGCTTCCCCCCTTCACCAAGGCTAATACCCGCTTTCGCCTATGGAAAGGGATATGGTCGATTGGGCATGGCTGGCATGTTTGAGTGTATGCGCTCCGAACAGTGCCAACATCCCGGTCGTAGATCTTCGGGTGACAGCGCAACATAGCGCAACCAGCATGGTCGCTGTCCACTTGCACTCGGATACTGCTTGGCATCCGTTGCTCTGCAAAGATCTGAATGAAGTCTGGATATTTCTTGAGGAATCTACCCAGCCTCTTAAGATCGCTGCACTTTGCCTCAGTAGGGTTGACCATTCCCCGTGCGAGGTCTTTCACCGTATGTGAAGTCAGGGCGGTCTTGCGATAGGTATGCCGCTCGCATCACACATGACCGGTATGTCTTTGCGAGGTCTTTTCCTAGGATTGGACTTTTGAATTCCAGCATCTTCTGGTCCACCGAGTTCTTCACATCGGGTGTGTCCACTCCTTTTGTTGTTTCCGGACCCAACTCTCGGATCAAAAGATCTACATGTCTCCTGTCGGGTTCTAAGGAGACTGCTTGTCGACCGCTGTGTTTCCCCACTCCGATCACACGATTCAAAAAGTGGATTTCTCGGTCGTCACCTTCCTCGAACCCTAAAGTGCCGAGCCGTTTCAGCTCGTATGCGCTCCGTAACAGGTCATCGATCTCCTGTAGTCCTTGGCTGTCGCTCAACACCAGGAAATCGTCACCGTGTACGACGATTCTTGTTCCATCACTTTCACGATAGAACACTTGCGTTCGAACGGCCTCGCTTTATGTTGGCCGATTCCAGCAAGCTGGTGGGATGACTCTGCCAAATATTGGATGCATCCTGCGTCCCATACATGGACTTCGTGAATAGACCACACTCCTTCTCACCAGATTCTGTGTACGACGCATCCTCATCTGGTAGTTTGATGTAGGTGGTCCTTTTCGGAATGCCATAAAAGTATGTGAAAGTGTGCTCTGCTGATGTTCCAAAATCATAGAGCTGGTGGTCCTGCGGCCTTTGCTTGCCTGTGCTGGTCACGTTCCTCGTCCTGTTCCCTCGCCCGCTCACGTCAGCACACCGCCTGAACCAGCGTAGACAGCAACCTGTCGTGCTTTAGGTGTAGGTGGTGGTCCTTTTGCCTTTGGTTTGGTCTCCTGCGGCCATTCAGATACTCCTAGTGGTCTTTGTCGCCGAGGTCTCAATGCCACTGGTACTCTTCTCCGTGCCCTCGCTTCACTAGAAGCTCCTCCTGGGCCAAATGCGTCCAAGATGTGTGGGAGACTCAACTATGGGCTTCCCTTCTCCTCTCTTTCCGGTTCCTTTGCCCTTGGCTCTCTTGCCTTTCTTTCGTTGAAGTGCTTCTGCGCTCCTCCAACGGCGATTGGGGTTCCCCGCATGCCCCACCCCTCGGCTTTCCCATTCGCTTCGGCTCCTTTGTCTCCTTTGCATCCTTTTCCTTTGGCTCTTTCCTCGGCCCGCTCTCTATAGATCCTTTCCCTTTCCTCTTCTTCGGCCTTATCGACCAGCGCCACCAGCGAGTAGGCGTACACAAACCGACTTGCAGTGGTTGCCTTTGGGGATGGACCTCTCCTTCGTGCAATCCCAAAGGGTCTCCTAGCTCCTCCTTCGGGCGCTTCGTCGGGTTTTGCGCCGCCTCCGCGGCCTCTGCTCCTCCTAAGGGAGCTCCTTCGACCTCTTCCGGGTCGCTGGCCCCTACGATGGGACCAGGAGCCACCGGCTCCTCACCACCTCCGAAATCAAGAGTTTCAGTTGTATCACTCGAATCCCTGTCTCGAACCTCTCTCGCTACATCTCGCTACCATTGCATGCAAAACTATTTACTCACAAACCTGAGCGCTACGGAGCGCCTGTTCACTTGAGCCAAAAGCATCGGATACGCAGGAATGCATTGGGCTCACCTCGCTGTACATCATGGGGATGTAATATATTTCTGCACGTATAGTAGAATCTTCAATAAATCCAGAAACGCAATCCACTAATTATCTAATTCGTCCTTCCTTGATCTTCCTTGCCCCTCATGTTGGAATGTGATGTACCATGGTGTACCCATTCCTTGAGCATGGACAGCATGGATGATGTGTGCCTTCGCTTTGGTACGCAGCAACCATCTCAGGGCACTGTGGCCAGCGTTGAATCCAACTTCGCACACAGTCCGAATGGAAGGCTCTGATGCAATCCTGAGCTGTTCTGACATGTTCCGATACAAGAATTGCCTCCGTACGAAAATGCTGCATCCACCGATACCTGACCCCAGCACCGGTTAAAGAGTCAGTCATACAAAATCCTCCAAACACTACCAAACCGGATCATAGGTTGTACAAGCTGTACCGGGTCGGAAAATTCTGCAGAGCCACTCGTTCATGACTTCCACAGCTTCTGGCACCATGTTGCTATGTCCTGGCATTGGGTGTTGTGACTTGTCACCTAGACATGACAGTGTTATCACTGAATCAAGATGAGCAACAGAACTACAAAACCGTGGGGCTTGATATGGACATATAGATATATATATAGACAATATACCTAGAGCATCTTAGAGCTATCCATGGCCTTTGCCATCCCTTGCCCCTTCACATTTCCCCACCTTCAATCTCCCGATCTGGGTGCCAAATGTGGGAGATGGAGCCCTTCGGCAACGGTTTATCGGTCAGTCTCATGGACCAAGCCACCACTGAGTCCAAACCTCGGACACATGGTGAAGCACATGGGGCCCCCTGCTCCCAGTCCCCCCCACCAGGGCCTTCCCAAGGACATAGAATGACATGACGATCATGAATCATGATGATGTTTGCTGGTTTTTGAGGGTACTGTACTACTGTACCCAATTCTCGGACAAACCCAGAGATTGAGATGATCTAATATGGCAATTGTTTTGAACAACGAGTTGGAGGAAACAGGACCAGAAATTCGAGCTATGAGGGACCCGAAACCTATGGGCTTCCTGCTGTGGAGACATATATGCCTAGGTCACATCTGCAATCTTTGACAATGAAGTGCAAACTGGTGGCTGTCGGTTAACTCCTCCTCGCCCTTTGCCTTGCCAGACCTCTTTGGTCTTGATGCCAGTGGTGGTGACACACAGTAGCCGCCTGAACATCATGGGCAGTAGCTGTCTAGCACCTGTCCTCCTTTGCGGCCCCTTTTAGATCTTTCAGAGTCTTTCAGATCTTTTGGCCCTTTCAAAGAGAGGTCACAACATCTGCCAAGTTGCGCAGATTCGCAGTTGCTGCAAAAAGCCTTTCGTCCATCTCCTGGTCGTCAAGAATACGGAGCCCAGATACTCTTGTTACACAACAGTTTTTGAGGCGATCCAGTCACCCGGTCCTGGCCAAACTGCGTAGAAGACGAACGGCCAACCAACTGGCAGTCTAGGCGCCAGCGCAAAGGCGTGCAGGTCCTGCCAAGAGGTGTGGAACTGCAAAAGAGTTTAACGGGAAAGAACGGCACAGGCACAATATCAACAATGGATGACCTTTGCCGCCTTTGCCATTTCCCAGTCTTTCATGACATACGCCTAGAGGACGTATTCGAATGCATTCAGATTTGACTCCTTAAAGCTTTCTTGGCACCGGCCGCGGAGATCAAATAGGCAGGGCCTATTCGATACCTTACGTTTGCGTCGCAGGGCTTTGAGCGACATGCACTTAGCACAAGCCTTTGGCCCATGGGCAGCTGTGGCCTATCAAGCCTATGGCGTATGGCTTGATCTATGGCATTCTCATGTGTTCGGATGCCATCTCAGCCATAGAACAGGTCGAACCCTCTTGGCAGCTGATCCCCTGCCGGGCTGCCACGGATAGAGCCGCCGAAGACCGGGCGCAACGCACAGCGCTTCAAACTGCGACAGCTCCTGGGCTCAGTCCATGCGGGGCCATGCCACCTCTCCCAGCAATGACAGCAGACCTATGCAGACCTGGCAGCCAAGGGTCGGTCTCTGGAGCACCCAACAGATCCTCACCGCTGAAACAAATCAGGTCCCAGTTCTTGGGAACTTTCGCCAAATGGTCTTGCAGCCTTGGACATCGAATCATTGGCTGTGAGTCGTGCACAGTTTTGGGTGGCTGAGCACCGGACGATTCACTGGTGACTTCAGACCAAAACCTGCAGTCATCTTCGACCACCAAATATGCATCAGATGCATCTTCGGCTTCCCTCTCGATGTCGGCCCACACCTCCCATGAGGTTAAAGAAAAACATGGTCACCGAACAATCCTCGCTGACATATGACACCACAGATTTCGGCCTGAAGCTGCGACAATGCTTGCCCCAAGCTGCCACGAGTAAGGTCCAGCTCTTTCAGCCAGCCTGTTGCTGCACGAGTGGGACAATATTTGAAATATAATGAACATATATATATATATATCATATATGAAAATATCGAGAACAGAAACGAACATCGTGTGCCACAAATCGATACACATCAGAACTGCGGCCTCCGTGCTTTTTGCCAGGAGCTTCTCGACCTCTACGGACATGTCGCCAACGCTTGGTTTCCCTCCACTTCTTCCGCCATTCGTCTTTCACAAGGACACCTTGCAACTTGCCAAATCGAAACTGCAACTCAGCCACTCGAATCATGGCAGGAAAAATGGAAGGAGGAAGAAGCAAACTTGCTGCCAGCATGGAAGATCTACGTACAAACCTTATCTGTATGGACATGCCTGGATATCCCATCCTCTGCACATGTTGATACAATGCCCCGCTGCAATGCAGGGCAAAAATCACCACATCTCAGACGGGAGACGCGGCAGCGCAGCAGGCTCCACCACACCAGAATCCACAATTTCAAGCACCTGGTCTTGCAGGTCGAAGCCATCCACTGCTGCCCATTGCCGCACCGGAACCTTGAATGCAGATCGAATAATGATGAATAATGCAGGTTCATCCCATAGCTCACATCTCCCATAGCTCCCAATCAGGTAAACCATGGTAAACCAACACCTATTCTTTTGGTGTGACCAGACTTCAATGGACTTCTAACGGTTTTTGCTGCTGAGAATCCCCCGGGCTCAGCCTCTCCAGCGCATCACCCAGACGTTTTTTACTTGGATGTCCACGGCGAATGTGGTAGACAGACTTCACTTGGAGCCTCAAAAGTTTGATCTTTCCGGGATTTGTGGCTTGAGTTTGTAATTTTTCCATTGGACAAATATGTGCAATTATGGCATTTGATGGGAACAAGCGCAGGATAGACCTCCCCGTCAGCCACAATCAGCCAGTCCAGCGGAAACTAAGGCACCAGCGCAGAAGTCACTGAGGAGAAGCCACGCAAAAACGTCATGGCCTCAGAACTTGGTAGATCTTGGTGGGCCACACGAGGTGAGACCTGAGACTCTGAGGTGGGCACAGCGACCACGAAGAACGACCTGCTACGGCATCATAGCGACTTGTGGAAGGTACAGCATGCTACAGCTACAGCCATTCCTCGCCTCCAAAAAGTCAAACGCTGCCGGACCATGGGTGAGTCATAGACCATGTAGATGTTGGAACATGAGAGTCCAACCAGGTACAGTTGAACGAATGGTCGCTTAGGCACATGTTTCCCATGGCAACTGAATATGAATGCCAGGTGTCCGCTTGCGTACTCCGTCTTATTCACAGTCGTATTGACGCTCTCAATAGATTTTGGGACAAAACCTGACAAAACCCATATGAAATAGTCGCGTATTGATGATGTCTCTACTGAAATCTTGCGACTTGAGCAGTTCACCCCATATTATGCTTATCTATGCTTGAGCCAGCGCTTGCAGGGCCAGCTTGTGGTGAGCCTCAAGGTATGGCCTCACAGCCTATCCGCAGTGCATTTGTGGAGCCAATCCACTGACAGTGCAGTGATGGACCCAAAAAGATTCCTGTGGCAAGCGAAGAACCATCAGCAATTATACATAATCATACACAAAGCGGTGGAAAATATAGACGGGTGGTATCAGGTGGTATATAGACGTACAAAGTATACACCACTCCCAATTGAGGCCTTGTGACACGTCTACCACATGGCTTCGTCTGAAACTAGGGTACCACCAAATTTGATGGGTTGATCACCATGTTCCCCCTCATTTAAAAAGAACATGGGGAATCTTTGGGGTATCTGCAGTCTCCCGGCAGTCACTGGGCAAGGCCACTGACAACCGCCAATATGGCGTAGTAGCTCTGCAACGCCATGGCGTGGACCCATCATCAAGGCTGTGCCGGTGTCCATGGCCACCTGAAACAGCCAGGCTGGACCATTGGACAAAGGTGTGGAAATGTGTAGAACCCATTTTGGGCACCAAACGTTGGCCATGGATTAATTACTCCTAAACTTCAGTAAACCAAGGTAGGCCATCCTATTTTCTGATAAATGTTGGCCCATTTTGCCATGTTGGGGTACCCAAAGCTTGTCCCATAGCCAATTGATGATGGATAGCCAGCGCCAAGCTTTCCATTATTTGGAGTCCAGCCTGACAGCGGGGCTTTGATCTGAAGTCGTCACACACGTGGAGAGGCTTGTCTCCAACCTCAAGTGCCATGCTCCAATGAAAGGGAAGCAATGGAATGAACATGAAAGAAATCCCTACCCCTATAGAGGGGGAGGGCGGGGGGGGGACAAAACCAACCTGTCGAATTCCACTTCTTTTTGCTTGGAAACCCTGGGATAGTGATCCAACCCCTCGAATGGAATTGTAAAGTAACATTTCTTAACAAGCCTTGGGCACTGGTTTGAAAATACTTGCGCTTAGCTCCAGAGGAGCTAAGCGCAAGTATGATCACGGCAGCGCAATTTTTTGGAGGGATGCCATCCCTACACATGTGCTGCTTCAGTCTGACATGTGCTTAGCTCCTCCGGAGCTAAGCGCAAGTATTTAATTTTCACCTGCTTGCCAATGACATGGAATGATGAGGAATATTGATCATTGAGAAAACATGATTGCAAAAATGAAATTTTAAAATGAAATTTCAGTACGACTCCCCCCCCTCAAATTCCATTTTTAAGAGGGTAGGGATTGAAAGAACATGAAAGAACCGTACATATATATGTATGTATATATATATATATTATATTATATATATATCTCTCTCTCTGTGTACGTATATATCATATATCAGCATCATGTTCCTGCTATGGAAACCCTCACGGAATGCTGAAACAGTGAATGTTCACTATGCCAACTGCACAGTGCAGTGCGAACTCGTCATGGTCGAGGTCCTGACGTAAATATCGCGCATTGTCACCTCATTTCTAATCAAGTGTCAAGGAAGTGCGGTGCACATTGGACATTGCAAAGATGTGCCAAGATGTGCAAAGATGTGCAAAGATGTGCAAAGATGCTGAGGACAAAGCCAGCCAATATCCTTTTTCATCTGCCTCGTCTTTTGGAACCTGGGAACGACACATAGAAGTCATCTTTCAGCTGTCAAAGTGATGTGGCTCCAATGACAGAGCGCCAAGGATGTGACGGGCAACCACGTCACATCTCCTTCCAACCGTTCTGGCCGGTACCCTCCGAAGGTGATCTCACTATCTTCATCTGCCTGGGTAGAGGGAGAGTCACCTCCAACACAAGATGGGATGAAGAAAGAATCAAGTCAATGTCGGAGATTGTCTGAACTGGTCCAAGCTCAAGACATCCAAACGTCTCAGGAAGAAAGCAAAGGTTGGACTGCGGATAGCTTCGTTGGCTGCCTTTAGAGGATAGCATCAAGAAAAGGGGAAAAAAAACATCTGACACACACGCACACACACACGCACACACACACAGACACACGTCACAAACGAAGCTGACACTAGCACCATCAAAGTAACTCATCATAATTGGGGACCAGACGACCAAACGGTTGACAAAGTTGAAAGAAGGTCCGGCCTTTCAGGAATATGACATCAATTCTTGTTTTCAAGCCGAGCGCCTTGCAGCTGAAAATATGTGGCACACCGGAGAATACTTTCCGGTACATCAAATAGGTACATCAAATAGGTTTCAGCATGACTCAACCTGAAAGAAATGACAAATGACAATGACAAATGCTCCAAAAATGCTCCAAAAGTCTGCCAAAAGTTGCTGAGAAACCTGCGGATAAACCAGCCAATCCAAGGCCAAAGATCCCGTCGAATGGCAGTTCCGTGAAGGGAAAGCGAGACTCCTGCAGCAAACGACCCAGAAGGGATGCCATGGGATGCCATGGGCAGACCATCCAAGTGACTCCTGCGTGACGCCCAGGAAGTCCACTTTCAAGCCTTGGTTCTGCTGAAATACTTTGTAAATACTTTGTAAATACTTTGTAAATACTGATGCCAAGACGATTTGCATGCTGCTGACAGTGTTGCTGATGGTTTGTGGCACAAGATTGAAAGAAAGGGAAGGAATCTTCTTACAATTCCTACATCTCTCTTCAGAAAAGCTCATCTTCAGGCCATGGCAGGCAGAATTCATGACTGCAGCGGGCCCAGAACCTAGATATGTATGAATTTACTTATCCGGCCCAGTGAGCCCTGGAATCTTTGGCTGATGTGAATGCCATTGAATTCCTGCCTTGTCGCAGGCAAAGCATATCCTGGATATACTCGCCCGTAAGCTTGCCAGTACCTCAAACGCCAAAAGTGAAGTTGAGGGATCGTGGTCGGAAACTCGGGGGCTTGCAGCCTGCTACTTGTAGATTCCCCAAGAAACAATGGAGAACGGTGCAAACAAAGAAAGGGATCGTGATTGTTTTTGCTTCTTCAAGGTTCGCATAAGATGCATAAGCACTGGGGTGACATAATACTCGAGTCCTGAGTTTCAAACCATAGGTGATAGTTGTTGTATCTCTGTCCTGGCTGACCCGCTGACCCGCTTCCATCCCACTTCCGCGCCTCATTTTGCCCTGCATCTCCTGTCCTGTCCAGGCCGCAGCGGTGTACCATCCTCAAGGGCCAGCTGCACAGAGGATCCTGGGCACAAACCCATGATGCTGTCCTTTTTGACTTGCGACACCCTCAGGGGGCCAACTGATTGATCTTGGAAAATCATCCAAAAATATCTCCAAGATTTTGAAATGAACATTTGCTAAGTCCACCTGCACCCTGTTCGGTTTGGCTTTTCAGACTGACGCGCATCACCACACTAAGGTAACCATTGGTGAGAACTTTGAGGCGACAATTTGCTATAATGCAGCTGTGGCGGGCATGACCTCGCCCCCAAAAATATACCAACTGATTCCAACAGAATTCTCCAATTTGTCAATTGATCGCCTCTGCTCAGCCCACTTTGAAGCTAAGCGCAGTCTACAGCTTCAAGGCCCATAATGTCCAGCTGGCGTTTCGATGGGATTTGAAGCTGAGGCCCTACCTTTGGAAGATATGGGAACTCTTCAGGGCACCTACATGGTTACTGGGCTACTCACATTACCAGTCATCGCGGTCTGGCTTGGCCTGACTCCTTAGAAACGGTGCCAAGGAAAGCTCAACGTAGCTTTAAAAAAAATAGAAATAAAAAACAGGCATAAAGTGGAAAATATAAATAAAAAACAGCATAAAGTGGATTAAAGTGGGCATCGGGTTGACGTTTTGAGGGGTTGGCTCTGGCTCAAGCCGATTTCAGATCACACAAACCTTCTCCACGCTATCCTCCCAATCCCTTGCCAATGCATCAAGCTGCTGCTCGGCTTCTTTCCTGCGTCGCTCATAGAGCTTGCGCTTTTCAATAAATGGATCTCCAAAAGGCCAGTACCTCAGAGTAGCTAGCAGACCAGTACTGTAGAGTCAAATATGCCCTCCCATGTGCGCGCATATCTTACACACCATTGCGCACTTCAAATCGATATAACTGATATAACATATTACGTTATATACTCTAACACACAGTGGGTAATGATGAATATCTGTGATTGTGTGTGCACGGTTGTTATTGTCGTCATGTCTCCCCCTCCGAGCGCCGGCAACAAAGTCCTCATGGTAGTACTTATGGTGTACCCTCTGGTAATTTAACATAGCTATTGAAAATCACCATTTATAGTGGATTTTCCCATTGAAAATTGTGATTTTCTATAGTTATGTTAGTTTACTTATGGTGTACTAATTGTGTTGTCATGTCTGATTCCTCCTGCCATGGTGCAGATGAAATCTCAAGAGCTTTACGGAATGACATCGGTCTCGCACAATTGAATGATCAGAGGCAAATTGACAACCCATTTCTAAGGTCCCGGCTTGAAACGCTCCGGGAAGTATTTCCTTAGAGCAAGATTCTTAGAGTCACAAACCCTGCAAAGATGCGCAGCTGTCACAATTCATCAGTGCAGAAATATGTCTTTATCCCGATCTCATCATCTGCATGCTTTCCAACGACCAGCGCACATACCAGTACAAAAGTATGATCCCAACTTTGCAACTTTGAAAGTAAACCCTTTATAAATTATACAAATATAGGTAGCTTCACCAAACCAAACGACAAATCTCATAGAGGGGGTCAAGTTCATCAACCATATACGAGAACGATACGAGAACGCATGCTTGGTTGGATATCATGCTCATGCAATTGAGCAGAATCTTGGTGGAATGATGGCCTGGCCTGGGAAGGACGTTTTGATGCAGTACATGACATTTCTTATATTTCTTTCTGACCGGTTGTCCCCTCCTGGATGATTATGAAACAATATGAAACCACTGATAGTTATCTCATAGAAACATATAGAAACATGCCCACTGAGGGACTCCTGCAGTCAGGCATCCTTTCGACTTCTTCCCTGAGGGACTTCTCCTCCCGGTCTGAGTCGTCACTGTCCTCCTGCTTCTTGTTGAGGTCAGCTCCATCATTGTAGGCATGCCGTTTGGCCGGATCCGACAAAGTCTCATATGCCATAGCTATTCGTTGAAAGTCACGGGTGGAGCCTCCTTGTTTGTCCCGGTGGTACTTCAGACTCATCAAGCGATATGCTCGCTTCAACTGTTGGTCGGTTGCATCTGATGACACGCCAAGAATGGAGTACAAGTCTGACCCTGCAAGCTCTGGGGCACCTGCACCTTCACTTTGTGCAGACTGCTTCCGGTCATCTCCACGCATGCCTTTTTTCCAGCTTGGCTTGTAGCGATCATCCTTCTCCACTCGCTTTGCTTGGGCATGAGCTCGAACCAGCCAATCACACAGGTTCGGCCATTTGCGGTCCACCCTCAGCAAGGTCTCTAGTGTCTGGATGGCCTCTTTTGGCCTACCAGCCTCCAATAGGCACGCGGCACGTCTGAAGAGGGCCCTGGCATACTTTGGGAAGAGGGCTAGGGCTGAGTCACAATCATCAATAGCTTGACGGAAGTCTCTAGCACGGCGGTGGCAAGCAGCCCGAGCTGCATGGAGAGTGGCCCGTCCCCACTTGTCATCAGCTGGGCAACTGGTGAGTGCATCTCCGTAGCGTAAGGCAGCACAAGGGAAGTCGCCGTAAGCATAGGCATCTTCAGCAGCCAGTTTGCATTTGTCAACGGTAGCAAAAGACTGCAAGCGAATCGATGCACCTTGATGTCCCCATGTGTGATCTGGGCCTGTTACTCCGTCCAATGCTGCTGACAGGTATTTCAAGCCCTGCTCCCGGCGTCCAACCCGCAACAGGCAACGACCTGCATAGAGAAGGCTAGCAGCACTCTGTGGATGGCGCCGGACACATGCCTCAGCCTCCAACACAGCCTGAGAGTCCTGGTGGCATCGCAGCAGGGCCCGGACCAAGGTTAGACGAAGGCGCAGAGCATCTGGACCCTCACTGGGAAGCTTTGACAGACTAGACGATGGCAAGGGCCACTCAAGACCAACTTCACGGGCTTGGCGCCGATGTTCATCATTGAGAAGCTGCCTCAAGGCAGACAAACCTGACTCAGCAATCTTCATAGACTGTTGATTCGTAGCACTCAAAGCAGCCTCTGCAGCTCTTCTCCCCAACAATCCGTGCTCCACAAAGGCATGGGGAGGAAATGGTTGGCTGGCCTGGATGGTTGGTTCTTTTGGTTGAGCAGAGATGGCCCTGGCAAGTCGATCAAATGCCTGTTGCGATTCCAGCAACGCATCGGGGGCCTCTGGCAAATCTCTCTGTGCTGATCGCAAGGCAGCAACCAGGACTTCCTTGGCATCCACTTGTGGGGCCACCTCGGGTCCTTTACCAAGGCCATCACAGCCACTGAGGCGCAAGGATGCAGCCGTTAGACCTAACACCCTGGCGCTGTACTCGATCTCTGTCTCATCTTCTCCTCGTAAAGGTCGCAGGTTCGGCAGTTTCACTGCAAGTTTGCTGCGACAAGAGGACATTTGCACAACACAACGGCCATCATCACCCTGGCCCGGCAACTTCAGGATGGTGCACTCTTGACCATTCTTGCTCGAGTCAAACAAGCCTTGCAAAACGCAAGCCGCGCCAACTGCCAGCATATCTTCTTTTTTCTGATTGTCACTTCCTGTCCGTTCCTCTTGGTCTTCGAAGGTCTTGATGTCCACTGGTACTTCGCCTTCCTTGTCCTCATCCAGCAGCCCCCCAAATAAGCTGCCAAGACAAGTGGTAAGTGTCAACGAACCCACCAAAACAATCGAAAACCATACATAACCAGATCTGTTCCCCCCCCAATGATGCCAATTTTGATGCCCAGTGACCTCAGGTTTCTCGAAATCGGGCGCCTGTAGACGAGGTTCAAAAGGCCGATCAAACTTGTCTGCCAGTGGTTCCTCCTGTGGAACAGTGGCACTGCCCATATCTGCATCACGGACCGGCTCCAGCAGGGCCTTGCCACGGTCCTCCACACAGACCCATTGCTCATCAGCATCGCAGCCATCACGACCATCATGGCTTTGATCTTTGGCAAGGCGGAGCCACAAACCCTCACGCTCCACGCCACAAACATATTGGCCAAAGTCAAGCTGTCCACAAGACTTGGCAAAAGGTCTCGGAGCGGCTCGTAGGGCTGCACCTGACCAAAGAGCGTGACAAGCCTTGCTGCACATAAAATATCATCACATGTCTTGCAATTGTTCTTGAACTATCCAAATATCTGAGCGAACATGTCACTATAACTGCCCATCCATCTGAAAAACAGAGGCCTCCTGGTGCCACTACACGATAGACCCAGCAACGCGGCTGTTGACAGCAGAATTCCAGGCTGTGGGGTCCTGGTTTTGGCAAGTGCGCGCCAGCCCTCGCTGCTGCTACGGTGCGTTCATAGCGGCGGTAGCTGTAGCGCAAGTCGCGGATGACGCTGTAGTCCAACACTGCGATGACCTGACCAAGTCCGAATGAGGCCCGAATGGGTCCTTGAGAAGGGTACTAAACTATAATTGGCTATGACTATTATGATTATAACAATAGGAACATGTATATATATATCATATATATATATATTTATAACTATATTTATTTACATATTATAAATACATACAAATTATAATTATAATTGTAATTATTACAATAATAATTACAATAATTGCAATTATAATTCATTATTTATAATTAATTATATAGAAGATAGGTTCATAACAATGAACCATTACATAACATATACTCATTGGAGAATGTTCGTGCAAGAAAATAACGACTGCCTGCCACGGGAGCTCATCTTCATCATCTTTCACTGGTTCCATTATAGCATTCATCTCAGGGTTGGGCTCGTCCGAGATCTTCGGATTGTCATCATCCTCATTCTCATCAGCCGTCTCAAAGTCTGCATCATCCTACAATTGTCTTCACGAAACACCGTGCCACCGACTGGAAAATGCTACTGGAACAAGTTCAGCCAAGAATTTCAGCAACCAACACACATGAAACCATGCAAGGAGACGCATGGTTACGCGAGAATCATATAGGATTCAAGGTTAGGGGTTTGCGCTCTGGCTGCAAAGGCACCTGAACTCAAACATCTCAAACAACAAAACATGGTAAACCAACAGCCCTGCTGCAACCCTGTTCCTCCAAGCACTCATGCCAGTACAATTGCGGCAAATTTTTGATTGTGCCCTCACCAGACTTTCGACTCGTGTGCTCCCTGTGCAAGTGCCACCAGCGCAGGCCGGCCCCTGGAATGATGGTGTCGCCCTTGTGTGCAAAACGTTCACGGCCCAAGGGGTCAACAAAGGTCCATTCAAACTTCTCAGTATATCCATCCGAGGAGTCAGAGGAGTCGGACAAGACACCTGTGGGAAGCCGGGATCTATCCAAGCGCCTGCGGTATTTCGCTTTTTTCGGTTCAGGTGGAGCCTTCATCAAAGCCATGATCCAACCGGTGTCATTGCGATAGGCAATCTGCGCCTTTCGACTGAGCCCCAGCCCTTCCAAGCGCACAGCTGCGTAGATTCTGTTGAGGTCATCAAGACTGGAACCCGCAATGAAGAAACCTTTCGCCGGCTCACGAACGGTGACATATCCACGAGATTTTGGTCGAGATCCTCCAGAATATGGAGCCAAGGCATCTTGCCGAGCCAGGTGCATGATGGGCCAATGGGATGCTGTCCTGGAACAAATCACCAGTGGTATTATGACGCTAACGCAGTCTGAAACATCCTTTGAGCAACAGAATCTGACCACCTGGGAAATACAAATATATAGTACCAAATATAACCAATGCAGCCAAATGCACTCACAAATGTAACATATTGTAACATTATCGTGAAATCGAAGAATGATTAATAGAATGTATACTTTGAATCGTCTTCCTAGGCTGGTGCTGGATCCTGGAGCCAGAATGAGCAAGCTGCTTTGTGTTGTCACTCTCCAAGATCCACCGGACATGCCATGATTCCAGGGTGCTTCATGTCCTATACCATCCATTCACGGCATATTTACTTCTGTGGCGATGGGTCTCAAAATGCACAAAATCTAGATCTGGAACAAACCTCTTGATGAGTGGCCCCACACTGTTTGGGTGATTCTTCATGTAGATATTGCATGATATGGCCCATGCATGGCCATGATCCATAGACGATGTGGGCTGTGCTAACACGAAGCGCTCAGGGGCAAACTTGAAGCGCCACTGGAGAAGCGGTGGTGATCCTCGCAGGCCTTGCGAATCTTGCAAATCTTGTATGCACACACAGGATTTGATTAAACACGTCATCTTGTTAGAAATCATACACCCAAAAATACTCAAAAAAAAAGTACCAATTCATACCAATTGAGTGCAGGATACGATCGTTAGCCGTTAACGACCCTTAGGAAAGTTGAATCATAAATGCACGTTTCAACATCGTAGTGCATTGGGGAGGTTTGACGGTAGACAAACGGCCATGCATACGTGGGTTGCAAATGCTTGCAAAACCTCACCTCGTCCGCACACTTGAGAGTTGGAAGAACCTGGCACAAACTTGGTGGGCTGGCAATACAAGGGCATCTAGTGGCAAGAATGAAACCAGGAAGTTTGCCTCAAGAACTGTCAAAAGAAAACAGAAAAATAATGGAAGATCCCGACAATGACAGCCGGCGCACAATATTTCCAGAGCCAGTGTCAAAAACCACACCAAACTCCTCGAGCATCAATGCAAGCGAGACACTGGACCCTGACTCAATGTTTTCATTTTTTGAAATTTTCAACATGAGCTCGAGTGAACCCCGATAACTCCAGTACTCAATGGCGCAAGATGACAACATGACATGCACATCATGTGGCCAAACCTGTGGGGGAGTCCCCATCAACACGGAGCCGTAGTATTCGCTGACGCGCAACCTAAACTGGCTGGTTTTTTGCTCAAAATTAACCTGCTGCATCAACAATTGTTTCGAGTTCAAGAGCGCCATAACCAGTGGACTTTCAGAGGGTGCGGCGGCAAACGGCTGTGCCCATCTTGCGTGGGCCGTTCATACAGCGATATGTACCTCAACCATGTCAACACTGATGTAACATGATGTAACAACACTATGAAGTCAAATCAATTAACATTGGCAGACTGTGGGATCTTTGGGGTGATCCGACATTGCCCTGTTGTTATCCACAGGGGTCACTCCTGCAATGGCACCGTCAGTGTGTCCTCACAAAATTCACTGGGCACAGCATGGCACATCAAGCACACGGGGATCATAGAGGGACCTTGAGCTGTTGTTCTGCAAGAATTGTGCGCAAAGAGAACCTCAGATCCGTAAGCCATGACGAATTCCGGATCACGCAGTGCCGCAATAGCAAAATTCGGAGGCGGAAGGCGGAAGGCACCACAGCAGTGCCGCATTACAAATGAGCGCCGGGCACCACAGCGAAAACTCGCAATGAAATCCTAGCGCAATACGAAATGATATGCAAAAGTAATTGTATTCCATATACTACGCGCATGCATTACATAACAAAACAAAACATGACATCACAATACATAACAACACGAACTGCGACACAACATAACAAAACAATCCATTAAGTTACATACCAAGACATAACATAACATAACATGACATAACATAACATAACACAACAAAACACAACATAACATAACGTGACATAACGTGACATAACAGGTGCAGTGAAGGGTGCGGTACGTTGGGTACGGTGGTAAGGTACGGTGGTAAGGTTCGGTGGTAAGGTACGGTGGGTACGGTGCATGGGTACGGTACGGTGGTAAGGTACGGTGGTAAGGTACGGTGGTAAGGTACGGTGGGCACGGTAGGCTTGGTACGGTGGGTACGGTGGGTGCACCCATCGTACCGCCTGTACCGTGCCGTACCTATGGTAGCCACCGTACCGCACCACGGTACCCACCGTACCGTACCCACCGTACCCACCGTACCGTACCCACCGTACCAAGAAACGGCACCAGCGTATCAAGACTCCACACCCACCGTACAGTACCCATAGAAAGTGTCATATCTACCTACCCGTGCTGAATGATCAGAAAACATGTTTTCATAGCTCTTGAAATTGGATAACATATAGTGTAAAAACCATGGTGCGCATTCGTTTGATCTTTTTGCCTTTGATATTTTTATGGCCGGGAACTGCTTTCCTCGGTTTTAATTTCCCACCTGGCAGGTCAAGGTCTCCGGGTCTCCAGCTTTGAACGAAGGTGCAACTCCTTCTCCTCCTCGCCCGCCGACTCCGTTGTAGTGTGGCCCTCATGTTCTTAGTTCCGGATGCTGTGGGCCACGCCGGGCCCGAACTCCATATCGCGGGCTCCGGATGCTGTGCGGCCCGAACTCCATATCGCAAGCTCCAGATGCTGCACGCCAGCTCCGGATGCAGCGGGCCAAGCTGTGCGCAGTGGAGCACGGCTGGACCCGAAGAAAATGCCAGACAGAATGCCAGAGAGAATGCTGGACAGAATGTCAGACATATGTCAGATAGGATGCCATAAAGACTGCCAGATAAAGTGTCAAAACACATGCCATATAGAATGTCAAAAAAAAATGTCAAAATAGATGCCACATGGACTGCAACATAAAATGCCAAAATAAATGCCAAAAAGGTCTTTAAAAAATATCAAAATAAATGCCAGGTAGTTTGCCAGAAAGAATGATAGAACAGAAAAGCAATTTATTTGTCCGGCTTGTGACATGCCATCGGCTATATAAAGCTTTGTTTTAATGGATTCTGTGGCCACCACCTCGCTGGCAAGTTTCATTGTTTATTTGCCCGCCTGCCACGTGAAGGTCCCTAGACTTTATCAAAGTTGTTTCCACCTCCTCCCTTCCTCCTTCTCCTCCGGCAGCCTCGGACTATGCCCTCAACTGTCCTGAGTTCAGTGGGCACTGCCAAATCTCAACCGCGAGTTCCAGATCTCAGTGGGCACTGCCGGACCTCAGCGGCGAGCGCCAGATCTTGATCGGACCTCAACTGCGGGAACCAGATCTCAGGGGCCACTGGGGGGATCTCAATTGCGAATGCAAGATGTCACATAGACTGTCAGCTAGAATGTCAGCACCATGTCGGATAGAATGCTTGATAGGATGTCAGGAGGATGTCAGAATAAATATCCGGAAGAATGCCAAAACTTCCGGAATAACAAATTGGGGAACCATTTGTGTAGGTATAAGAATTGGAAACCCTTGGTAATATTTTTTTGGTGAGTTCAGATGTTGTGGCTGTAGTTGAGTCACGCGTGAATCACACTGCGGGAAACCTAAAGATTTAATGTTAAACGACAGCTCAGTTGGACCGGAAAAATTTTCTCGTAGACTGATAACCGCTGTATCTGCCTTTTGTTAGATTAAGGCTGCAAAACAGTGTCCGCAAATCACATGTTTAGCATCGCAAGTTTAATATCACATAAATATTGAAACAAACATCTTGACTTCAGCCACCCCAGATAATTTTGAGATATAAATTTCAAACGATATCCGATTGGCCTAAATTCCAGCTAAGCGACAAAATCTGTGGTGGTCGCCGAATTGCCGTACTGGTGAAGTTATAATAGGGCGTAGCCTCGACCTAAACAATATCAACATATTTGATTTTCAATCTTCCGGGCATGACAATTTCGCAGCTGACCATAGTGACCTAAAAACCATGCGCGATGAAAATCTATTGATGCTGGATTGCCATTCTCCAGCTATCTCCCTTTTAAATTGCTCCAGGAAAAAAAACGGTAACAACAAAATTCTATTTTTTTCGCGTGATCCCCACCATGACATAGTATTTGCTATATATTCTGGAATCATGTTCCTCAGCCAAATCTCTGCGCTGACCTGCTGGTATTTTATCATTTGTCGAGTTGTAAAAAGAAATGCCATGCCCGTGTTGATTTTGTTTCCGCCCATCCTGTTTCACCAATGCATATTTTGGAATCAAATGAAGCCGCTTCGGAACCAAACACGTTTCCAAACTCAAGAAGGCAACTTTGGGTTCACAATGTGGTGGCCATTCAGTTTCGCATCTGAAAAGCTAGTGATATAAAATTCCGTGAAAATGCCCACGTTTCTACACGAAAACGATTGCAAAACAAAAATATAATTCCCAAAGATCTGCATGGGGACTTAGGCAAAGCCGACCCCGGAATACAACCATTTTTCGCGCACAGTGTGTTTCGGCAATTCTTTCGCCGCGGTTTCAACAAAAAAAAATTATCTTCTGGGCCCTGGGTTCCATCATAACCGAAAGACATTCCTCTACCCCGAATTTTCCTGTTTCCACCAACAAGATAGCAACTATGGAAGAAGTAGTAATAATTCAAAAACACCAAAACAAAAATCCAGTTCACCAAAAATCCACTGGTACCTCCCACCCCGCCCCGCAACAAATGAAAGATATGAAAGTAAAGACTGCCACCGGCCAATGGCCAAACACCCTCCATCCGGACACCGCCACCCCAAATGAGCGGTGGTGAACCAATGGAACATGATTCCTCAAAAAAAAACGTCAAAAACGCCCGTACGACCAGAGTGTGTTTAACCACCCATGTATTGTCCATAAACCACGATTGCCAAAGTTCCGAGGGTGCGTGTAGAACCCAATTACTAAAATCTCCAAATCAAAACAAATAATGGATTGTTTGGGTTGCCGCATTCCCGGAAGTTCAATATGTGTGGCTAGACCTTGCTTTCTTTCCCGTTTCTTTCAACAAAACGACACAATGCCAGAACAACCACAGATCGAAACCGCCAAAAACAAACAACACCCAATTGTATTTCGGATGATATTTGTAAGCTCCGCTGGGCATACACCCACACGATACCTATAGGTGGGTATCAACAACTGAACCTGATCGTGGCATGAAAGCCAAGAAGGCCAAACCCATGCACAGCTGTCCTACTCAATGACGATAAGCATGCCAAATATCTATTCAAAATACGCGCCATAGTTGTCCTAAGACATAATACTATTTTTGTTTACCAAAAAACCGCAACAAAGAAACAATTAAGAACCTAGGAACCCAAATCTATTTCCAGCGACCCAGATCAACTACAAAACCTTAAGTTTAAGTTTGTTATGGTTGACCAAGATTCGCTTAGAATCAATTCAAAATTGCTTCAAGACCTGGTTCAAAAAAAAAATGAAACGCATCCAAGTGCTAAAAATGAAATAAGTTTGCTTCAAAACCAATCCAGAATCAACAACTAAATTCAGCCACGTTTGCATTGTAAAAACGCAATTTTGATGTCAAGCTGACTCCGTCGTAAAATGCACACAAATTAGACTGAATCCCACAGTTGATGCGGATGACAGTTTGCATAAATGTCAGTTTAATGCGCAGAAAGGACTTTGCCATTTTTGGCGTGGTATCAAGGTTTGAACTGATATGGATGCACTTTGACAACTAATTAAATTGGATGCACATTGAGTTTGAATTGCATTAATTACGGTTTATTCCAATGTAACAACAACGGTTTGCTTTCAACATAAACAGCCGAACGGCCAGAAATCGGTCCAGCGTTTTCATCAATTTTCATGTTCATTGTGATTTTCGTTTTGTTGAAAACTTGGCATTTGCCACATGTTTATATCATGGTGGTGCCTTTTGGCACTTCATTTCCATTGGGATTTATGACAATTCCTTGTTTTATTGCAGTGGGAGTTCAAAAATGCATGTTGAACACCCTCACAAAATGTTACATTTTTTGGATGGTTTTGCGTTTCGCCACAGCGCCAGCGATTCTTTTCCATCACTTCAACTTGCGGACCGTCGTTGCAGTAATATCACGCACATCAGCATTTCGATGTACGCATCGCCATTGCCAAGCCTTGACATATGTCATGATCATGGGAGTTTGGCTAGACGGGCTACCGGGCAGCATCTTTTTACAAGCCTTTCAGCAACTATCTATTGCACAACTATGGGCAAGCACCTTTAGGCTGCCTCGCTGGACACGGCGCGCAATCTTTGTAAATTGGCCTTCGGAGCGGTTCACAAACTCATACGTGCACAGCGTAACATAAAGTGTGTTCACCCGAGTACAACAGAAGTGTGCAACGTAACATGAAGGTACACCAGAAGCGCGCAACGTAACATGAAGTGTGTTCACCGAAGTACAGCAGAAGTTTGCAACGTAACATGAAGTGTGCTCACCCAAGTACAGCAGAAGTGCGCAACGTAACATGAAATGTGTGCACCGAAGTACAACAAAAGTTCGCAACGTAACATGTAATTTGTTCACATGTGTTCACCGAAGTACAACAGCAGTGCGCAACGTAACATGAAGTGTGTTCACCGATGTACAAAGTGTGCAACGTAACATGAAGTGTGTTCACCGAAGTGCAACAGAAGTGTGCAACGTAACATGAAGTGTGTTCACCAAAGAAAATCGATGATAACGTAGACACGGGACGTTAACGCAAAAACGCTGGGCCGGTTTTCGGGCCGTAGGCAAAAACAAGTTCACGTGAAATTGATTCGCGATTTTTCAGAATAACAGTTTGGTTCGAAGGCGACCACTTGTTTTAATCGTGGCTTAATGTGAATTCATGGACGTTTCGATCAAATTGAATTGTGTATCCTGATTTTTTTTACTTAAAAATATGTTCTTGTAAAATCATGCAAAAAAAAATATCGCATTTGAAATACATTTCATACAATTTTACAAAGTTGGTTGAAGCGTAACTTACAACAAATGCACATTCATCCGGATTTTAGTTGATCGCGAGCAAAACTGACTTACATATACTTACATTAAATGCAAACATAATCAAAAAGTAAATCGTATTTTGTTTAAATATATCAATTTGTCTATACACACACATATATATATGTGTGTGTGTAACATCTAAATAGATGTAAAATGTTTTCTCTCTCTTTTTCTTCCTTTGTCCTCTCTCTTTCTAATTCTAAATTAAATTCGGTGGCCACCGAAGACACCCCCCCGGGACCCGTGTAAACGTACCTGCATTATTCGTAGGACGCATCGTTAATTTCATTGTTTCGTATCTAATCTGCATGTTTCAGGATTCAGTTCCTGCCGGATCATATATTGATCCATTCTTGTCTCGTGTGATTTCCATGGTGGCTCCGACATGGTGCCATGGAGCCATTTGAGGCAACCCTTTTCAGGGTGAGTGTTGGCCGTCTTGAATTCTGAATTCACACATTATAATTTGGTAATTCGTTTACGTAATGTGCAACAGCTGGCCTTTCTGTTCTGCACCTTTTTTGAGATGTCCTGCCGTTCCGGCTGTCCCTGGAGATCCTTTGTGAATTGCATTCTTTGCAGCGAGAAGCCGTACCGAACACAGAAACCTCTTATTCCGCAGCAATTTCACAGCGACATTTGGCAACACTACATGAAACTGGATCAGGCAGGCTCATGTCTTTCAGGTGTGGTTTTTTCCTTTTGATGGTTGTCTGGTGAGGTGAAACATGTTGTGCACCTAATTCGTTGGAATTTGAAAGCCGTTTTATGCCATTGGGGCACGACTTGACCACGGTCCCGGTGCAGGGAATAATTAATCGCACGACCTTTAGGCATTTAGGGACTGAATCCTGTTTTTAAGTAATTGTTTTGGTTTTCCTGTCGGTCATCAACTAGTCCCCCATTTGGTCCCTAATTTCCCCGCGTGCCTCTCCGTAATGTGTCGTGGGGTTTAGGTGTGCGCGCTGTTTTGTTCAGGTCCGTTTCGCCGTGTAGGTTGGTTCCGGAGGTCCGTCTGTTCCCCTCCCCCCCCTGCGCTGTTTTTGGCCGTTTGCCCTTCGTGTGTCCGCTTTTTTCTTCCTCTTGCCTTTCAGGGTTGACCCGGCTCCAGCCGGGTGTGTGTGTGTAACATCTGAATAGATGTAAAAATTGTTCTCTCTCTTTTTCTTCCTTTGTCCTCTCGCTTTCTAATTCTAAATTAAATTCAATGCAGGGGGCCACCGGGGTCCCGGGGGGGTCGGTGGCCACCGAAGACACCCCCCCGGGACCCGTGTAAACGTACTTGCATTATTCGTAGGATGCATCGTTAATTTCATTGTTTCGTATCTAATCTGCATGTTTCAGGATTCAGTTCCTGCCGGATCATATAATGATCCATTCTTGTCTAGTGTGTGTGTGGGTGCTAGGTAAAACATGGTAAAACAAGAGAAACTAATTTGGCACTAGCCCTTCATCTGCTTTGAAAATTATAAGTGAAAAACTAACAACCAGAAAAAAAACAGGGACACAAACATTCACAAAATAAAAAGAAACAAACAAATTCCAATGATATTTTTGTAACAAATTTCTTGGCATTGCACTGCCCTGGTTCAAACTTTGTCGATGCAATCGCCTCTTCTCAGCACATATGGGCGTGAAAGCCGTTGCCATGCCCTGGCACGTACGACAAAGTGCTGGCATGCATAATCGGGCACAAACTATGCTGAGTTGTTTTTTTTCCGCTGGCTTAATTAACCCAACACCGGCCTAATGTGTGGCCACAAGGCCAAAATACAACGTCATCATCCCAGCATGGTCGGATTCTCACGCCAGCAAGGACGCCACAAGCAACCCTGACGCAGCGATTGAACCGACTTGAGCCAGATACAGCCACCCAAACACAGGCCATGATCAACCGCAGGTTTCCACCGGAACAATGATCAGCGCAATGCCACCAAACATTTGAAAAATCATCACCACCGGCTAAAGATATCAGAAGTTAACGCCACGCAACAGTTTGTGAACGCCCTCGCGTTGCCAGAGTGTTTTGCCTGCTGAAGCAACATCTTGTTTTGAATCTCACCAAGCGCATGTCGAAAAGGGACAAAAACTTCCACCCATCCCCCACCCCAGAAAACAGTTTGAAAGGATCGCGGGGAACACATGGGAGGACGATAGGTAGCTGAGGGCAGTTTGATTATGCGGACCTTATACACATGTAATAAACGTGTTTGCTCTGCATTGCTCGTGTGTTGTTACACGCAAGCAAAAGCAAAAGCGCTTATCATCATCACACTCGCCGGTCGGTGATGACTAATGTGGTTGCCGTAGAAGTTACACAAATTCTTTATTTTTAACAATGAAAATTACAATTTTGATGTTCTGGTGCGAAAAAAATTTCAGACCTGTGTCGGCGTGTTGTTTTTTGCGTTCATGGTGGGCGGGGGTGAGGTGGTGGGGCTGAAAACGTCGGATCGCACTTGCACACTGATTGATGCTAGCCGCTAGCCCATTGACTTCACGCTACGCTACTTCGAGTTCATTGGCCCTGATTGCGCCTCATTGTTTCTCATTGTCTCTCACTTTGGTCCACAACTCCTTTTGTTTTCCAAAACATGAAACAATATTCCAGCGATGTGTTCTCGTTTGTGAAGTGTTGGGTCGGTCGCTCATAATAACATTTCTCATATTTTGTTTGAACAAATAAACTCCCCCGTTGCAAATTTCATGCGTGATTTCGGAAAATACAAGTCGTACCGGGTGAACCAAGGAAAATTCAAACACTTGAAAGCAATTGCAACAAGTTGTAAAATTCAGATGTCCTCGGTAAACGGGAAACTTTTTCAAATCCCCGATTTTTTTTTCTGGGAATCAGCAAGTTGAATCGAAAGTGCAGGTATGTGGCGTGTAAATATCCGGCAAAATTGAAAAGATATTGCGTTGGATATTCAGGCCTTATGCGCCCTTCAACACATTTGTGTCGCATTTTTCGCATTGAAATTTTCACTTGCTGGTGTAGAACCAGTCATGTTCCACCAGGACCTACGGCAGTTGGGTGCTAATGGATATTCCGGCCGTAGTTTTGCCTTGCGTCGCTGGGCAAAGTTATTCGTTGCCCAGTAGGACCCAAGAAATCCCCGGTTCTAATGCGCATTGGTACCACATAGGCCTTAAAAAAAAAAATCTGCTGCAGGTTTTGCATTTGTGGGTGGAAACTCTATGTCTTTGCCACTCGAAGATTAAACCATGGTGGATATTAAGGCCCCACCAAAAACGTAGTTTGCGTTGCATTGCTAGATAAACATTGGATATCGAGCATGTTTGGCCTCCAAGAAATTATGTAAGAAAAGGATTGTATTGCATTGATGGATGGAATTGTTGTTTTTTTAATCCGCAAAGTTGTTGCACATAACATTTACGAGGACCGTGTAATATGATTAGATTTTTATACTTGTCAGTCTGGCCCGTGGCATCTCACCGTAAAAAAACATACCTATCATATTCTATTTTATTTATTGATATAGACTGCATATAAACATATATAAGACCCTATACTTGCGCAATAAAGATGTTAGCTCTGAATTTTCTGGTTGCCGCCGTCGTTACACCCAAGTGACAAAGCAAAGGCATTTGTCATCATCACCCTCGCCAGTCGGTGATGACTAACGTGGCCGCCGTTGAAGTTAAACAACTCCTGTATTTCTAATAATGTCAATTGCAACACTGGTTTTTCAATTTTCTCCCAACGCCATCTCTAACCTATCTATACGAACATGTAACAATATGAATCCAATCAGCCGCTGTGGGCTGACACGGGCACGGTGCAGAGGCCCAAGTGGACGGAAAATCGACGCCACAGCAACTGACGCACGGAGCTGACACCGCCCACCGGCAGGCTGCCGATTGGCAGGAAAATCCGGTGACGGTCAGCAACCGAAAAGGATAGAAATAGAAAATCAGCAAAACGGACGTACAGGCTGGTCGGAGGACCCGCTCAGGCAAAAGACCGTCGACACAACCAAGGCCAAAAACAGGGAAAACTGGGTGAGCTAATTGGAAAAAATAAGCTATGGAGCAGTGAGCCCGGCACCCAAGTGACGTACGTCTGGGACGGACTCCAGCAATACCGCCGATGTGCGCACCGCGGTCTGCGAGGAGGCGACGAGTTCTGAACAGCGGCGCGGAGCCGCACGAGCCCGGAAACCCCGAGCATGATAAAGTACACCGAGGAACCCACTTGCCCTTCACGAGCCGCGACCGCCGAGGCGATGACCCGCAATGTGCGGCTGCCATTGTTGTCCCACGCGCCGGTGGACTCCGACACCATGGGAAGAAAGCGAACTCTTTGGTCAGCAGAAAGTCTGGCAGTGTCCTGGTGATTGCATTTCACTTGTGCGTACGCAGCCGCCGCGCTGACAGGAACTTGCGCAGTTTGGTGCAAGGACTCCGGCCGCTGAAGGCCAGCAACGGCAAAGTCAAGCGCAGTCGGAGTCCCATCCAAGCATGGCAAGTAGATGTCCGCAGGACGTCTGCGAGCCACCTGTTTTCTGAGTGGGTGAGGGGGTGGGGTGGTGGTGCTAGCAATATCGGACTGAGGTTGCACACTGATTTGATGCTAGTCTTGCGCATTTGCTTCGTGCCACGCTACCCTGAAGTCTCGAAATCTAGGGTTTTTATTTTTTTTGGTGATTTACTTTACGTGGATTTTTTACTAATAAAATTTACTTTGGCTTAATCAAGTAAATTAATTTAGTAGTCAAGTAATTTCTTGGAAAAAAAAGAAACGCATAAGAAACACATATAAAGTGCATACCTTTTTTTCGGATCATGTTGACCATGTTTGAAAGAAATATATATAATTGTCTCATTTGTTTTTGTATTGTTTTCATGTGACACAAGTAGAAATTGGTTTGTTTTGAATTTATTTTATCTTGCGCAATTAAATGATTTTCACAAGTAATGCAGTATTGTTTTTTCCCAAGCTCAAATTCTGCACCGTCGCCAATAGTTACTTTTGTTTCCACCGCCGGAAATGATTTCTAAGACAAGATAGAGGTGAAGGCAAGTCATCACATGTACAATGCATTTGATAATTTCTAGTCATTGTTTGGCTTCCACTTCAGAAGTAATTTTCACATGTAAGCCTCATTGTTTGCTTTTAACCTCACAGTCTATTTCCACATGTAAGTGTCATTGTTTAGTTTGAACCTCACAAGCAACTTTCAACTGCAAATGTTATTGTGGGGTTTCAATATCACAAGTAAAATTCACATGTAGGTGTTATTCTTGGGTTTTAACATCACAAGTGATTTTCACATGTAGGTGTTATGGTTTAGGTTTAACCTCACAAGTAATTTCCACATGTGAATGTAACTGCTTAGTTTTGACCTCACAAGTAATTTCTAAATATGGGTGTCTTGTCATTACCAGTGTCCGACATCGCGACGAAGACAGACGAAAATCGAATTGAGTCACTTCTTTGCAGCCACAAATTGTAGCTAATATAAAACAGATCAGATACAGCACCAATGATCACATGTACATTTGATAAATGCTAGGAATTGTTTAGTTTCAATTTCACAAGCACCCTCCACGTGTAAGTGTTTCCTTGACATTTCTGAGGTTATATAGTCACGACAACTGTTTGGAGAACAACGCAGCACTAACGATTAAAAAAAAAAAACGTTACATCTGGTTTTGTTTTTAAAGCTTGTTATGTGTGACATGAATTTTTAATATACGAATATTTCTATGTGTGTTTTTATTGCAGAATTTGAATGGAAATACATATGGGGATGTCTCAAAATGAGGCGCCCTTCTTGTTTTGAACATTACCCTAAAATTTGAGTAATTTTCATGACAAAAAGGACACCTCATTTTTTGAGACACACCCATCTGCGGCTGGGATAATACATGTTTAGTTCAGTGCTAATCTATAATGTCCACATTTAAAAATCACATAGGACATGTGGCAAGAAAAAACAAAACTAGAAAGTGCTTAAGCAATTCTGAAATATTATTTTTAGAAGTGTTGCTTGTGGAGTACTTGCGATGTATTTGTTTCTTTTGTAGATGGTGTTCTTATTGCAATATTGCTGTCACAATTGTTGAACATGTGAATGTGATTGTTTGAAAAAAGGCCCATCCTGCACTACTTGTGCCTTACTTGAGACTTTCATGTTGTATGTAGTCACTGTTGGGTAAAAAACAAATCTTCACTATTGCATTACTTGCGGAATATTATGTTTAGTTTAGTGCTTTTGTGATGCATTGAGGTTGACTGCATAACAAATGAGGTTTTACCTCTGGCTATAATCAATGGTGACGATGCCAAATTGGTAGTGAGATAGTTTGTGTACGTTTGGGTCAACTTACTTGTGATTGCTTGTGACGCTGTATCAATTGAAACTTTGTGTTTCGATATTTTTTGAGGTAACACCGATCTTGCGTTGTTGGCATTGTCTGCAGATCTATGCCGCACGGCCGTTCATCCAGCAGCAGCGAAACGCAGGTTTTACAAACGCCACGGCCTTGATTCTTCTGTGTGGGCAATACTGGGGGGTGCGTTTCCAAAAACAGGATCGACCAGGCATGATCTAAACAAGCCATCCACAAGAATTTTAAGAATCTAGTGTAACAGCTGCGAATCGTTGACCAAATGCCCTTGCAGA